ATTAATTAAGATAGAATTAAGAAGAGTGAAATATGTGGAGAAGTTAATATAGAAGACTTAGAATGGTAAATAAAATAAGTAATGATATGTAAGATGAGCATGAATATAATTGAAGTCCATGAAGAGAGAGATACCTGGGTCCAAGTTACTTTCCAAAAAGATTTTTTTTATGTTTTGTGTGTTGTGCGTATATGTTTTTTTTGGGGGGGAGAATTAATAAAACCTTGCAGAAATATAGAATGAGAATAATGGTAACTAAGTCAGAAAGAAATAGATGAAATAATAATAATAAAATTGAATAAGAGTAAAGAGAAATAAAGAGAAATTGGATAAGAGGTTTTTGTATGTTTATATGGAAATGGTTTAAAACAGAATTATAGTTTATCTGATTTGTTAAATTTATAATGGAAAAAGGTTTAAACATGTAATGGATAATGATGATTTGTGTGTTTTGAAAATTAATAAAACTTGTTTTAATAAAAAGAAGTTCCAACCGATCAGCTGGGACTCGGGAGCCAGAGAATAGATTGAGGCGGGGCCAGTCAGAGGTGGGATTTGCCGGTTCTCCGAACTACTCAAAATTTCCGCTACCGGTTCTCCAGAACTGGTCAGAACCTGCTGAATACCGCCTCTGGAGTGGACCCTTCAACTATGCAAGACAAAAAGTTTTTTAGAAAAGTACAGTGGTACCTTAATAGAATAACAGAGTTAGAAGGGACTTTGGAGATCTTCTAGTCCAACCCCCTGCTCAGGCAGGAAACCCCTACACCATTTCAGACAAATGGTTATCCAGTCTCCTCTTAAAAACTTCCAGTGTTGGAGCATCCACAACTTCTGGAGGTAAGTTTTTCCACTGATTAAGTTTCTGTCAGGAAGTTTCTCCTTAGTTCTAGGATGCTTCTCTCCTTTATCAGTTTCCACCCATTGCTTCTTGTCCTGCCCTCTGGTGCTTGAGGAATAGCTTGACTCCCTCTTCTTTGGGGCAGCCCCTGAGATACTGGAAGACTGCTATCATGTCACCCCTAGTCCTTCTTTTCATTAAATTAGACATACCCAGTTCCTGCAACCATTCTTTATATGTATTAGCCTCCAGTCTCCTAATCATCTTTGTTGCTCTCCTCTGCACCCATTTTAGAATCTCAATATCTTTTTTACAAGTGTAATCTTACCAAGGTATTATAAAATGATATTAACACTTCACATGATCTTAATTCTATCCCTCTGTTAATGTAGCCTAGGACTGCGTTGGCTTTTTTTGGCAGCTGCAGCACACTGCTGGCTCATATTTACGTGATTATCCACTAGGACTCTTAAGATTTCTCTAACCGTTATTACTGTTGAGCCAGATATCACCTATACTATACCTGTGCATTTGGTTTTTCTTGCCTAAATGTAGACTCATACTTTTTTCACCATTAAATTTCACTTTGTTAGATAGTGCCCAATGTTCAAGTCTGTCAAGATCGTCTGTGTCTTAAGCCTATCTTCTGGAATGTTGGTTATTCCCGCCAGCTTGGTGTCTTGGTACTCAACTGCTTTGAAACTCATTAAATTTGCTATTCAGTGCATTTTGATGTGAAAATTTTGTCCTGGTACTCGTTTGATATTTGATCACAAGCTAGAGCTTGCTAATGTCAGCTACTTTGTGACTCAGTACATTATTCCTTATGGGAAAAATTGTTTGATACGCATCATTTTAGTACTCATTATGCCTCCTGGAACCAATTAATGTTGAGTACCAATGTATTACTGTAACATCAATTGGGTCACAGATATAACTGAACCATTTAACCATAAAATGTCATGGATAATCACAGTTAAAATATATTTCTAGCAGACAAAGACTTTGAGGTAATACAAGTCATTGGTAAGTGTGCGCATGCAGCCTGTAGAATTTATGCTTTACTAATAACAAATTAATTTGGTGTATACTATGTGGACCAGAATATTCTGCATTTTAGAATGGTGCTGTCAGGGTTCCAGAAAAACCCAACTCCAATTAAAAACTCCGAGACACGCATTTTCTCAAAGTTTCCTTTTATTAGAGTAGTTATACTGGCACATCTGGGAAAACCCGAATCTGAAATTTCCAGATTTTTCTCCAATAAGTAAAAATTACAAATCCACCCCCTGCACCCACCATTCCATCACATGCCCCAATCACCATCCATTCCAACTTGAGACATCCCTTCAACCACTCCTCAACCAGGTGCAGGAATAACATGACCTTGACTTTAAAGAAGAATGCTATGTCTAACTATATACGCTCCATGAAATCCCCCCTCCCAACTTTCCAAGTTCAAGAATGTGGCAGCGTGGAAGCTTCTGGTGCTAATATGGTTTCCATAGCTGACAGGTGCATTGTTCTTGCCTTTTTGGGGGGGTCATCTTGCTGCACTGTATTTTATCTCATTGTTTTAATTATAATAAGCTTGATGGGTTCTGTAACATAATAAAATATTCAAAATAGCATCTAATATTTTTTTGTGTGTGTATAAACTCTAATACTATTATCACTTTGGGTCAAAGCTCTGAGGAATGTGTTTTTAAGACATTAATTAAAAAAAAATCTCACCCTGGTTCTTAGCAATATATCCAGGTTAAGTACATTATTTAATTTATTTCACTGTAAATGAAGTTGTAGTTTATTTCATTGTAAATGAACATATAGTTGTTCCTTTTGAAGCACCATAATGGTTAAAGGTTCCAGAAAAGTTATCTGTTGCTCCTTAGCTTACAACTCTTTATAGTAAGTTTGGAGGAATTTCATAGTAGTTACCTCTAGGCCTCGGCTATAAAGAACTTAAAGATCCTAATCTGATAAAATTAATAGAGGATCACATTAAATAATATGAAATTCTTTTCCTATTATCTTAAAATGATTTTGATACAACAGCATACGTCATGTATACTGGATACCTCGAATGCTTGAAAAGAGGTGACTACAATTAATGTTTGGGTAATTGTAGATTCCCTCAGGAGTCAGAATGTGAACATGTATAGTTTGACTGTATCCTGTTATTATTGCACTTGGGGCCGACATCAACAAGATTATTAATATGACTCTGGTTCTATTGCAGTATGGTAAATACAGTGTGTGCATATTTTTCTTGGCTGTATCCCCAGTATTTGGAATATATCAAGATATTTACAAAAAGACCGGATTTAGAGAGCGTGGGAGTTGATCAGACAAATTAAACAGCACTGGAAAGAAAAATTAAAATTGATTTGCAACAGTGTTTTTAACCAATTTTTGAAGTAGCTTGTTTTTGACAAGACTTCATGGAATATTGTCAGTGCTTGGAACTACTTATTAATGCAATTTTTAGGCCTTGTTTGTTACAAAAAGGTTTCACAAAGAAAATATTTTCAATATTACTCAAAAACTTTTTACTTCTCAATTATAATCCCAATCTTCCAATTTTGCTGCAGTTTATTCAAGATTCTTAAAATCTTAATTTTTGCATGTCCTGAAGATTTGAGAATTTCTACGGAGTTTAAGAGATATATATATATATTTTCTTGAACCTTTTTTGTTCAAGCCCCTACTTATCCCGCCATTACTTCACAATGCTTTCATTATCATTGAAGCTTTACAGCATAAGATGAACACCAAACTTTCTTTCATCCACAAATGTACAGCAGGTGACTGGAAATTGGATGCGTTTGGAGACAGTTACAGTGTGGGATAATGTAGTATTAAGTCATGTCAGAAGTAAAAGTTTTTATTAAGGTTTTATGTAGTCTAATTTAAAAATAAAGAGGATATTAAGTAGTATTACAAATGCATGGATATATGTTTTACCTTAATAATCCAGGTCTTAAATTCTTTAAAAAGAGGGCAGAAGAAGAAAAAGAAAGGAAATGATAATATTATTTCGTTTATCATTCTTTACCTTACCTATGTTTTAACTATATTAGCCCATGTTATAAATGCTAGTAATACAATTTTAGCAACTGTTATTTTGAAATCTTTATTTGATAAGAGATGTTGAACGTAAAATTCACCTGAGCGGCCTGGCAATAAAAGGTCTAATACAGTGAAAAGCTTCTAAGAAATCTATCGAAAATGCCGTGAAGTGAGTCATGAGACAAGGATTTAATGGCCCCTGAGTTCTATGAACAGAATCTCTCTTTCTCTCTCTGTGGACCTGCCTATATTGGCCTTCAAAAACTGCTGATGGAAAAATTAGAATGACGAAAAAGCTTTTCAATATTTAGCTATCATTAAGCACTCTAAACATTCTGGCTTGAGGGGATTCATACAATGTCTGTGTCATTGAGGATCCTTTATGGGGGTTGTATTTTTTTCAGTGTGTCCCAGTAGATAAAAAATTGATAGCTTTTTCTCTGAGCAGTAGAGGTTCTTGTCATTGATGGCTAGATTTTAAAGTATTTCAGATGCTATTGGGAACTTATTTGTTTGTATCCTGGCTTTATTATTTTTACAAATAACTCAAAAATAACGAATATATCCCACACATCTTCCTCCTATTTCCTATAACAGTCCTATGAGGTGGATTGGGCTGAGAGAGATTCACTGGCCCAAAATTGCCCAGTTTTTTACTGGACTAGACAACAGCAGGATTTTTCCTCCTCGACTTTTGGGTGGGCATCATTTCCTGTCTTACTATGTGCCTTTTTCAAACTTGAATAGATAACTTGTAGCTACTAGTCTTGAGAACTAGCTATCTCTATTTATCTTCACCATTGGTAATTGCAAAGATAATTCTCAATTTGTTTCACACTCTGTTCTTTAAAAACATGGTGTCTTTTTTTTTATCTTGGAGGAAAGCTTATTTTAATTTTCCTATTCCTGTTAATTATTTACTGTACTTTATTCACTGTTCTTAAGATCTATGAGTTTAGCATTATCACCTTAAAGTGTTGCTCAGTAAAATCTTGTTTATTCTTATGTAGAATTGCTCTATTTTTTCTCATCATTTGATTAAATTATCATTATGGTACATAATTTATGTCAGTAAATATATTTATTACAGATGACAAAAGAGCTGAAGAAAAGGCTGAATTAGGGGACGGTCCTTCTGTGGGGAAATACAAAAGACGTTTTCCAGATTTTGGGTATGACTTTTTTGGTTTTAACAACAGAAAGTCAATATTCTTGCATTGGTTTATTAAACTACCACTCTTACATTCAAAGTAATAATACATTTATTAAAATATCTCTTCAAGTGTGTCTAGGAATTTCTTCTATTATCATGTGAAACTTTTTTTTGGCCTTATGCCACTAGAAAGTATTATTTATCTTCAAAGATTGAGTTTTGGATTTTATTTTGACTTAAGTTAGTTTTAAATTAATTTTCTTTTTTTGCTGCTTAACAGGATATGAATGAAATATGATTAGTGTGTATTATATACACGATAGAGGCAGTCCTTGCTTAATAACCAGTTACTTAATGACCTTTCAAAGTTACGATGGACTCAAAATTATGACCCAGCCTCAAAGTTAAAACTCCCCTCTGTATGGTCGTGTCATCACATTTTGGGAGCTTGGCAACTGGCTTCTTTTTATGATTGGTTGTAGCATCCCATCACCATGACTCTATAATTTGTGACATTTTTTGCCAGTTTCTCGCATTTTTCAGCAAAAAAATAACCAATCAAAAGAATGGATTCTTTTAATGACCAGGTGATCCACTTTAACAACCATAGTGACTACTTTTACAACCATTGTAAAAATAGTGATAAAAATCAAGGCAGGTCGTAGGCGAACCTATGACCAAAATTCTGCACCCAATTGTGCTTGCTAAGTGAGGACTACTTGTATACATTTAAATAATGAACCCAAATTATTTCGTTCAGACTTTTAACATTGTAAAGAGGCTATCATTTGTATCTAGATTTAATTGAAAGTGGAACTTCTCCACTTTTTCTCCAGAGAGCTAGAACTTTGCATATAATGTGATTGAAGTAGCCTAAAATCTAGAAGGATAACTATCAGTTTTTTTTTATTACATAGCAAATTGAAGGTAAAAGACAATTTAACATAACTAATGCTGAAAAGTATTCAGAACCACTGGTGGTATATAAGTCATAGGAATTCTGCGTGATAATAGCATTATACTCCAAAAAGAGCAAATCAAGTCATTTGTGGCCTAGAATTTTGGAATGTCCTAGGGTTGGGTGATATCTGGGCAGCCAGGAAACCATTTTTCTTTATGTTATATTATTAATTTATATTATAATGTGTCATTTTTCATTCTTCAGCAAATAAAATTTCATAAAGTATTCAGTGTAGCATATATTCTATTGTGAAAGTTTCAAACTGTAAAATACATTGTGATGTATGTGTTTATCAGTGATAGAGTGATAAACTGCTATATTTTGGCTTATGATATAAGCACATTAGAACAACTCAATCCTGTACATGTCTATTCAAGTCTGTGCCTTCATTAATAAGTCTTACTTCTAGGTAAGGATTGCAGTTACGATTTATGAAGTGCTTAAGTTATTGAATATAATTTCAGGGGCCTAAGAAAATCGGGGGGTAAAGGCAAAAAGCAAGAAAAAGAAAATGCAAGGGGTTCTCTGGACAGCAGGTATGCATAAGATACATGTATTGATACATTCCAAGTTGAAGTATTTCTTTGGAACTAGAATGTTTTTTCTGAATGAATTCACAGTTAGTATTGCATACTTTATTGCACATTTCAGTCTTCAGGAAAATAAATGGCCAGGTGCAAGCATTCCATCCGTCTACATCATATAGGTTATTTGTATGTTGTTGTTTTTAAAGATTTAATAAATTGTAAGATCTTTTTCCAGAAAATCTAAAGTCCAAGCACTTACTGTAACAAAGCTTCAATGAATTTCTTTCCTTGTACTTCATTGGAAGGGTCTGTGGAGATTCATTGGAGGTGATCTTTTTAATAGAAAAGAGGACAAATGTCCTATATTTTTAATTTTTTCTTTTTTAATTCTATATTTAAAAGTCCAAATTGCACTGCAGCTTGCTTTATACTGGTATTTTTAAGTTATTAATCATATGTTTACAGTATTATACCTTCTGATGAAACTATTTGTATTGTATTGCTAAATCACTATAAATGTTCCATTTTTATTATACACTCTTTGGCATAACTATGAGCCATGTGAGAAAGTACAATTGGATGAAGTAGTTTATATAGTATTTTAAGAACCAGTTCTTATATTTTTGCAGAACAATTAGTTCCTGTGTCTTGTTACGTACTGTATTCAAAGTCTAACAACAGACTATATCATTTTGCTGTAGTTTCCTCTGATACTACAAAAATGAGATAAGGTTTGAAGAGCTTGAGTTTAACTTCAGAATATTGTATAAATGAGTCATTATACCTATTGTACCCAATTTAAACTGTATCTTTAAAAGATTTGTATTGCTTCTTTTAATTTGGAAATAGCTTTATAAATGTATTTTAGATTCCAGAGATCTTTTCAGACAGTTTTGAAGCAGTTTAACTGTATCTTTAAAAAATAAATAAATAAGCTAATAGTGAAATTTAAAAAGGAGTTTCATGAATTAAATTGTGGGCCATCTTTTCCATACAGAAAACATAACACCTGAAAGCCTGTTTCTATATCCAAACTTTCATAAACTTTTCTAAAAAAAGAAAAGTATAACATATTCAGATATTTTTTTACATCTATATCTATCTATCTATCTACACACACACACACACACACACTTTCTGTGTATGTCCTCCAGGATTATCGTTAAAAGGTTTTCAGCACTGGCAGTTCTTCTGTGTTTGCTAGAATAAGACAGAAATCTCTTAGTAACAGAACTATTTTTAAAATGTTTTAAAAATAATAAACCAAGCTTATTCACTATTTATTACATTTATTTAAGTTTTGTGCTATAAATGGTTATACTGAATGTGAAAATAGAACTGTGACAAACACGTTAAATAGCTTGATTTGCATGTACAGTAAATATTGATATATGGTTTTATGTACATGATATTATTTCAGAGGCTCCCGAGAATTATTGGAAGACCCTGACAACAATTTATCTGCCTCAGATTCCGATTCACCTATTCCTACTTGTATGCCTTTCTCTTGGTTTGGAGACAGCCATAAAGAACATAGCTCTAGTAGCACCCTGAGTTTTTCTCAGGGTGGGCAGGATATTGCCATTGAACAAAGTCAAGAGAAGACCAGAAGCAAGGTAAATGTTGTTTGTTTGAATAAATTATGCATGTTTAGATATGCTGACTTCCTCAACAGTTAATATTGCTTAGATTTTCTAGAGCTATCTTATGTTTTATTCGAAGCCAAAAGACTATCTTATATCTTGTATACAAGTTGGAAATGCAGTTTACGCATTAGTTATCACTGTACATATTTCTAGGGATGTTTATGTGAGAACTGCATAGATCTCTCTTAATGTGTGAAATTTCAGTATGGCATGAAATACTAGTTAAATTTAGCTTCTATACTACAGTCCAGAAATTACTGTAATACGTAGGCTTGGATTCAGGACTTCTCCTGATAAGGCAGTACTTCATTTGGAGTAATTCAAGTCATGGGAAAGAGAGCCCTTTTTCTTTTTCTGTAGTCAAATCTTCTGTCACTTCACTATTTAAGGAATAATCCAGTCCTTAGGGAATTGGATTTAGCAGTGCAAAGGACTGCTAAGAGAGAGCTCTGTTCCATCAGGAGAAATATTTTGCTAAATCAAAATCTTTCTGGGTTCAGCAATCATTTCATATTATTTATTGGTTTATTACAAGCTATAAAATAACTATTTCTTTCTCCTAGCTGTAAAATTGTATTAAAATAATTAAAATTAATTGCTTCTGACAACTTTTCCATTTATAAAGATATGTATATTTGTACAACAGTTAAAGCAACTAACCACAAGTACAGAATTTTTTTTACTAACACTAATTTTCCTTAAATTAACATGTCTCTAATTGACAAATCTTGATTAGTAATGATGGATCCAAGAACTTGCAAGATGACTGTCAAGATGTTTAAAAAAAAGAGTGTGAAATGTGGGGAGGCATGAATCAGTGCCTTTTGTTGTTAAATCAAACATTACTATTAAACTCCCTGTCTCAAATTTAACAGAACTGCTAAAGTACTTAGTCAAAAAGTTTATATTTCTTTATTTTGTGCCTCCTGCAGTGATTTAATTAATTTATTCAATATTAATTGATCGTACTAAGCAAACTACTTTTTGATACCAGTGATCCACCATATAATTCTGAAAAAAATTCTATGAACTCTGCAACTTTCTTGGTTAAGATGCAAACAACATATTCAAAATAGTAAAATTGTTTAATGTATTTAGTTAAATTCAGGCAAATTTTCCTTCTAAACTCCTTAAGTAATGACACATGGAAGACAATGGGATTCCTCTGCTATAATAAATATGTTAGGTAATTTTGTTTATCATTGAAAGGGGCTCTTGCATATTTTTATGTATCAAGTTGATATTTAGATAAACAATAGCTAAATCTGTTAAAAGCTACATTTTCTGTGCTTACAGAAAGTAATTATTCGAAAGCGGAATCTAACAATGTCATCACCCAGTCTAGTGCTTATAAGCTTGCATTCTACATCCTTTGTGATAATGTTAATTTAGTGAGTAAAACTTTCTGTAGCTTGGTTTTCTTTTATAGATTTATTTGTTATTTCAGTTTGGTGATAATCTTCGGTATGCATTCCAAGCCATGCTTTTTTAATTTTGTCTGCCTTTTCTTTGACAGATCATTTCTTATATCTTGCAAGTTTGCAAAGTATTTGCCAACATGATTTTAACTAATTTATGCCTGTTTGCAAATGGCTGAATGGTTTCCTTTCACTCGGGAAAACTTATTTTGTATGGCTTGTCAGTTGGCAAAAGAGAGTGAATCAATCAGGAAAGTAGCACTCTGGTTAGATTCACAATCATCCTAAGGTTTAGCTAAATCATAATATAGTTTTGTTTGACTTAGGATGTTGTGTGAACTTAGCCAGTGCAGTTTGTAGTTCATCAGTGAAGCAATAATGGGTTGTTGGATCCAGACTGACCATTCTGTGGATCTATTAGCATAATACATACATTCATGTAGGTATAAGAGTCTCGTAGAATGCAAAACAAACTGTTCTTTTCCCAGATAACATATCCCCACTGTAGAGCCTGACTGGCACTTTCCTTTTTTCATCCAAATTAGTTAATATTTATACCACATTAAATACAAGAAATATGAAATACAAATTGATTGAGTCATATCAAATGGGATCATTATTTGGTGCAAAGTAATATGTGTAGAATCACCACTTAATTTTTGTGTGAATATCAAATCCCTATTATAATTCATCTTGCACAATTTAGCTATTGCACAAATACTTTTTGCAAATTATTACAAGTAGGTCTATTAAACAAGTAGTTTCACATTCTATTATGATGACATCCTACTAGTTGCTGTTAAAACTAGTTATACTTTTATGTTGTTATTAAGTCGATTGAGTAAAAGTTCAGTTTAACATTTTTCTCATGCTGTTTCTTGATGTAAAAGCTGGATGTCTTCAAGGAAAATATAAGTAGCCTTAAAGAGTGTGTTCCTAATCAATTCTGCCCATTGCTCTTCAAATCCCCATTGATTGGGATCTTAATAAAAGCATTAGTAAAGTAGTCTAATTTCAGTTAAGGTACCTGTTCCCTTGGTGATTCTGATCATTAATCTTGAGCAGTATTTGTTTGCAATGCAGTCTAAATTACAAACACTAAATGAGTTGTACTAGCACGTAATGTTCAGCAACTTAAAAGTTGTAAAGAAGTTCAGTGTCTCTGAGCTATGAAATATTAAGTTGCTAAACAGATACAGGTAGTCTTCAACTTACTACCACAGTAGAGCCTGGAATTTTGGTCATAAGTCATTGCTGTCATAAGTTGAGTCATTATATTATCAGACTCTATTCTATAGCCATTTTTATGACAGTCATTAAACAAATCACAAGATCATAAGTCAAAATCAAGCTCATCCAATGGGCCTTTTTGCCAGAAAAAAAATCACAAAACATAATCACATGATTGCAGGACACTGCAAACAGGCGTAACTTTTTCAAGCATGTTGTAACTTCGAACTGTTGTTAAGTGAGCAATCATACCTGTACATATTTTTCACCTTCGTAACAGTAGCTATTATATACATTTGGAATTTATTTATTAAACTAATATGCCGTTCACCTTGCCAAAGTCAACTCTAGACAATTTAAAATCAGTAAAAACACCAATGTAAAACATTAATGCAATAAATAGAGAAATTAAATTTGAATTTAAATTGATCAAGATGGAGAGGAAGCAAGCAAGATATTTATTTCTTTTTCATACATTATTTCCCTGAAACAGTGAAAAAACAAATAAATAAATGTATTTCAAACTGGGACAAAAACTGTTTTGCGCTGAGAGGCCATATGTGTGTGTGTGTGTGTGTGTAGGTCTAGGTGTGTTCGGGTCTTTTCCCGTGTAAGATTAAGAGGATCTTGGCGATGTTTCGGCGAGGTCCTACTCGCCATCCTCAGGCTGGTGCTTTCGGCTTTGTGCCAGTGCAAGCAGTGTGTGATTGGAGCTGCCGTCTCTCTACAAATAATGGTGGGGGAGGGGCTGGTGTATTGGGCTGGTTGGCTGCGCTGCTGCCTCTTGATTGGTTGATGGAGTTGATGTTGGTATAATGGGCTGTGTGGTGGCCTTGTGAGTTTTGTTGTGGAGATATCCTGGATCTTGTGCTGTAATCTCCTGGGTCGTTTGTTTTGTAGTGAAACAAAACCTACAATCCAGCGACCTACTCGTGAGCTTCGATGTCATATCCCTCTTCACCCAAGTACCCATCAAAGAAACCTTGACGGCCATCCAAAACAAATACAACCCCCCCAAACACATCCTAGTTCTGACCAACCATTGCCTAACCAACACATACTTCATCCACAAAGGACAAAGATACAAACAGATAGAAGGAGCACCCATGGGATCACCCCTCTCACCCGTCATCGCTAACCTATACATGGAACACTTTGAAACCAATGCTCTTGACAAATCCGAATACAAACCCAAACTCTGGCTCAGATATGTAGATGACACTTTCATAATTTGGCCACACGGAAAAGAAAAACTGGACAACTTCCTCACACATCTTAACAACCTAAACCCCAAAATACAATTCACCATGGAAACAGAAACCAACAACCAACTTCCCTTCCTGGACATCCTAATTTACAAAATGGCTCCCTAGGACACACCATCTACTGGAAAAAAACACACACCAACCACTACCTAAATGCACAATCCCATCACAACCCTGCACAGATCAACTCCGAAGCCAAGACCCTCATCTCCAGAACCAAACACCTAGCTTACAAAGACCACCTGAGAACAGAACTACACACCCTCACTAACGTATTAATTTCCAACGGATTCCAAAGAAACACTATCACCAATCTAATCCAAAAAGAGATACCCCCCAAAAACCAAGACACAAAACAAGACAACGGTATCGCACTCATCCCCTACATCAAAGGCACCACAGACAAAATCAGCAAAATTCTCCACAAACACAATATCAGGACAGCCTTCGGCACTGACCAAAAAATAGCCAACATCCTAAGAAACCCCAAAGACAAGATCCAGCTAGAAAACCAAGGAGTTTATGAAATACCATGCAACAATTGCCCAGCCACATACATTGGACAAACCAACAGGAGAATAAATGCACGCATCACAGAACACAAAAATGCAGTCAGAAGAGAAGAAAATACTTCCTCCCTCTTCCAGCACCTTAAAGCCACAGGACATGAAATTAATTTTGAAGGAACCAAATTAATATTCAACACTGAACACTCCAGCAAGAGAATAATCAGGGAAGCCATCGAGATAGAGAAACACCCCCATAACATGAATAGACGGGACGATACCTCCCGCCTACTAGACATCTGGAAGCTATCCCTCACCAACAAACGAGTCCCAGCCACGAAAACCAACACCAGACCCAAAACAACACGGGACACCATCACCAATCCCCCTCATCAGACCCAGGCCCAAGCCCATCCTATAAACAAAGGACAACCACCATCCAGAAAACAGACCACGGCTGCTTTGCAGCTGTCGCACCCCCAACCGCAAAACCAAACAACCTGACACATGCCAAGAACACAGACCCAGACCCCAAACTCGAAGCCAGACTAAAACCCAGAATGCTACATCACAGCCACCCGCTCAGGATATCACATCAGAAAACTCAGAAAATTACACCACAAGAACTCAAGAAGTTACAACACAGCAAATGACCCAGGATATCACAGCACAAGACCACAGCGATAAGTCTTACAAGGTCATCACACAACCCATTACCCAAGCCATTACTACACAGGAGGCTAATGGAAAAGAGATCAAAACACAAACAACCCAGGAGATTACAATGCAGGACTCAGGATACCACGACAAAAGAACTCGCAAGCCCATCACACAACCCATTACCCAAGCCGTTAAAACACGAGAGGCTAATGGAAAAAAGATCACCACAAAACAAACCAGGAGATTACAGCACAAGATCCAGAATATCTCCACAACAAACTCACAAGGCCATCACAGAGCCTATTATACCAACATCAACTCCATCAACCAATCAAGAGGCAGCAGCGCAGCCAACCAGCCCAGCACACCAGCCCCCCCGCCCCCCACCAGTATATATAGAGAGACGGCAGCTCCAATCACACACTGCTTGCACTGGCACGAAGCCGAAAGCACCAGCCTGAGGATGGCGAGTGGGACCTTGCCGAAACGTCGCCAAGATACTCTCAATCTTACACGGGAAAAGACCCAAACACGCCAAGACCTGCATACCTGTACCCGTGAAAATCTACGAATATATACATACATATACATATATATATATGTATATATATACATATATATATACATGTTTGCTGAGGTTCTCGCGGGTATTTGTATGTGGATCTTTGGTTATTCAGGTTTTCTCCTGCGTAAAATTGGAAGTATCTAGGCAACGTTTCGATGAAGTATCATTCATCATCTTCAGGCTTGTGTCTTCGGCTCTGTGCTTCTCAGAGTAATGTGAGCTTGCAGCTGCTTCTTCCTTTTAACTGCTAGTGGGGGTGTGACTTGATTGGGTGGGGGCTTGGCTGTGTTCTGATTGGGTGGGGGTGTGTTCTCATTGGTTGGGGGTTTGGCTGTGTTCTGATTGGTTGGGGGGGTTGGCCGTGTTCTGATTGGCTGGGGGTGTGTTCTGTTCAGGTGGGGGCTTGGTTGTGCTCAGGTTAGTCTTAGTTGCTGGGGGATTTGATCTGGTGAGCTGTGATCCTGCTGTTTGGCTTCGTGGTCGTGCCGCATCTTCATGATGGGCGTCAGTTTGCTTCATGTATGGGTCGGAGGAGTTTGAAGCGGGTAGTGATGCAGCTGCGGTGCGCCTTCTGGTCCGTGGTCGTGTCTCATCTTCTGTGTGAAGAAGATGCAGGACCCAGGATACCACAACAAAAGAACTTGCACTGTGTGAAGAAGAACCGACCTCTTCCCTGGTCCAACACCTCAAAGCCACAGGACATGAGATTGACTTTAAAAATACCAGACCTATCGCCAAAACCGAACACTTCAACAACAGAATAATCAGAGAAGCCATAGAGATAGAAAAACGCCCACACAGCATGAATAAACGAGATGACACCTCCCGCCTACCAGCCATTTGGAAACCCGCCCTCATGAACAGATGAGTACCTAACATGAAGAATGACACCAGACCCACAGCCACGAGGGCCACACAAGATGCCACCACCACACTTCCACGTAGAAAGCAGACTCACACCCACACAGAAGATGAGACACGACCACGGACCAGAAGCCGCACCGCAGCTGCATCACTACCAGAATCAAATGGCTTATACATTTAATAATAATACAAATCACCTATTTTAAGGAGATCTTTAATTTTCCTACAAAAACTTGACTTGTGCATTTTTGTTTCTTTTTTTCCTTTTGGGTGACTATTCTGGCTAAATAAACCAACACTCAAATTTCTAATCCAAACTGTTTTGAAATGTATCTCTACAGCCATATGATGGTGATGACAAAATCCTAAAATACATTTCCCATAAGATTTGAGCAAAGTACTTATTGGTTGATATTAATATTTTCAGGAGAAAGGGTTTGTGCATTTCTTCTTATTAATCCAGTAAAAATAAATTTCTGAGGATTGGAAGGAAACTCTAAAATAAAAGGGCTGCAACAGGAAGGGGCAACCAGCAAAATAGCTTCTCCTTTGCATAATTGGAAATAGCCAGTAGCTAATGCTGCTGGTGGAAATCTCCGTTTTCCATTAACATTTATAACTTTGTATCTCAGATGACCACTGGTCTCAAGGAATAACTTTGTCACTAACCTTGTATTCCTAAAAGACTTACTTCCTACTGATAAAACCTCAATATTTACATATTATATGTTGGGAAGTAATACATAAATGATTGTATAAGTGATGAATATTATTGTGTGTGTGTGTATATAATATATATATATGTATGTATGTATGTATGTATGGTATTCAGCTTTGTTCGGGTATTTTCCCACGTCATTATAAAATACCCGAACAAAGCTGAATACCATACATATAAATACCCGCGAAAACTTAAGAAAACTTTATATATATATATCTTAATGCTATTGTTAAGTAGGTGCTTTTTTATTTTTACATTTAAAAAAAGGTACTTTGTCTCCTTGTGATTTATTCCAAGGGGGTAAGTTAACAAAACATTATTTTCACTTGTTTGCAGAGTAGAATTTTCATAGATGATTCATATCATAGCAAGCCAAGTTGTGATCTGTCAGGGTTAGTGGCAGAGCCTAATCTTTCAGGGCGTTCACACACTTTAACCTTCTCTTCAGATGAGGTGAGTTTCAGTGTGTCTCTGTGTGTTGTTGATGTCACAGTTCAGACCACCTTGTCATTTCAGTTTGCATAACATAACAATAATAGTCATTAGTTATCCAGCCAGTTTTTGGTCTGCTACTTAAGTTCAATACATTACTTTTCTTTCTGTGTCAATATTATCATTATTTTCCTTGGAGTTTTGTAAATAAATTTGTTACATGTATTTGCAAATATAATAAATGGTATTTTAATTTAAATATTTAAATGAAGTGATAATTTTATAATTATTTACTATAATTTATAAATAAATATATCTGTGAAAAGATAAAGCCATTTGTCTTTCCAAACATGGGTCCAATAAGCACAACATTTTTAATGGCAACCGAAATCTATGATTTATTGATTTTGAGTAGCTCTGATGAATCCAGTATACTTCATAAGGATTCTGGTGATAGGATTGATATGAATGGCATGTAATCAGAGGTGGCATCCATCAGGTTCTGACCATTTCTGGAGAACCAGTAGCGGAAATTTTGAGTAGTTCGGAGAACCAGCAAATGCCACCTCTGACTGGAGATTTTACAGTATCCTTCCCCTGCCACGCCCACCAAGCCACGCCCACAGGACCGGTAGTAAAAAAAATTGAATCCCACCACTGCATGTAATGGGATTTCTAAGAGAACTACAGAGTTCTCAAGTGCCATTTTCCATGCTAAGATGCTTCTTCAGTCTTTGGACTATAGGGTATAATTCTAGCCATTGAAATTATTTTAGAATCTTTATGAAGCCTTTTTTTTAAGTGGGAAAACTTTCAAAATTATGCAGGATTAAATGAGGGCTTTTGTTTTGCTTTTATTTGTGATAAAAGATAAGATCAGCATTTGCTGATCAGTGTTAAAAGGTCCTTTATGTGGTTTATAGCCTGCATATAGTTTACTCTAAAAAAATGTTTTTGCTAGTAATTTCCGTTTTTATGCTTTTGGGGCTTCTTTGTAAGAATTTTATTTTGGAGTTTAAATTCTTCTCCTGTATCTGTGTCTTCCAGTTATTTTAAGAATATTGTATTTTAAACGCAATTTAATTATTTTTGGCTGTTTATTTTCTTTGTTGGAAACATGAGTTGATTTTGATTGAGAATGATGGCTCCATCCATGTTTTGTTTACAATTATGGCTTTCCTATTTAAAAGAAATAAACTGGATTATCTGGTTTGCTTGATACACTAAAGTAGGAAAAGGCAATCTGCAGCTTGTGCTCTGCTTATCGTCTCCAAACTTCTCCAACTTTGCAATACGTATTCAAATTTGGTAATGAACTCCTGAATAATGGTTCTGTAGCCAAAAAAATTTAAATGGGATTGGCACAGCCATTTAACTCCCATTTTACAACATGTTAAATACAATGAATAAAAATACTTTAAAGTTTACAGCAGGATCCCCAACCCCTGGGCTGTGGCTCACTTCCTGACCGTGGCCTATTAGGAATTGGGCTACATAAGCAATGGGCTGGGCCGTACACGCGCAGCCCTTGCACAAGTGGTGGGCCAATGCACAAGTGCTGCATGCACACGTGGCACGGTCGGCCACTCACATGGGCCAGTTCTCCTCTCCCCCCCTCCCACAGCCCGGTCACCAAGCTGCAAAGATTGGGGACTGCTGGTTTACAGTACTAGCTGACTACCTGTATCTGAAACTGGTTCTTGTTGGCCAGACATACCAGCTTGTGTGATTTGACTCAAGCTGTGCTTTAACTCATTCTAATTCATATTATGGCTTTATGCAATGCACAAGCTATTTTATACTTCAGTCTGAGTAGGGCCACCGAGATTAATACATTAACTGAGTTTAAACTTGAGACATTTTAGACTTCCTCTTACGTCATGAATTTGAAATGAATAGCGTATCTTGGTCCAGAAAGAACATGCAAACAAAAATAGTAGATTGTCAGTTTTTAGCAAACAGGATGAAATTCTAGGATCAAATGAGTCAATCAAATAATCAGCTACTTGCTAGAGGTGTAATCTGCTATAGGAGAAATATGTAAAGTAATTTGGGTTATAATGACAGGTGAAATTGATCTCAGAAAAATTATTGGAATAACATTTTGAAGTAAAACTTTTCTGCATAGCGAATAGACAGTGTTGTGCTCAATAGATGGCATTGATTAAGATTATTTTCTTTAGTCAAAGATTATATCCATTTTTTAGAAAACCCACACCTTTATTTTTGGATAAGAAATTTTAATATTTCTAGAAGTAGTAATAGTGACAAAGAACATGGTCTCTGTAGCTCCCTTAGCAATATCTTCATGAGATACTGCAAACTAGGGCAAACAAACCAATTTGCCAATAAAAGAATACTTTGCAGTTAATTATATATTAAAACCAACATAGAATTATGTATACATAAGTAAGCATTACAGTTGCTTCCATTGGCCCATCCACTGAATTAACCGAAATTGTATGTCTAAAGCAATATAAAAATGGTTTCAGATTTCAATTTTTTTCCTTCTATTTTTTATAATTGGTCCATCTTTAAATTCCAGTAAGCTTTGCCAACAATAATAGTTTTTTCAATCATTATTCTGTACGTAGAAAACCAGAACTTAAAGGATTTTTAATTAATGTTTAGTTCATAACAAATGTAATTTATCAAATTGTTCCTGTAAGTACAATAGTGCCAGGGTTTTGGCAAGGCTTGTTCATTGTCTTAATGGTGCTCACTTTGAGCTGTTACGCACATAGAAACAGCATGGAATGTTATTTAACTTCCAAAAAGTAACTGACTCGTCTATTCAAAAGATGTTAACATTTTATATGGAGAACAATGTAAGGAATGGTTTCAGAGATCTAATGATTAAACCTGTTTTGACACAGGTATGTTTTAAAATCTTCATGTTAAATCCACTGTGAAAGCTTTGAAAGGTTTTAAAACACTAGAAATGTTAATTATTTTCTAGTTTTAAAATCAGTAAAATTAAACTATTGTTTATTGGGGAAAATTAATTAATTTGATTTTACTCAATCAGACCATAGATGATGAACCTTCAGCTACTGGAAAACAAAACCAGTGGCACAACAGGCCCATTTCTGAATGGACTACACAACAGGTCTGCCACTGGCTAATGGGAATGAACATGGAGCAGTACATCTCGGAATTCACCACCAAGAATGTTGATGGGCAACAGTTAATGCTACTTGACAGTGAAAAGTTGAAGGTAAGCAGATGTTTCTGTGTAAATTTGTATTATGCTTAAGATAATGGTATTAATTTTATTTTCGCTATATTTAGAAAATCCTGGGTGGAACAGTGCATTGCATTAAATGGACTTTTTACTTACAGAATAACGCAGTACTATTTAAACTCTTGCTTCCTACCTAGGGTTTACAACATTAATTTGAAGTTTGTTCTAGATTCTACATATTCTTTCCATGACAGAATAACAACATTGAAATGTTATATTTCAAGGTTATATTTCATTGAATGTTATATTTCCTTAAATGATTAAAAATGACATAGTACATTCCGTAGAAAGGCAAATCCATATGCTTGCTAGGCAATGAAGACATACCAATTAGACACAGTTGGTTTTCTCAGGAAATAGATTGTTTAGGATTATGTTGTGAAATCATTTTAGGATTTACTTCCTAAATTATAGGAAACAATCTAAGGCAAGACTATCAGAAGCAAGTCACATTGCATTCAATGAGGATTATTCATTATTAAACAGTATAGGATTATAATCTATCCAAATTCATTTTAAGTTTTTATTTGAGTTGAGAAAGAGAATTGTAAGTGCATGATGTAATGTGTGAAAAACGCCAAAATGGGTTTATAGTCTTATCAGAGGTTGCCATCTGCTGATGAAAATTTATATTACATCCGTTTAGAACATTACTATGATTTCATCTATAATTTTTAAGAAATACAGCATGGTATAAATGGGTTTTGGGTTTTTTTGTTTTTTGTTTTAATAATTATCCTGTGAAGTTAAGTTATTTCAGAAATTGCTGTTGGAGTAAGCCATTGATCTTGATGACTGAGCTGGGGTTAGAATCTAACTGTTTTCTAGTGGCTATACTTCATTTGGTACAGCTATTTACCTACCAGTACATATTCTCTGAATGATATTCCATTTTTCCCTTTCAAAATCCTCTGCCACAATACATTTTTGAAAGCTTTCTCAGAATTTGCAGCAGTCTGTACATGGTAAAAAAAAGCAGCTGTAAATAAAAAAAATAAAAAATAAAAAAGCAGCTGTAAATTCAGGTGTAAATACATGTTTAGAACTGGTCGTTTGATTTTTAGATTCTATAGAACTACCTAACGGTTTTTAGAAGAAAGATTCTGAAAATATTTGTTATAGTCCAATGCATTTTAGTTACACTGAAACACATTTGGTTGATTCCAGACTTAAACTTGGAACAAAGTTTAAGAAATCAATAAAGATTCAAAGATCATCATGACAAACAATGTTAATAGGTTTGCTACATTGGTGGGTTTTTTTGTTTTTGCTAAAACCAAAATAATAATATAAAATAATAGCAACAGCAAGCATTTCTGGTGCCTGTAACTCCATGTAAGGTTATTCCATTCCATTCCCTTTTTACCCAAACTGGGTAAAAGTCTTCTAAGCCATGACCTCCACTTTCCAGCAAGAGCAACGAGTCAAGTACACCAAGATTGTGAGTTTTCTCTCCCTGATGCCCCATCAAGTCATGGCTTTCTAAATCGATAGCTCCTCCAGCCTGTTTGGGTTAGGTCTGAGCCTGTTATTCCCCATCCAGGACCTGATAGCTTCCAGACACCAGTCAAATGTTTAACATACCTGCCATTTAGCCCAGAGTGATACTAAAGAACTGGATATCCCCCACATATTAATGACTTCTTTTCAATAATGTTGCCAATTGCTTCTGTAGAGGAAGCCATAGAAATTGGCCTTTTTTATTTCTGCTGTAGCTGCAGGGAAGATATTTTAAAATTTGAAATTTTAATTTTTTGTTTATAAAAATTAATGCTACAATAAAAGACTCTCTTTTTACCATATTCTGCTCTGCTCAACATACCTTCTCTTTTAAAGGCTTTAGGAGTATCCAGTCAAAATGACCGATCAACAATAAAGAAAAAAATTAAAGATATTAAAAAAACACAAGAAAAACTGGAGAAGCAGAAAGAAAAGTTTCAGAAGAAAGAGAAAGAAGTGCGAAAAACTGGCAAATTGGTGACTGCTGTGGAATCAAACTGCTAACATGATTTGATACCATACTACTTTCTTCTGGAATAGCTGAAGCTAAACTAGAACTGTACCAATATAAATGCTTCAGTCTTTATTGGATAAGAATCCAACTCGAGAAAGTGTAACAACTGTATATTTCTGTATAATTATGGGGGGAAGAAAATGATAGTTTTACAGTGACAGACTTAGCTTAGCTCTGATTTCTATAGTCCTTTCCCATTTATACAGTTGCATTAAAATATTTTCAGTTTTTATATTTAGATTATTAACTTGTACTAATCAATATTAAATTAACTATTTTTCAAGGAATATGTATATATGTGTCTGGCTAATTCCCTGAAGTGTCTTTGGAAATGGCATAGACAATTTATTAAAATACAAGATGTGATACAAATTCCAGTATAACGGGGGTATGGTAAACAGATGCTATCAGGTCATTATGGTCTGTTGGAGATAGTTTGTTGCCCATAGTATTGTATAGAAAGAAATTAAGTTTTAAGAAGTAATAGAAAATTAATTTAATGTAATGAAGTGTTTACAATCTGTATTTTTCAGAGTTCATTTTAATTTCAAAGCATTGTAATAATATAATTCGTTAATATTTTCTAAAATACGTTTTTCTATGTTTTGAATATGTTAAGCATGACTTCAAAAGTTATCTTTTATATACTTTTGGATACAATGTTTTTTATAGTTCCTGTGATTAATCAGATCAGAATGCATAACCCTTTCCTACTTAAATGTTTGAGGACCAAATTATATTTTTGATGATTTTTACATGCTGTTGGTCTTCCAGATTTACGTTTTCCAGATAGACTTATTCTTATCTCACTATTTAAATTAAACAGAAGGTTTCTGCATTATACATATTTACACTATAGAATTCAATATGTCTTTGTTTTCATGAATAATTATTTGTTCTCCAGAATGGTGTAAATCACAATTGATTTGCCATTGAGCAGCAGCACAATCTTTTGTAAAATACGCTATCTTAGAATGACACTTTTGAAAAATGGAATAAATTTTGTTCAAAAAAAGAAAAATCTGAATTTTTGAACATTATTAATGCTTGTGAATGTTGCCCAATGTAATCTAATAGGCAAACTGTTAAAAAAACCTACTGTTTCAGAGAACCGAAGTTATGGTTCATTTTTCACATATGCTTTTCACATTTTTCACAGAAAATTACAATCTTTTTGTTAAAACTGTAACCTATGTGCCCAGAAAATCTATTCCTAGAGGGTGCTGAACTCACTTTGTACCAAGACTCACTCCAGATATTATGCCTCATCTTAATAACCATTCCAGAATGTGAAGAAAACCCATTTCCTGAAGAAACAATTGAAGCTGGTGATAATATGGCACCCCTTGCAGAAATGGAAGGCCACCCTGGAATCAAATGATTTGACAAAGAATAGTCAGAAGTGCTGGAAACTTGAAACATCTGAATAATGATTCAACAAATTCATATCAATATAAGAACTTCATGGCAAACCAAATAGCTCATCGGCTGTTGTTAAATGGCAGGGTTAAGGGGAGACTTAACAAATGCAGGCTTCCAAGGCCGATGGAACGGGAGGCCAGTTTATTATCCTCCCCCTTTTATAGAGAAGAACCAGAAACAATAATACAAGATATGAAGAATGGGATTGGATGATATTTGTGTTGAACAAATTTTAAAAAATTGAAATTTTAATAAGCAATGGTTGTTTTCACTTTTAAATACTTGTATGGCCTCAAAAGTATATTCTCCAATGATCTGGAGGAAAGCCCAGGTTATTGAATTTATGAAATCTGGGAAAGAACCGAAAAATCCAAAGAACTTTTGTAAAACTTTCCTCACCTGCCATCTCTTTAAACTCTATGAGAGTTCTAATAAACAGAATGTTTCCTGTTATTTCCCAAAAAGCAGGTTTCTGACCAGGGAAATCCTGCACAAGTCAGATACTTAAAAGTTGTCCAGCATATAGGGGATGGCTTTCAATCAAGTCTAATCACAGGAGCTGTTTTCATAAACTTATCTGTAGTTTATGACACAGTTAATCACAGGAAACGTCTGAAATTACACAATATCACACATGACCCTTGCTTTGACTAACTGCATTGACTTGATCTCCTGGTCTAGGTAGCTGACAGACAATAAAAAAATTCAAATGACAAAAACTTCAGAGTGTTCAGAGTCTGTTCACTACCTGGATTGAGAGATCGGATTTAAATTTTCTTTTTAACTTGTCTCTGAACCTTTTGGGATGAGATTTCTGTTCTCTACAAAATGTAAATGTTTCAGTGCATAGTCACATATGTTCAGAGAAGTAGACTACAAACATTTATTGTAACCAGAATGAATTTAAAATTCATTTGAAACAGGAGCTATCACCCATTCAATACACTGTAGGCCTTTAAAAAAAAGTCAAACTTTATTTAATTTTTTTACAAAAATTAGTGTCATTTTTCTTACAAATCCAACTTTTCATAGTACAAGACTAATCTAAAAACAAAAAGTGTGATTGCTTTCCATTTTACATTTCAACTATGAGGACACTGATTTTTGTATCTAGTTGTGTGAAATTCCCATAAATTTGTTTATTTTAAATACTGTGTTAATAGAAATCAAACTTCAAAATAACAGCAAATAAATCCATTTTGTAGCATAAACAATTATTTTCTATAAACTTTCAATAATATGAATTGTCAAACACCCTATACCATCTCTTTTCAGTAAGGACAAAATATACATACACCCAAAGGCCTATATGCAAATCGAGTGGTGTCTGTTAAACCTATTTGTATCATTTTCAGTCTGGCATGTGGCAGATAAATTTCATTATTGGATTATCAGACCATAGGCTTACTTGAGTGCTGTTGACATTCGTAATTCATTCAAGGATAGAAAATACTAATCCAATCTTTCTCTGGTCCTTTACCACAGATCATATTTTCTTGCGATTCAAATGGACACCTGAGCTTGAAAAATTAACTTTCAAGGGCCAAAACCAGCTATCAAGCTCCTGACTAATGATTCATGTAACAAAATGTTTCCTTCCAACAATGATTAATTCCATAATGTAGGCTTACTATGTACTGTTGCTTGTTTGAAAACTACCAGCACTGATCTACCAGTGTTGAAAGGATAACCTTATCCTGTGATTTAATACATTTATAGTTTATGATGGAGGAAATGTAAAATTTCCCAACACAAAGGTAGCTCTTGTCTGCTATTTTCCTGATCATCTAAAATCTATACCTTGGCACTGTCGTGTTTTAAGGCTTTCGCCAATGTAAAAATGTGTTAAGGATTATGGCCCTAAGCACTGTAATTGAGAGGGCTATTCCTTAGTTGCTATCTCTAGACTTTCCATTATTCTTCTAACAACTGCCTATAAAGGAAACTCAAAATAGAAATACTATTTCTCCAACAAACGGCCTGAACCTTTTCATAAGGAATTTAACAGGGCTGCTCTCAGAACCTTTTTCCCAAGAAATTTCACCAGTTAGCCTAGAAGTGATCAGCAATTTCCATTAAAAAAAATAAAAGTATAATGTAAAGTGTTTCAAAAAACACTTGCACTGGGACATTTAAAATGATTTGCACTCAAAATAGCTTTTTAAAGTTTGTTAAACATGGAACAAAAAGGCCTGTTTTCCAAACAAGTCCTGGGTCTTCTGACACCTTTGATCTACCTTGCCTTTTATTTTCCCAAACATGGGAGCTAGTAACGAAGGCAGTCATTCATAAAGGAAGAGCCATACTGCTAGGGTCTATCACTGCTATCGTTCAGAGCTATTTGAGCAGGAGGGAACCAGTACAATGGAGGTTGGTTTATGGGCAAGTCGATAAATGAGATTTATTTTGGACACAAGGAAGATAGGTAAGCATCAGCGGTGGGATTCTACCAGCTCGCACCTATTCACTAGAACCGGTTGTTAACATTCTAAGCAGTACCCGTTGTTAGAAGAAATTACTGGCCTAATCCTGTAAGGAAGGCAGGAAGGAAACATTCTGGTGTTGCTTACAGAAGCTGCCTCTCCGTTAACCCTTATTACATTCTTGGCAGGACTAGAGACTTCCTGTCTCAGGAACGTCTCTGGAGTTTTTTCCCCCTCCTTTGCTGGTACTTTGCTTGTGTGGAGCGACCATTCAAAGTTACAATGGCACTGGAAAAAGTGACTTATGACCATTTTTCACACTTATGACTGTTGCAGCATCCCCACAGTCATGAGGCCAGGCGAGGAGATGCGTGCCTCGATGTGAGTGATGTTGAGTTGGCCACGCCCAGCCAATAACATGACCAAGCCATGTCCACCCAGTCACATGACCACCAAATTCCTTTGTTATGGAGGAATTTGTCGTTTTGTTGCTTTTCTTCCATGAATTGCTGACCTGAGTCAACGGATGATGCTTCCTCACTGGGCTCTGTTCTATGGCTATGCGGAACGATTGTTTTCTTCATTATTGGTTACAGGTTTTTAAAAACATTTTAAACATGGCTATTTTCTCTGTGGTAAGAAGCAGTCAGGATGGACTGCCACCACCCTTTCTTTGGTGGTTCCAAGACTAAAACAATGAAGCTAATTCGGCCATTGTTCCCTATAGGAATAAGATTCATAGTAGGTGAAGTTTTGTTCCATCAAACATTTGAAATGTTCTATCGCAACTGCGGAGGAGGATAACTGCGTATCACCTGGGGTCAGTCTGTCCGAGTAACTGGGGAGTATGGGGGGGGGAGAGAAGAGGGATATAAAAAGGTGCATTTCCAAAATAAAAAGCTTGAGAATTGAAACCATACTGGAACACAACGAAGCACCACAGAAGGAAATTAACTAATTTTTAGTAGTGAGTAAATGGTTTTTACTTGCAGAAAGCAGCTTATTTTATGTGTTGATCTAGTGACTGTAACTGCTTTGCACTCTTATCGTTTTAATTGTCCTGATTAGCTATCTGTGATATTTTTTATAAACTAGGGCTCATTTTGCTGGAAGAGAGGATGTATTTCATCTTCTGGCCAACAATTATTTTTTAGAGGTGCAATATATTATTTCTTCGAGATTCCTGATGGAATACAGGATTTTGTCTCCTACCCCTAAGTGGAGTGGTACAATGACTACGAACTAATTAATGCTCAACAACAGCCTCCCTGATGAGAGAAACCCCAAAGCTGTTAACAGGCATTTTGCAAATGGGGCTGGTTTGTTTTAATTTCAAAGTATGTTGTTTCATTTTGCACACAACCCAATCATCATCACCATCATCATTTAATGACCCCACAATCCCTTGCAGGGTGGAATCTGGGCAACTGAATGGAACTAGGAGAGTGTTTTAATGGCCAGATGCCCTTCCTGTCACCAATACGGAGTTTTGTTCAGCAGATACATTCTCAGTGTGCCCAGAGAGAGAAAAATCTGCCTCTACCTAGGATCAAACTCAGTCTCCTGATTGTGAGGCAAGAGCTCCACCTCTAGGCCATCACACCACTCCTCCTTAGATGGTTTTCTGAAACTTTCATCTCAGTCAGTCAGACAAAAATATTCTAGTTATCTTTTGACTTGAAATGAAAATGGGAAATAGGTCCTAAATCCAATCTGCAGTGGTGTGGGGCTTCAAATCACTCAGGGTGTGTATGATGCTTTCCCAAGTATCAGCTGAGGGAATTAACCCAACCTTCTCTGTGTGTGTCTCACTAAGTCCAGTAATACTCAATGGGATTTATGATGTAATGTATTTAAGTCTGCAGTTTCAAGTTACATCCTTTACTTGTGTAACAGGGTTTTATTTTTGAGTAGACATACCACTTTAAGTAACTACAAAAGTAAAGGATTAGCAATGATATCAGTATTCAACTGACTTCAGTGGAATGAGATTTGTTTTTAATAACCTAAGTCATTTGTCAAATCTCCCTTGCAGAAAGGGAAAACATAATTGTAATCATTAAAAGGAATATAAATAAAATGACACAATATAACGTTCCAATTTCTCTTTTCTTAGAAAGCAAGCACATCTTATTGTCCTATGGAAATAGTAGAATAAATGTGAAAAGAAACTAATGCATTGCCATCCTTACCTCGCATATTGTGATCAAACTCTGTGAGACCAACTGTATTTGGCAACACTTGTGTATGAGTGGCATTCTATTGGGAAGGGTTTTATCAACATTACTAAGTTTCCTGAACATGAATGGAAAATTCAGCCCAAGCTGTACAATTTTAAATTCCATTAATATCTCAGAGGAAAAATAAGACTACAATCTTTTGCCTACTTAACTTGATAGTAACTCAGAGGCCAGACTCCTTTCTGAGGACATGGTGGCCCTGCATCCTTAAAAGATCTGCTTTGCTCTCCCCAGTTGGGAAAACACTACATCTGGACAAGCCAAGTGCTTCAAGTCCTTTGAAGTATCATTTATTTCATTGACAAGGATTTAAAACAGTTCAATTTTCAAAACAAAACAAATGAAGCACAAGCACTTCTATGTCTAGCTGTAAATCTATACCTATAAATATCAAGCTAAAGAGTTGTTTACGCTGACAGCAACCAGTTAATCAATTCCGCATAATGTTTAATACAAAAACTAAACAAACGAGATAAGCTCACATTGTTTCTCTCACATTGTAAAGCCCTTCTGAAGTCCTTGAGAGCACAAGGCTGTGCTAGTGCAACTGATTCCCAGAGGAGGCGTATAAAGGAAATATACAACAAATTGTTCACTGGAATGGCTGGTGGTTAAGCAGAACAATATTTGAGCACACTGTTCGGGTTTTTTATCCTCTTGACTTTGCTCAAGTAGTCTAAGGTGCATTTGCTGAAGTCATTTAAGTTGCAAAGACGGAAAAACACCACTTGTTAGAAATGAACACTGTAGAAAACTCTAGACAATGATATGGTTTTCAGACACCAGTTTGGATAGGGAGATGCATCCTTCCCTGTTAAAATATGTGGTAGTGGTACTAATAAGTAAGCTGACCATAGGCGAAAGGACCCTCTTTGACTCAGCTTGCATGGCCTCCTGCTGCTATGTGCTGCGGAAGGTTGTCATGTCCTTTGGTTCGCTACTTGGGACACACCAGTCATCTGCTTCGTGATTGGCTGTGTAATGTTTCCAGGCCGATTTGTTATACACCGGCAATTTTTCAACAGACTCAGTTGACAAAGCCTGCACCAAAAGAAAGGAGGGCGGAGTTAATAGCTTGCTAGGAACAAGTTTTGTATTTTAAAATGGAAGGAATTTGCCGCCACAACTAGTCCCTGACATACCTTTATAAAGACAACAGCATCTGTGCCATAACCCTCTAGAGAATAGAGCTTCAGATCTCCTTGGAAGTACTGAGCATACAGGCGCGATATAGGTAAACCATAACCAAATCCAGCCTAAGCCAAAAACAAAAACAACCGAAAATTCGAAACGTCTGAAGCAGATCTAACGTCAAAGGACAGATGAAGAGGCCAAAACATTACATTTACCACAAAAGAGGAAATGAAAGCACAATCCAACATGAAGACATAATATTCTCTGCTTTTTTTCCCATTGATGGCAAGGAATTTTTGCACAACTCGCATTTTGCCTTTTCTCTCTTCTCCATAGTTCCTGAAATGCTTGTCCTATAGGAACATTCAGAGTTTAGTGGGGCTTTTCCAGGCGGGGATTGCAGCCTTTTTGTTTTGCTGCTGACCACTAGTCCTCGCAGATAAGGTTATAAAATTATTTGTATCTGTTAGTTAACAGAAGACAAATGCATCTCAGAAATTTCATCAGTCAGTGCCCACAGATCCAAGCTGCTATTAGAAGCAGAAGAACCTGTTAAATAATTCCTCCCCCATCATACATTCACAGATGTAATGCAGAAAAGTAGTCTAAAAAAAGTTGAACTGAAAAGATATGGCCCTTTGCCTTCACCCCCTGCCCCCCCAAACAGCAAACCTGGTGCATTCATCCACTTTTGCTCTACCAAACTATCAGGGCCTTAAATGAGATTAAAGTTTTTCTGTGCTTCTGCTCAAGAAAATGTGAACATAGTATTTCCAAAACCTTCTTCGTATCCCACTGGAGAACAACGCTACATTGCTCAGAAAAAAAAAAAAATACTAGCCATACTGATACAGGAATAGTAACTAGGGCCATGCAATTCTTCCAATTTGCATGGAGAGGGGTACTTCAGATCTTATAAGGAGTCTCACCTGCATCTCTTGGTAAGTCTTTACAGATATTGTACCTATTTCAAGATCCGTTAAGTGCTAATATTAAAGTGAAGAGAGCTATAATGTTGGAGCCTAGTTCTATCCAGAAAAATGTCGTTGTGCCTTTTTTGACCTACAATAAACCATCATAAAATACAGTAGTTTTGTAATCACAAAAGTGATCTCTGAGCTCTATTCTCAAACACTCTCTGTCCTATACAACTAGATCATTTGGTTAATTGGTTTATTAGTCCAAATAAGCCACTTTGGTCAGGAGTACGTTTAAAATTGGTATGATTTTGAACAGTTAACCAACACTTTAGAACAGAGGAAAGAGAAATGACATTTGCCCACAGTGTCAAATAAGTGAAGGACAGCAACTCTCTTAACCTTTTTAAAGATTGGTTCAGGTCTGATTTTGAATGAAATTCAGCCTTGATTGCCTAGATCAGTGATGGCGAATCTTTTCAGCACTGAGTGCTGAAAAGGTCACGCAAAAATGTGGCACACACATGCTCATCAGGGCCACACCCCGGAAAAGTCAAACTTCTGGGTTTTAGCGTGCATGCACGCCCGACGATCAGCTGGCTGGCGTGCATGCACAGGCCGTTTTGTGGCACTGCTGCGCGTGTGAAGGGATCGTACTCTGGAAAAACTGAACTTCCGGGTTCTGGCGTGCATGCACACCTGACAATCAGTTGGCCGGCGCGCATGTGCACACCGTTTTTTGGCACTGCCGCACACACGAAAGACAGCTGATCGTCACACGCAAATGCATACCAGAAACCCGGAAGACAAACAGGCAAGGCCATGCGTGCCGGGTGACATGGTTTCGCGTACCATAGATTCACCATCACAGGCCTATATATTCACTTGCAAGAGAAAGATTCTAACTGTTGGTCATGTTTGATCCCTTGGGTATTTTTGATGATACCATTGATTTTTGTTTGGTTTTGAATTATTTCTTGGGCTGGAGACACTGAGTTCCATTAATTCTGATCTTACTTGCAGGACAATGTCAAAGAAGAGCAACAGATGCCTCTATATTGTAGCAACTATGCCAAGGGTGCCTTGAGGACATTGTAAGAAAACCATTGGTGTAGTTATTATTCTGCTACTGAAGCAATTACAATGACTGCCAACTGAGTCAGACTCAAAGCATTCCCCTAAATGCCCTCCTGAAGGCGGGCCATCTTCATGCACAGGCACATTCACTCTGAAATGCTGAAATTCACACGGAAAACTATAATGAAATCTAGCAGGCGCCTATAAAGACCCATAATCAAGCTGTCTTTGTATGAATGCTGTATATATCATTTTGCTTCGTTTCTTTTTTACTTACAGTTCTAAAACTGGAATCACATCACATTGCTTTAAAGCTATTGTTAATATTTGCAGTTTAACTGATCGTCGCTCACTTTGGGATTTATAATGGAAAGCAGCAAATATATTAAGTGAATAAGTTGCATGCTGCTTAAATACTCCAAAATGGGATCTTCCTGAGCTCACGATTGAAGTTCTATTTTTCTCCTGGAATTTTTTTGTTTTGTTTTGCCCCCAAAAAAACCACAGGATAGATTTTTACTCAAGAATTCAGCATCAGTTTCAAAGTAGCTCCAGGGCTCAGGATTTCAATAATACTAACAGTGTTAGAAAGTTGAACTTATTTATTTCCAGTGGTTAAAACTACCGCAGACTTAATGTTTTGTTCATCTGCAGATGCTTCAGCTCCATTTCTCTACTGGAGAAAACGCTCACCTCATCTCTCCTCCAAGCTCCTAAATTTCAGGAGCTGCAAGGATAATATCAGTCTTAATGGCTATCCAAGTTTCTCTATAACCTAGGCAAAATCAGCAGAGATAAGATTGGCAAGTGCTTCTCAGTCTCTCCGCTCTCGGGTCTATGACAATTTGCCACAGCCAACTCGCTGCAGAACAACTCGCCACGACCACTTTGCCACAGGACAACTTGCAGGACAAGAGTTACACTAATAGCAAAGAAACAGTGGAATAGAATCATTTAAGGAAGGATGCAAAAGGAGGAACAGAACAAAATGGGAATGGCAAAAATTAAAATATTTTTTATTTATTTTAAATAATTAAATAGAATTGTTACATTGTCCTGCACAGAGTTAGCTGTGATGAGTTGGCTGCAGCAAGTTGTCCCATTCTCTCTCTCTCTCTCAGTAGGAAACCAGCCAGGATCCAAACTGCTAAGCTACTGAGAATGTTTCATTCCCTCCTCTCCCTCCTTTAAGATGGATTGGCATGGGGGGGGGGGGTTTTTATAATTGCCTTAGGACCTGCAACAATTTGAGACAAGACCATACTTCATTTATCTTTGTTCCCAACATTTCTGAGTTGAGCAAAAGCAAATGCAATCATGGACCAACTTCAAATAATTGATGGGGGTTAAGAAGGGGTTGCGGTGGGGAAATGATTTCTATATATAGAATGTCTCAGAATTCATTATGCTTTAACTTCCAAATTCAAAGGAACCATGTTAAAAAAGCTCCTGGAAAAATAAGGAGAACTTGAGTTTTTCATTTCATAACTGATAATGTAAAATATTATACAGATTACGAACCAGAGGAGTTGCTCGTGATGTCTCCACATGGGGACGTGGTGCAGTTGAATACATATAGTTAAACAGTCGGTCTATTTTCCTCAAAGGAACACCACCACCACGGTCGCACATCTAAATTGTGTGGGGAAAATATTATACCGTATTGAGCTCCTATGTTTGGTATGTGCCTATATCTACATACATTCTTAAGAATGTATTCCAGAAACAACAACAGATAAATTACAATCATACAACCATTCCCTGATCTATGTAAACAGACCAAGAGACTCTTCTTACTTACTCCAACAGAGGAAAAGGTTATTAAATTGTCTTTTATTCAAATATTCAATAATATGATAAAACACTGACATAAAAGTAATGAATTGAAGCTTTAAAATAATTTCCAAAGTGCAATGAAAGCTATTCAGAACATGATGCAAATAAAGCATCCATGATAGTGGCCAGGTTGGTCCTATTCCAAAATGGTGTAGCTGGTGAAAGACTTTTCTGTCCATAGCTTCCATTTGAATATTTAGAGGCAATAATGTTTAGTCTAGGATGTCACCCCACCCCCCACCCCCAACTCTTTCATTCTCGAATTATTTATGTGTTACCTATTATTGTAATTCTGGGCAATTTATAATAAGTACAGTAAAACACAAACAATAAAACATCTATCAAGTATATAAAAAATTAATACAGGTAGTCCTCCACTTACGACCAAACTTAGGACCAAAATGTTGAGCCTCAAATTCCTGTTGCTAAGCCAGACAGTTGTGAAGTGAATTTTGCTTGTTTTTAACAAACCTTTGTTGCCACAGTTGTTAAAATGAATCATTGCAGTTGTTAATTTAGTAACAGGTGACTCTGGCTTCTCCACTGACTTTGCTTGTTGGGAAGCCAGCTTGGATGATCACAAATGGTGACTACATGATCCTGGGACAATGCAACTGTATAAATAGATGCTAGTTGCCAAGCATTCAAATTTTGACATCATGACCACGCGGATGTTGTCACAATTGTAAGCGTGAAAAATGTCCAATAACTCACTTTTATTTTAGTGCCTTTGTAACTTCAGACGGTCACAGAATGAACTGCTATAAGTCAAGGACTACCTGTAGGCAGCTAAAAATAACCAAACCCTAGAAGTAAAATAATTCATAGTCATTTGATCAGGTCAAAGAAAGAAATGAAGTGGGGGCTCTGCAACAGATCCCTGCATTTATTTTATTTTTTGCTAGTCATTTGCCAGACTTAAACAGAAAATGTTAAGACTAAATTCTTTACCTTCACAGTTAAATCTTCAGCGCCTAACGCAACTTGGACATGAACTGGAGGGTAAATTCCCCGCTCTGCATGATGTTCCATGGTAGCCCTCATTGCATTCTAATGTTTAAAAAATACATATTTACAGTCGATTTATATACACTTTTGCTCAACAAGTAAAGAAAACATTTTCTATAAATGTATCTGACTCGTTTTCCAAATCTGAGGGAAGCAACTGGTTTGGCAGTGTAGGAATTCTCAGAAGAGTGTGGCCTTCCTATTCTGATATAGGATTATCTGTTTACCTGTTTTCCTGCAGGTTCCCAAACACACAAGCAGTCTCACGGTCAATGGAGATCTATAAGGGTGTGGAGAGATACACCTGGCTCTAAAGTGCAGGAAAAGTGTGTCACCTTTTCAGAAACAGCCAGGAGACTGGCAGTGCTCCTGAAGCAGAATCAGACAGAAACTTCAGTAGAGATCTTCTATGAATGCACAGGTTATGTAGTGCGCTGGCCCCAATCTTTTGGGCACTAGGGACCGGTTCCATGGAGAAAGGTTTTTCCGTGGAACGGAGGGGATGTGGTTTTGCATGCTGCCTGCATCCCGTGGATGGGGCTTCACTTGTTTGCATGGCCCAGTTTCTGGATGCCATGGACAGGTGCTGGTCCACAGACGGGGGGATTGAGGATCCCTGATATACTGAATAGAATTTAGTCACTTGCCTTAAAAGCTTCCTCCTATCCACCCACCCACCCACGCTTCTTAATAGATCAAGAGGAAGAGATTATTATGTGTTCATAATCTGACTAAGGGAAACAGAAAAAGAGTGCATAGAAGAGATCAGTACAAACCTTGAAAAGCTCAAAAACCATGTAGTAGAGATGTGATGGCACATATACCACTTGCATAGGCTGCCCTGGTGATTTTACTGCAAAGCAAGGTGAGTGAAAAAGATCAGTTGTATAGCAACAGCCACTGTTAATCTTGGTAGCCTCTCCATGAGTCAACAATGTAGCGGAGAGATTATAAGATCCATTTACTTTGGTCCCGCCTAAGGGTTCACACGAGACTGTAGAGTTATAGAGCCCCCCACACACACACACACACTCATAGCGCACTGCAAACTCAATTTCAAATTCTCTTTAAGAGCAGTCTTTCTTGCAGTTGTGAAAGTCTGTTATTTGAGAGATAAAAGTCCGAATGGGCAAATAGAATTACTGTCGTGTTTATTGGGATCCCAATACATTGTACTTATACAAGACTATAAATGTGTGCATATACGTGTAATCCTCTACTTATGAATGTAATTGAGTCTGGAATTATGGTTGTAAATCATGGAGGTTAAGCAGGTCACGTGACTACGCCCAATTTTATGACTTTTGTGGTGGTATTAAACAAAAACCATGGCTGTTCAGCAAATGCCACAGTCATTAAACAAACCCATCATACCCAATAGGGTTTTTTTTGGGGCCAGAAACTAGAATTAAAATGCTGGTTTCGGGGGGCGGGGGGGGGGGGAAATGGTAAAAATTGCAGTAATGGGACTGCAGGATGCTGCAAACAGCCATAAATGTGGTCAAGCACCCAGAATGCAATCACAAAACTAGGGAGGAGTTGCCAGAACTTCAAAACCGGGTCATAAGTTGAGGACACATGTATATATACATACTTAAATATTGTTAAGAAAATTTATTCGAAACCTATGTTTGAGAAAACTTTTGTTCTCAACAGCAGATATATAAAGTACTTTTTTTAAAAAAAAAGTCAATTTAACATACCCATGTCATGAAGGCATGACACGTCAGAACAAAATTTCTTATTCTCCTTTTGTCTCTTTACGTTGGTTTTAGACCCAGTGACTAAAGCAGCATGTACATTCTTAATGTGATTGTGTTTAGCTATCAATATTTGATAATTCTTCAAGGTATCTATTATGAGGTAGTTGTGCATATGTGTGGATACACACACACACACACACACACACACAGAGAGAGAGAGAGAGCAGTAAAATGTATAGTGTTAAAACTAACCCAGAATACGAAGGATTAAACAACATTACACAATTCAGTTGTAATTACTAGAAAAATCTTGTAACAATAATTACTAAAGCTAGATAATGTTTTCATGTTCTATGCCTCTCCAAAAACTGTTATTGTTTAAATGAAATGATAGCTACAAAATGGCAATTACGCATATGAAGTTACTCCATACAGCTCTTATCTAATTTTCATGTTGAAACACAAACCACAGAGTTGGAAGACTTGACGGACCGGACTGAGGACATACTGTATAGTCGTAGAGAAGATTTATACATATGGTTGCTGAGAGTCAACACTGAATTGATAGCTAATAGTAGCAACTTATATCAGGTTATACATTAATTCTTCACATTAATACTGCAGTCATACGTAATTGATGCATTTCAATTATTTTTAATCTACCTTTCTGTATAAAATAACTAATACAACCAAACACCCTGAACAGGCAATATAAATTGTTATTACATTTAAAATGATACTGAAGACCAGAATAACTGTACAAAAGCATTAGTAAGCAAATAATTTTTCCTTTCTATGACCCTTCAATAACTTTATTTGGGATAGAGTCGGGGTGACTGAATGGAGCTGAGCGTTTACTGACTGGATGCCCTTCCTGACACCTACGTGGAGTTCACAGCAATTATTTTCTCTTTGCACCTTGATAGAGAAAAATATCTGTGGCTGCCTAGGATTGAACTCTCGACTTTCTGAGTGGGAGGCAAGTGTCTTCACTTTTAGGCCACTGCACTGCTCCATATTAGTAAGCAAATAATATTGTCAGCCCCCCAAAAAAGGGGCAACTACTATTACTAGTATTACCATTAACCTTGGCCTACCACCAAAGTTTCTGAAATACCATCTACCAAAAAGGAAGAAAGACAATGCTATAGAATCTCTGGGGCAACCTAAATACTTTTGCAAATTCATACTACAGATCCATTTGGATTATGATATGTCTATATTGGTCATTATATATAGAACCGCCATACCTGCTTCTAGTCATAACCACAGAAAGCTGTTGCAGCTTTTTCACAGGCCAAAAGTTCTCCATATGATGTATAAGATGTCCAAATGTAATGGAGAATGGAGAATATGTGCTACATATACATCAAGACATAGAAGTTCAAAATGCATTTTGAATAAAGATTAGCTAAAATGTCAAAAGAATAAAGGATAAAAGCAAATGAAAGATTTCTTGGCACTTATTGCACTATTTGAGATAAGTATGACACAATGTATGATGTAGTTAGAGAAACTCTAATTTAGGTTTAGCTTGATTGATACTGAATGCTGTGCATTTTCAGTCAGTATATTATTTTACATTGAATTCTAGCCATAGCCCACAGGCATATTTGAAAACATGGCACAGATAATTGCGCTTAGCTTCTTAAAAACAAATTGCTGTAGTGAATGAGTATGTACAAACAGTTATTGTTATAGGATGTACTCTGAACACATGCTAAATATTGTCCATCTCGCTATCTAATGATTCTAGCGTTTCTCATGACATAGAGTCAAAGCACCGAGTGCAGTACTTCGCAATATAAGCAGACTAGTTCTATAACCAACTAAAAAACTATCTACTATTACATAAACATTTAAAGTAAGTCCAAGGCAAAGTAGAGGGATATGGTAATACCTGCTAGGAATTGGTTAAGAACAGCCAATGAATAAGCCAATCCTCCCCTTTCCACGCTTACCATTCTTCTCTTCAAGAATAAGTTCCGGAGAATTCATATAATATAAGTCACAGAGGCTCTTTGCATTTTCATAACCATCTGAAAAAAGCAATACAATTTTGCTTAAAAGATGCACACAAAGGCGCATACACACAAACACAGACAGACAGATCACCCATCCAGATATTCAATTAGCTGGCAGCAGTTCTTAAAACAGAGTTCTGAGAAGAAACAGTCACTCGCATTCCATCTTTTACTGCTATTCTATGAATAGCAGCTGACATTTCTCTTGCATACTTCTGTCTAACTTCAATTACCACTTTAACAAGAACAATGTCTATGTTTGGATTCTCTGCACAAATAGAAGAGCGTTTATCTATGCCCCCGCATAGTCTTCATTAATATCTTAAAGCATGTGGAAGATGTCCGGTACAAATCTCAGATAGCAAAGCTTTCCAGTAATTGGAAGATGGGACTCCACTGATGACTTCCTACTTAGCTCCCCTTCAACCCAACAAACTCAACCCGGCAAAATTATACAAACAACAGCATTTTTTAAATCTATCTATCTATTCATCTTTGAACCACTCATCTCTCCCAGAGAGAGGTTCTCTGTAGTCTTGAATTCTATAAATACATATAAGATGTGTATCTACAGGGATTTAAGATGATGAAAGAGGGATTGAATACACTCTCTCTGATTCTACATCCAGGATCAAAATCAGTTGTGTTGTAAGACGAGGGAATTTTCCGTCTCCATATCCTTGGGACTTCTGATGCTGCACACTGTCCTTCCTCTGTCAGGCACTTTACTAATCCTTCTTTTTGGAAGGTTAGAGACTTGAGGAAACATAAATGGGTTCACCCTTAATCAGCCCAATAATTGCATGATTTTATGCATGCTTGCTTAGAAGTTGCTAGCTTTTAATGGTATGCTTGCTAGCTTTTAATGGTATGGTTTGACACCTGCCTTGATTTTTCAAAATGCAATTTAGAATAAAAATTACATTAAATAATATATTACATTAAATTACTGGCAATGGAGACACCAAATAAAAGTTTCCAAAATACTAGGTCATTACTACAAAATTTGGATAAAATTGGATTGTTTTCTACACACAGAATGACATCTCAAGGGTAAACATCGTGTCTCAGCAGAGTAGAAACTTTCCATATCTGACAGAATGAGCTAGTACAAAGTCAGCAGCCCAGAAAGGCTGTTTCTTGCCACATTTATTTTTCTCACCATGTCTGTCTGAATGTACCTTTTATAACTTCAACAACATTGCATTTAGGGTCAATACTTCCAATGTGTTTGGGATGTGCTGGATTAACTTCAACGTTTCCTCCAAACAACAAAGCTGTCAACGACAAAAATAAAGTAACAAATAATTTCACAATAAAGAGGCCATGAACAGCATATTTTGTAGGTAGGGAGACGATAATGACTGAACAGAACAAGGATTTACCACTTCTTAACAAGCTACACTATACAACACATATATAGAAGACTCCTTTTTATTCTTAAAGGAAACTATTTGTACTTGTTTTACACTAGAAATTGGCGTTCTGTGGCCTTTTTTATTGCCCCCAGACTCCCCTCTCTGATCTGGAAGAATTAATGACTGTTTCCTACCATTTTGAGCCACAGAAAAACTATGGTTTAACTTCCCCCCCAAAGCCTTAAGAAGAAGAAAAAAAATAGAAAACACCAGCTTTGCTTGCACGCATGATATGGCTTTGCAGTCTCAATATCAGCATTATGCCCACTGTGAGTCTTGGCTCACTAAAATCTAATTGAAATCCTTCACTTCTAGAAGTTTTCTTACCCTATTCCATAAAAAAAACCATACCATCAAGTCAATAAAAGTACTTACTGTGTTGATTAAGCAACATTCGGATTGAAATCCGACTCATGAAGAAGCGGTCTAAAAAATACTGCACATTCTGACTAGTCACTGGGTCAACCCCATAGTTGTCCTTGTACTCGATCACACCTTGAGCCATGGTAGGAATGACATCATTGTGGCGGTTCCGGATTGTTATCACAGTATCTTTAAAACTGAAATCAAGTATGGTATATTTGTATTAAAATGCTAGTACATCTGTCACTGAAAGCATATCGAATTTTAACTACTACAAAAGCAAGAAACTAAAGAAAGCATCCTACTAATCAACAAAAATTGTTCTGTTTAAAACAGTATAAAGAAGCAATCTTTTAAAATGGATTTTGGACTTCTAAACACAAGATAGCATAGTCACAGTTATTTTTAGGTCAAGGTTATCATCTATATTTATGTTATGTCCTGCTTTGGTTTAAATACTTATAAATAGTGACTGAGATTTAATGTATAGAGCTCAGCTCACAGGATGTTTCCAACAATCATAGGTGTTTGGTTTTTTTACCAATTTCTTTTTCTCTCAGTATTCCCATGAATATTTTCTCTATGTTTGGAGAAATGATAGTGGTAGGGTATAGAGGTCGCAGATACCTCTCTGTCAGCAGGAATTTGAAAGCGAACAGAAAGCAAAAGTGCACTTTCAATTTCACTTTGTCAAATAAAACTTCTTCCTGTTCTATCATTTCTTCCAAAACTTCTTTCAGACACAATCTATCCATTGAATCAAGCATATGTATTTATTGATATTTACTTCCGATTCCATTTTTTCAAAAGTCCAATTTTTCATTTTTTTTCTGTGTGTCATGTAGAGAAAATTCAAAACAAGTTGACTTTCTCACGGGAAGGATTCTTTATAATTAATTCCAAATCTTACTTCAAATTTATCTGAACTCCTAATCCATTTATAATTTTCTTCAAAATCTTAATTAGCTTTTTGCTGTTTATTTCAATTATGTGAAGTACTTAAGCTTGAAGAAATTAAGCTTCTTAACTAGTTAAGAGTTAAATTTTTATTTCAAGAAGGGCTGAAAGCAGTCACATAGTATTTTTAGACTTGTTGATCCAATGGTTTCTTATATGTGCAAATAAGCAATTTTGGAATAGGATTAGGAAAGGAAGTATGCAAACTTAGTATCCTTTTAAAGACACCAACTCTGGTTTGAGCAAGATGGCTCATCCCAGTGCTTAAAGCACTCTGCACAAGGATCAATTATCTGGAGTACTTGTGGGTGATATCCCATCCTCTTTTTCCAAAGAGGTTCAAAGGGCCAATCTACATTCTTTGCTATAGTTGTTGGCTCCATTTTTCACAGAGTTGTCTTCAGTCCACCATTTCTTCCTCCAAAGTCCATCTTACAATTCTTTTAACACAAAATACCATTAGAATTTTTCAACTCAGTAGCTGTTCAAATTCTAACAGATAAACTCTCCTCCTAAAATATCTCATCTCTGAGAGATTATGTACCCTATGAAGGGCCATTTCCTTAGAAAAGCATAATTTAATCTCTTCACAGCTAGCATGTTTTAACACGCTATAGATTCATGACAATAGAAGTAACAGTTTAAGCTAGCAGAAGACATAGAAGTTTTATACAGTATATAGTGCATCTGCCAGTAAATACAAATTGTAATTTCTAAATAAATTGTTTCATTTTATGTTTTAAAAGCAATTGTTTAAGGAATAAAACAAATTGTTACAAGAAAAAAAAAAAGAAGTAACAGTTTATTACAACCTAAGTCTCACTGAGATTATTTCTTAAGGATGAATGTCTCTGATTGACATGCAGATTTTGGACAGAACAATGGCATTGTGGTTGAATTTAAAGCTAGTAAATTGAAGCAGAGCCATTAAAATTAAGTTACTCAAATTCTAAGCAAATCCACTAATTTCAATGGGTTAACTCAAAATATTACTATATCACTTCATTATTAATACCCTTAAAGAAAATTAAGAAACTAATCAATTGAACTAAAAAACATTGATTGTACACGTAGGTCAAATCTTGCTAATTTTAATACAGAAGTAATTCTAAATGAATGACATAGAGTGGAATTTATTTTGTGAGTTTATTATTTTTAGACAACCACCCCGATAACTTACAAAGAATAAATTATTTAAAAGAGATTTTTCTTGATACTTAATATCCCACTATTTTTTGAGATTTATACAATAAAACAAATATAATAAAACTATAGCTCTGAATGACTCATGCTACAAGACTGGCATAAGAAAAACATAAGATAATCCATTGTTTTTGAGAAGGCCAAAATGTCTCACCGAGAAACAGCTTCTGTATCATCAGCATTTTTGTCTTTAAAATCAAGGATCTCCTGCAGACTTTGTACATACCTAAAAACACAATTTCTGCATGTTTGATGTCTTGTCATAAAGAAAAATAAACAATTATGACTACTTTCAAATTTCAGCACATTCTAATTTTTTTAACAAGAGAAAATGTTATTATTAATAGTCTTCACATATAAGATAATAAGTACTATTCATTTCTATAAGTGTGTATGAATGCCCATTATATCTTACCTCAACCAAGGAGCAGGACACCTACTATGAACATGGATTTTGAAAAGTAAAACACTTCCCAGCTTTACCATTCTATATTCCAGCCACCCACCAGTGAAGATTTTTTTTCCTCACAACAAAAGGGTCTCCAATATATCAAAAACTCCTTCAAGAGGAAAGGGGAGCACTTCTTCCAGGTTTCCCCTTCCTTTTGCAAACCCTTACTTTCTCAACATGTAAATTTGTTTCCCTCCTACAATAGACGCCCCCTTTCTAAAAATTGTTCAAAACCTGTTTCAAATATTGCAGTGCTAGGCCCATTCAGTTGGAAATAAGCTTTACTGAATTAACTGTTTACATTCATGCAGCATTCTAAAGATAATTGGGTACAGAGATCAACCAGATGGTATCATTCATTCAAATAGGCCAAATCTGACTTCTTGAACAATTTAGAAAGGACAGAACGTCACTATGTAATGTTATTGCTACTGCCAATTCAGCACAATATGCTTGAGCAGAAAAAAACAAAAACAGATTGAAACAAGGGTCTCTATGTTCTCTCTTTAGCTAGGATAACTTTTCATTTGCATCATGCTTTGATGCCTAGGTCTCGTTTTGTAAATATTACTATTAATTGAAGTCAGGCTCCAAAACCACAAGATGAAGTTGTATATGTGGGCAAGATATTTGCCCTTAAGATTTCTTCAAGTAAAGGATGATAGTTGACAGATGATGATATGTTAGGAGTCTGGGCTGTGAGTTCATAACCAGTTTTGGTATCTCCTGCCTCTGGCACAGAGCTATGTCGGTGGTGAGGGAGAAAATATAAGCCAGATGTCAACTCACTGTGCTAGATCAGTGCATGGGTACTATTAGGCGCCTTATAACCAACCATAAGTCTCAGCTTCTAATATTTTGCATCTTCACATATCTTTGTACAATGTTCAAATTTGGTTGCATGAGGCTGCTTAAAAAAGAAACAGGTTCTTACCAACTCTGAACAAGCTGAACTGAAGGTGTTTTAAGAAGATTGTCTGGAAGCAGACTTATTTCTTTCATTATGTTTGCCAATCTTACAGGCAACTCTTGTCGTAGAAACATAAAAGAGGTTTTCTCACAAGCATTGTCAGATCCTATGGGAAAAATGTCATAAGGAAACAATTTTGAAACCACAGTAAATAGTTTATAAACAATTCATTACGCAGTTCGTTCAGGATCATAGGGTGGTAAATAATAACAGCTCCTCTATAAATCCTGGATAACGTTTTATCATGACAGTAAATATAGGTTTACATAAATTCAGAAAGTAGTAATCTGAAGTTGAGAATTGTACCAGTAGTTAAGACTAATGTGGCTTGGTCTCCCACGAAGACCACATTGGATTCTTAATATTCATGATATTAAAGTTGAAGATACCTAACATTTTATGTTACTGATTGCGGCTTTATAGATATTTTAAACTATTCTTTTTTGAAGAAGCTCAGGATCAATGAAAGATATTACAAAAAATAAATTCTTCTTCTCCATACAGATAGTCCTCGACTTACAACAGCTCATTTAGTGACCCTTCAAAGTTACAACGGCACTGAAAAGAGTGACTTATGATTGTTTTTCACACTTACGATTGTTGCAGCATCCCCATGGTTACGTAGTCAAAGTTCAAATGCTTGGCAACTGCTCATATTTATGACCATTGCAGTGTTCCAAGGTCATGTGATTTCCTTTTTCGACCTTCTGACAAGCAAAGTCAATGGGGAAGCCAGATTCACTTAACAACCATGTTACTAACTTAACAACTGCAGTGATTCATTTAACAACTGTGGCAACAAAGGTCACAAAATGGGACAAAATTCACTTAACAACTATCTCACTTAGCAACAGAAAGTTTGGGCTCAATTGTGGTCATAAGTTGAGGACCGCCTGTGTTGAAGAGCACAGCCATTTCTGAAGAAAATAATGGCTTGATACAAACGTGGGGAAAGAGATAATCAAAACATATCAGAAGTCTTCAGTCAAGTATAGCTTTGTGACCAAGTCTACAGATAATTTGAACACAATACCATTTCAGGGTTACTTGAAAGAGAAAAGAAAAAATGTTGTGGGCTGTGTTGAGGAGATTTAAAAATATCTTCTCTTCGATGGCACATGAATAACAGGATCAGTCCTATCATTAGGTGGAACAAAATAGCATTTTTGGATGGCAAACTGGGATGTGTTGGTGAACTTGCCCAGGACCTGCTTTCTGTTCTCCCAACCAGAGAATCTAGTTCAGGGCACACACACACACCCCAAAATTGGCTCATTCTTCCTGTTAAATGTTCTGCATTCATCATTTCAAGAGGAGATCTTCAGTGTTGCAGTGATGAGGAGGTAACAATACTATCGGCCTTCAAAAGCTCTCTTAGAAGGCACCACTCCTAAAGAGAATATCCTTAAAGGAAGACATAGGAGATAATGCAGGAAAAGTGCAGGGCTTCATCAGCTACTCCTACATTTAGGAATAGGAGATAATGGCCCAACATAATTTTCAATGTAATAATATAAACCGAATCGTGCTCTCTACCCTGTACTGGTTATAACTCAATGCAAAACATATGCAGGATACATAGGCGTAAATATCTGATTGCTTTGATTATGATACCAATACCATATGTATTAAAATATCTAAAGCTAAATAACAATATTTATAATGATCAGTGCAATATTCAATTGGATATTTTTACTAAACTTCAGCAGAAATTCTAGTCACATTGCAGAATTCACATTTGGTAGAACCAAAAGAATTATGATTTTTTTTTCCTCCAAGGGTTTCTCCAACTTTTTTTCATGCAACACCGCACAAGAAAGAGTTACATTGCTAGACTATATAGCTTATCAGTTCTGTTACCTCAAGCAAACATACTGAAGCAAGTGGCGGTTGTAGTTTTGAGAAATACTGCTGGGAAAAATATATCCAAACACAACCCTATATTCTTTTGGATTGTGAAATGGAACCTATAGTAATTCTGAGTAATCTTAGAAGAACCGTACAGTACTGGTAGTTTGCTCCATGCATATTAATACAGTGGAAGATTATTTCTTGAGCAATATTAGGTAGAGTAGTAGGCCTTTCATTTAGCTAAAGTAATAATTATTAAGAAAAAGAAAAACCATTAAGGGTATATGTGGACAAATATGTGTGAGCCAAGCACACATTTTTATACACACAAACAGCCTTGCATATCCACCTCTTAAGACAGAACTTCAAAACTATGAAGTGCTAATGTAACAACTTGTAAATAACAACAGCTTGGAAAAATGGAATGGTCTTTTAAACAGAAGATTTGCCCTTGAAAAGCACCCTTTGTGACCTTAACATAGCCAAATGTTTCCATATGTTTCAGACTCACTGAAGCTCCAGCCACCAGCCAAATGGAATTTGTTATAGGTAGTCCTCGACTTACGACCACAATTGAGCCCAACATTTCTGTTGTTAAGAGAATCATTCGTTAAGTGAATTTGGACCCATTTGTTGCCACAGTTGTTAAGTGAATCCCTGCAGTTGTTAAATTAACAACACGGTTATTAAGCAAATCCACCTTCCTCATTGCTTTTGCTGTCAGAAGGTCGCAAAACGGGATCACATGACCTGAAACGTCCATAAATATGAGTCAGTTGCCAAGTATCCGAATTTTGATCACATGATCAGGAGGACCCTGCAATGGTTGTTACCTAAGTGTGAAAACTCAGCCATGAGTCACTTTTTGTCAGTGAGGGGGGGGTCCTTGGTGCCCTTGTAACTTCAAACGGACACTAAACCAACCGTTGTAAGTCGAGGGCTAACCCGTACCTTCCAAAACTATCCGGGCAGCAACGTGAGAAACCATACCCCCCCCCCAATCCCACGAGTCTAGATTCTTCGCGTGACAACACCCTCTGTTGCACAACCCCTTTGGTAAGCACAACTTTTGTGGTGCATTTCGGGGGGGTAAGGAGCGCGCCAATATCCTTTTCCATCTCTTCCACCGTGTGTCCCCCCTGGCAGTCGTGGAGAAGGAAACGGGTCGACAGGGCGAAGGGGGGGGGGAGGAGGAGGATGCGCTTCTCCGCGGCTGGAGCGGGAAGGGGCGGCTTCGGCTGCAGCCCTCCGCGCGAGGCCTCTCTCCGCTCGCCGCCTTCGAAGGCCGGGGGAGGTGGAAGCGCCTTTCCCCGCAGAGAGGGGGTAGCGGTTCTCCCTCTGGGGAAAGAAAATGGTCGGCCGAAGGGGGAGGAAGAGTCGCAGAGGAGGAGGAGCAACCCGGGCCGGGGGAGGGAAGCGACCCGGCCGCCACTCACCGAAATCCAGGAACTGCTTCATGGAAAGCGGGGACGGGGAGAAGCGGCAGTAGAAATCCACCTGCTGGGGGATTGTGTTCAGCGGGGAGACGCTCCTCAGCAGCGCCCGTAGCAATCTCATGGCGGCGGCGGCGGTACACCCGGAGGGGCGCAGAGCAAGGCAGCGGGACGACGAGAACGCGGCTGGGCTTCCGCCTCCCTCCTTCAGCTCGCTCCAGCCGCCACTTTGCAGCCTCTGTCCGAAGGGACGCACGCCCGCCCCTTTCCCGGCTCGGGGAAAGAAGGTCCGAAGAGAGAAAGCAGGTCCAGCTCGGGCCAAGGCCCGGGCTATTTCTTGCCCTCCGTTAGGGGGCAGGAGGAGGCGGGCGGAGAGGCGGAGCCTCTTGGGTCGCTCGGGAGGAGCGAAAGTGCGGAGCCCGCGGTAAGAAAGGAAGCGCGAGGGCCCTCGCTCGGCTCCTCCAAGCTGGGAAGAGCCCGGTCCCCGCAACCAGGAGTTCGATCCTCCCCGCTTTTTTCTTTGCAAACATGGGTCTCTGCGTCGACTCTGCGTGGGCTCTCTTTCCCTCCATTCCCGTGCAGGGTTTTCAGCGGGACGGGGGCGAGCGGATTGTCTCCCAGGGCGCCTTTGGTGAGCACAGGGGTGGGATTCAAATTTTTTAAGAACCGGTTCTGTGGGGCGTGGCTTAGGTGGTGGGCGTGGCTTGGTGGTCATGTGACTGGCTGGGTGTGGCCAACTCAATATCACTCACATGGAGGCATGCATCTTCTCGCCTGGCCTCTCATGACTGTGGGGATGCTGCAACAGTTGTAAGTGTGAAAAATGGTCATAAGTCACTTTTTTCAGTGTAACTTTGAATGGTCACTCCACACAAGCAAAGTACCAGCAAAGGAGGGGGAAAAAACTGCAGAGAAGTTCCTGAGAAAGGAAGTCTAGTCCTGCCAAGAATGTAATAAGGGTTAACGGAGAGGCAGTTTCTGTAAGCAACACCAGAATGTTTCCTTCCTGCCTTCCTTACAGGATTAGGCTAGTAATTTCTTCTAACAATGGGTTCTCCGAACTGCTTAGAATGTTAACAACCGGTTCTTGCGAATAGGTGCGAACTGGTAGAATCCCACCCCTGGTCCTGCCTGAATCTTTCTAGCTAGCCAGTAGAGGTAGGCCTTGACTTACGACCTCAATTGAGCCCAAACAAAATCTTTGTTAAGTGAATTTTGCCCCCTTTTATCATCTTTCGTGCTTCTTCACCGAAGAAGCTTCTTGGAGGAGATGCAAAAGGTCTTCAAAAGAAAAACCAAGAAGTCCAGTTGCCTCTTGAAAAAGCACCTTTGGGACAACTATAGCCTGGATGACTGAGAATCTCCATAGACGTACGGTTGTTTAGTGAATCACTGCAGTTGTTAAGTTAGTAACACTGCTGTTCAGCAAATCTGGCTTCCCCCTTGACTCTACTTGTAAAAAGGTTGCAATATGGGATCATGTGACCCACACACATACCCCAGGATGCTGCAAGTCATAAATATGAATCAGTTGCCAAGTGGCCGAATTTTGATCACCTGGCCTTGGGATGCTGCAATGAGAAATGTGAAAAATGGTCCTAAGTCACTTTTTCACAGCCATTGTAACTTTGAATGGTGACTAAATGAACTGTTTTAAGTCGAGGACTGTCTTACTGTACTCATTTCAGGGTGGCCTTACGGTGCATTTCCCTGGAGATTTATGAACCAGGACATCATGATAAATCAATTCCAATTTATTCTGTTAATCAAGGGTCTTCTATAGCAACTGGAAAATTAAAGCACATTTCTTTGGAATTGTGATAATTTTGGACAAAGCTTCTCTTTGTGTGGCAGGCATAATATCTTTCACATTTTATTCTTCAGATTGTAAATATACTACAAACCGTGCACTATTTTTTCTCATTAAAGTTCCTCTAGTTTGTTAATTGTTCTCGATTATTTTGATACAGGTAGTCCTTGACTAATGACCAAAATTGAGCCCAAAATTTCTGTTCCTAAGTGAGACATTTTTAAAGTGAGTTTCGTCCCTTTTATGACCTTTCTTGCCATAGTTGTTAAGTGAATAAACTCCAGTTGTTGCTAGTAATATAGTTGTTAAGTGAAATTGGTTTCCCCATTGACTTCGTTTGTCGGAAGGTTGCAAAAAGCGATCACCTGTCCCCAGGACATTGCAACAATCATAACTATGAATCAGTTGCCAAGCATATGAATTTTGATCACTTGACATGGGGGTGCCATGTGTGAAAAATGGTAATAAATCACTTCTTACAGTGCCGTTGTAACTTTGGTCACTAAATGAACTGTTGTAAGACACAGACTGCTTGTATTTTGCTTTAATGAAATAAAAATACAAGTCAGTTCCATTAATTTCCAAGAAAATATGCACACTTGTACTGCAATCTGGTGCATGTGCTGTATAGAAGAGGAAGGCAAGAGGTTTTTGGTTTTTTTTGTAAATTTTTTATTGATTTTTAAAGACAAACATAAACAAACAAAACATAAAAACATTAACCTTTCTTCCATGAGTATACAAGCAGTGTGCCGGTTGGTTTACAATTTTTTTGTGCATCCATTTCATAGTCATCAATTACAGTTACATTGCATATTAACTCCTATTCTCAATCAAAAATTAAGTACCCTAGTATCATTATTAATCAATCACTTGACAATTTTATTCATTCATATTTTGCAAGATAACTATAATTTACTTAATATCATTTTGTAACAATTCATATAATCTTCCCGAATCTATCCTAAAAGTTTTTTATAGATATAGTAAAAAAGAGGAAAAAAAAACATCTTTATATACTTATTATTTTCTAAGATTCTACACATTTCATTATTGTATTTTATTATCTAACCATTGATAGAAAAGGTCCCAAATTTTATAAAATTGTTTATCCTCTTGCTCTCTAATTTCGAATGTCAATCTACTCATTTCAGCACATTCCAATATTTTCTTAATGATTTCCTGGAAGGCAAGAGTTTTGAAGGCTAGAATTTCTCAACAAATTCGCACGGTAAATAATTACCCATTGGAAGGGGTGTCAAACTCACTGCCTCTGGGCTGAATGCATCATACACTGGCCACGCCCACCCCCATTTTAGCAAAGGGGGAAAATAGTCATGATTTGTCATGGGACAACGGGATGCCACAAGTTTGACATCGCTGGAATAGATATTCCTTTGCAAGTTCATATGCCTTCTTTGCCTTTAAGGCAATCTTCAGTAGTACTTAAGATTTTGGGCTAATGATACAAAATTGAGTGAGGAAGCAAGCAGGAGTAGCTTTTCAAACACTTTTAATTGGCTTTCGTTAAACCTAGTTAAAACCTGGCAGTACAGTAAAAACTCTATAAAGTGCCGGCCTAGGGCCCCAGGTAGGAGCTGTTTAATTATTTGATAATTTGTAAATCTTACAATGCTACTACCAACTTTGTGCTCTCAGTTGGGGATCTGTATAGAAATGCCTATTTTATAGTCTGATTTTTATTAGTAAGTGCTTTGATGATTGGAACTCGCATTCAAAGTATAGTACATTTAATTTACATTTCAGAGGAAGGAGAGATTTGAAGAGAAGAACTGGTGGTGTAGGTTGAAACAGACTTTGGGAATGCCGCCCTCTATTGGACAGCAATATATTATCAAGATAGGCAAATATTGATTGGCTATAATACGACAAACCTATAAATTAAATGATTGTTTAATTATTAACCAAATGGTTTTTACTGATCTTCCTCTCATTCCACCTAGTCATGTTATCCCAGAGGCAAAATAAAGGAGAAAATAAATAAATTCTAAAGCCAAGCAGAGCTTTGAAGTATCAGAAATAATTCCTGTTGAGATCTCTCAGGATTAATTTGGAATTTGGAATCAGTATTATAAAGTAACTTTTAATAGCTTTAGCTTGGTAAGTAAAATATGCTTTATAGCAGAGGTCTCCAAACTTGGTAACTTTAAGATTTAAAGTTGCCAAGTTTGGGGACCCCTGCTTTATAGCCACATAGCTATATTTGGGTAATTGAATAATTAGGACCAACAAAAGACAATGCCTGTTGAATTAACAACTGAGTCTTGTTTTAGGGAAAATATTGTTATGCCCATGAATAATAATCTTGTTTGGAGTTTAAAGGCAAACTTCCTAGCTTACAACCCTTTCCATGCCTTGCCACTTATCTTTTTCCCTAGTGTTTACTAATTTAAGTAACTCTGTCTAATAACAGAGCTGTCTTCATGAATCAGCTAGAAAGAAATGTATAACTAGTTCTGCATTCCTAATTCACATGTTCAGTGAGTTAGAAACACATGTCAAAAACACATATTATTTAGTAGCACATACATCTTAGCCTCTGCAGTCCTACCAAGCTGAAATAGTTAATCGTCCCAGCATAATTTAACCATCCCTCCATATTTTATTTTATGCTACTTGTAACACTTTATTTTAATCAATTATTCTTTATAGTTAAGAAAAATACTCATATTTAATTCTACTGTCTCTTAATTTTACTGCCCATAATTGCTGGGTTTAAATTTAGACCAAAAATTGGCTTGCTAGCTTTAAATCTTCCAAGCTTTTTTCCAATTCACTTGTTGAGCATATGTAGAGGGAGGTAGAGTAAACATTCAATTTAACAGATTAAGGAAGGAAGAAAAATCATTGCATCCAAATATTTGTTAAAAGCCACAAAATTGCAAATGGGATTTTATGCATGCATAGTACTGTTTTGTGCACTGATAATGATGAATAGATTCTGCTACCGCATGTGCCATCTGCTAAACTAAAGTTTGATAAATTGAGAATTTATTCTGTATTTATTCAGTCCAAACAAATGTATTTGGCCCTGAGAATTAAAGCATAAACCAGTCAGCCACTTTTCAACTGAACTGTTGTGTGACTATAGTTAATAATAGTTATTGGTTTAGGAAGTCATGCAAACACCAAAAATGGTGTAATAAATTCTGGTTAAGATAACTATGTACACACAGCTTCTAAATATTATTTGAGATCATAGCTAGCTTAGTATTATCCTGCCTGTTAAGAAGTAATTTTTTTGATAACTCTATAATCACCAAAATCTTATGAAAGATTCTGAAGCCGTATCTCAATAATTAGTCCTCTGTGAGGATCTCTGTAAAAAGGCATTCTTAGTCCTCAGTAACTACTGTGACATAAAAAAACACTGAGATTGGACAAAAAAAACTCTAGATGTAACAATATTATGTGCAATATCCCAAGAGACTTTCTAAAAATTTCTGGCTAAACCTGTATCTCAAGTAATGAAATAGATTTAGGAATGTGAAGAACTTTTTTTATGGAAATATTTTTTTTTAATTTATACAGAAGGAAAAGATTTGACTCACCAAGACTCAGAAAGACTTACTTTTATTTAATCAAATGTAGAGATAAGCTTTTCACTGCAATACTTGCAAAAGATAATATATTTTATAACTGAAATGTTACATCCTGATCAGTAATTTTGTTTCAAAAAGATGTATGAGGTAAAATGTCAGATCTATTTTAAAGATACATTTTTAAAATGTGGCTATAATCTTCCTTAATATGGAAAAAAGATGATAATGTAGAATGGTTTTATTGTTTGCACCATTAACAAATGGGTTGCGTCTCTAACTTTTTCACAAGGATACAGAATATTTATAAAACAAAAAGCCGAGATAACAATAAATGGCTTTTTATCACAATGTTATAAAAAGATCCTTTTTTCCTGATTTGTCTTGTTTATTGCTAAGAAAAAAAAGCCATTCTTCAATATCAATTTTTTATGCCTATATAATGTTAAGGGTAATTATGTAACATTAATGAAACTGAATAGTATTGAATAGTATTTTAGACACAACGTTTGTTACCAAGTCTACTAAAATAGATGAATGGTATATAAGCTATTTGAATTATGCATTTAATACTTGCTGGTTTTTAATGCAAGGGGTTCCCAATCTAAATCTAAAATATTTGATTTATTTATGTTCTCATACTTTATTGGCAGAATATAGCTCCATGTTTGCTATAGCCCGAATATCACAGCTGTAATAGATAGATGTTTTGCTATACATATTATGTAGAGCAGGGGTGTCAAACTCATGTCGTCATAGTGTCACGTGACATTGGGACTTTTTTTCTCCTTTGCTAAACTGGGCGTGGGCATGGTCAGCATGTGATGCATCCAGCCCATGGGCCAGGAGTTTGACAGCTCTGATGCAGAGCCTCCTGTAGGCAAGGAGAAATTGGATAGTGGTGTATTCCTCTTTTCTTTAGGTGCGTGGTGTCAACTAAAAATATACTCCTTTGGTCTTTTTAGCTGCCAGCAGAAAGGGAATGGGGGTAAACAGTGCATTCCTCAAGTGCCTCAGATAATCGCCTGGGCAGCCCAAAGTTGTTGGTGCACAAAAATATTATTGGAGAGGATGATTGATGACTCTTGGCTATGGATGTGTCCCATTGGAGAATATACATCCAGGGGGTTGGGGGAAGACCAGACTCAAGGGGGAAATGAATTCTGTATTTGAGTGTCAGCTGCATGCAGCTAACCCCAAAATGGCCACTTCTAATAAACCTTTTTTTTTTTAACTCTGAGAGATGTGGCTAGAGTCTTATGATTTAAATGGGCGTGGATTTGGAGCCCTGACACGTGGTACATAGAACTCTATGTGATTTTACATTTACATATAAATAGTTCAGTATATAGTGCAGAATTCAACCAGGTCTTATTTTACTAAGGGCCATATTTTGTTTTGTCTTGTACTTCAATGCAGTGGTCCCCAACCTTTTTTATGCCGCGGCCCGGTACCGGCATCAGCTGGGCGCCGCGGCCCGGTACCGGCATCAGCTGGGCGCCGCCATCATGTTTTGATGAAAAAGTGCTTCCGGTGAGCTTTCTACCCGGAAAAGCTCACCGGAAGCGCTAGGCGCCGCCATCTTGTTTTGATGAAAAAGTGCTTCCGGTGAGCTTTCTACCTGGAAAAGCTCACCGGAAGCACTTTTTCATCAAAACAAGATGGCGGCGCCCAGCAAACCAGCGGCCCGGTAGGATTTGTTCCACGGACCGGTACCGGTCCACGGACCGGTGGTTGGGGACCCCTGCTTCAATGGTCTCCAATCTTTCCGGCTTTGTGGACTGACAGCAGGATGGGAGACAGGGGGTGGTTCTGTGGGCACACTCCAGTGGTGAGATTCAATTCTTTTTACTACGGGTCCTGTGGGTGTGGCTTGGTGGGCATGGCAGGGGAAGGATATTGTAAAATCTCCAGTCAGAGGTAGCATTTGCTGGTTCTCCGAACTACTCAAAAATTCCATTACCGGTTCTCTAGAACTGGTCAGAACCTGCTGAATACCACCTCTGGTGCACTCACACGTATACTCCATTCACGCAAGTGGCAGGCACTCACGTGCCACTTACGCAGCCCGGTTCCTGGGGACGCCTGGTGTAATTGATGAAACATTGGTATAGAGTGGGATAATTTTTCTCATCTTCAATTCAATCAACCTTGAGAAATAGATCCTTCTTAATTTGGGATGATCTCAAAGTTAAGACCCTTGAGACCTGATTCCTTGGTAAGGCTCTTCGGCCTTGAACCTTGATTGTTTCAGTCTTGGTAAAATGGCAAATCGTTCCAAGATAAAATATTTATCCTCCTCGTTCTTCGTAAAATCCAGTCACAAAGCCATTCAAAAGTTGGTATTTTAATTATGCTTCAGAACCTATATAAAATAGTCAACACCCTCTCCCTTGCTTCATGGAATGGAGCTACAATGAAGACCTAATCGGGAGGTTGCTACACATTTGCTGACCTTTCAAGATTGACCAGCCATTATGTTTCCCATGTTCCTGATTGGAAGATAAATATTTGCAATAGTTGTCTTGTGTTTAATAGCTTGCCAGACCCAAGCGCTATGCAACGGGGTCAGCACCCATTGCTGCCCCAATTCCTGACCACCTAGCAATTCAAAAGCATGCAAGTACACGTAGATTAATAGGTACCACTTCAGTGGAAAGGTAACAATGTTTTGTACGCCTTTGATGTATGGCCATAGAAAATGTCTTTCATCAAAATGAGCACCGCCCCTTAGAGTTGGGCATGACTGGACAGGGAAACTTTACCATTATTGCTGTTTTGGCTTATATTCTTCAGTATTCTTGTATATTCCCACTTTACTGTCTTATGTGATTATATTATTTTCATATACAGGTAATCCTTGCTTAACAATGGTATTGCAGTTAGCAATTCTGTAGCCAAGCAATACGGTCATAAAGTGGGATGTCACCTGATTATATTGACTTATAGAGGCGGTTGTTGCAGTCTCTACTGCTGTCATTAGGTGAATCCTGCACAGTTGCAGTGTCCCAAGCTCACATGATCACCATTTTCAATTTCCTGCCCACTTCCCCACTGATTGTGCTTGTTGGATGTCAGCAGTAAAGGCCACAAATGAAGACCATGTCACTATGGGACACTGCAACTGTTGTAATTGTAACCCTGTTACCAACCAACTAAATCACAATCCCATGACCATGGCGACACAATGGCCACAAGCACAAGGAATCCTCATAAGTCCCTCTCATTCAGCACCATAATAGCAATAGCACTTAGATTTATATACCGCTTCACAGTGCTTTTACAGCCCTCTCTAAGCAGTTTACAGAGTCAGAATATTGCCCCCAACAATCTGGGTCCTCATTTTACTCACCTTGGACAGCTGGAAGGCTGAATCAATCTTGAGCCCTGTGAGATTTGAACTGCCAAACTGCAGGTTGCTGACAGTCAGAAGTAGCCTGCAGTACTGCACACTAACCACCATAATTTCAAACATTTGCCCAATAATAGGTCGTTCAACAAGAACTATCTGTATTACCTTGGAGTTAAGTCTTAATGTTGTTATTATGTGGGTATTGCTTCCAAATCCAAAAGAATTATAGAACCTATGATGTAACCCTCCAAATTTAGGTAAGTATACAGACATTTAAAGTAACTATCTAGTACAGAGGACCGCTGGTGGTCTGTGAGAAACTTTTGGTGGTCTGCAGTGCACCCGGGTGGAGGAACAGCTCCAGGATGACCAATGGGCGAGTCCTAGAGTTCTGGATTATGGGACCAGCCAGGCAGCTCATGGTTGGGCTGGAAATCTCCGCCTTAGAGGGAGGAACGTGCAGCTTGCAACTTTGCAGGAGGTGTAAGGTGCAAGGAACAGTGCAGCCCTCACCACCCGGAACAAGGTAATGGTGCTGTTGTGGCAAGAGGGGGCGCGGGAGGCAGCGCAGGCGGGCCGAAGCAACGCATATCAACAACCTGTAGCTTTTTCTTCCCCCTGCTGTGGCTTCCTGTTGGCTGAATCCACTACTGGCTGGCCCCACCTCTTGCCATCCCCTCCCACTCAACTCCTGGCCTGAAAAGGGAGAGTTGCTCCATGTTGCAGGCCTGGAGCAAAGCTTCATTTCTTGCTGGGTCTCATTGCTGGGTCTCACAGGTGTTTTTCCGGCCCTTGTTGGTGTTGTGCGACTGGGAGGCGCGCAACTTCATTTCCGCACCAAAACACTGGCTGGCCCAGCTGAGAGAGAGATGAGAGAGAAAGAGAGGTGTGAGAGAGAGATGGGAGAGACAGAGAGAAAGAGAGATACAGAGAGAGAGATGAGAGAAAGATACTGAGATGAGAAAGAGATATTGAGAGATGAGAGAGAGATGAGAAAGAGAGGAGAGAGGAGGGAGATGAGATGGGAGAAAGAGATGAGAGAGAAAAAGAGAGAGAGAGGTGAGAGAAAGAGATGAGAGATATTGAGAGAGATGAGAGAGAAAGAAGAGAAAGAGAGATATGAGAGGAGAGAAAGAGATATTGAGAGAAAGAGAAAGATGAGAAATCCCGGTGTTTTGTTTTCTGTGGGAAACATCCAAATGGCTCTGAGTGTTTAAGGTTGCAGAAACAGGCGGCCAAGCTAAGTGCCTGAAGGACCCCATCCCGTCACCAGGTGCTTCATCGAGCGGCGCACTGGATTCATATTAGTGGTCCACGGGATTTAAAATTATGAATTATAGGTCTGAAAGGTTGGGGACCCCTGATCTAGTACATAATTACTACCAGCATAGAAAATGTTTTCATACAAAATTTATTTCACACGTTTATTGACATATCCACATGTAATTTTCAGGCATGATGCAACATTAGATGTTAGTAACAATTAATGTGGAAAATAAATATATACCAGTGATGTGACTCAAGATGATATTTTTACTTATTGATTACATATTTATTTTTTTCAGACAAATCACCAGAATAACAAGTTTTAATGAAAAAGTATAGTAGTGTTTCAGTTACTTTTTAGATTGAATAAGCCTATTTACAGAGATGGAGTTTTAAATAAAACGTATCCATCATACTAAGGTTGTGGGATTATTTTTATGGGCCACATATAAATAAAGTGGATGAAGGAGACAAAACAGCAGCATTTAGTGAATTAATGTCAGGCACCACATTTGTACCTGGAGCTTCAAAAAAGAGCTTATACCTTTTAAGTTAAAAAAGCTTTATGAAAAATAATTTGTATAAAATGTATGGTCAAAAAGGTATCTGGATAACCATAAAAAGTGGAATGATAGAAATTGACATTAATACCTAGAAACCAAACCTTGGAACAAACTGTCATTTTGCACCAAACCAACATATTTTTATACTGAACTACACAGCACAAGACATATATATTTTAAGGCATGTCAAATTTTTCAACTTTCAATTTCCAAACATTAAAGGTGCACAAAAGTTATGACATGCCTTGGGGTTTGTAAAGATATTTTGGTTACTTTACTATAATTTAGATGTGCTTGGTAAGTAACTACATAAATATCATAACTTTTTAACATTTTGTTTGTTTCGTGAATACCTGTTTTTTTTACGATAAATACTTACAGGTTTGCATAGTTTATATCTTTTGTTAAATAACATCTGTTAGCACTGTGCTATGTTTTGCATTTGATTCCAAGAAAGCACTTCAAGGCACACACGACTACAAATGGAGAATTCCTCACCGGAAAAGTACTTTTATAGAGCTACAGATAGTGCGATGCTCAGTCCATGTGCTCTGAATACTCTACATGGAATTAAATTGCAACGCCCTGCATTGCACAGTTCCAAAATTTACCTTCTGATGGACCATTGGAATTTCATATACTGTAAATGCTAGCATATGTGTATAGTGCTTAATCAGTACCAACATTTTGATATGATAAGACCACAATTACATTTATTACAAGTTTCAAATGGCTACTGTTGTATGGAACTATTCTTAAATTTTAGAAATGAAGGAATTACTCAGTAGTCCTTAACCCATCCATTAAAATACCACAGTTAATTTAGTGAATTTATATTTTGGTTCAAGTGCTATAGCTTCTGTACTATTTAACCTTGTTCCAAACACAGAACAAAGAAAACCTTTGCCCCTCCTCAATCCAATAAGCACTTGCTATATTTTCAATTAAGTTAGTCATATAAAACTTCTATAAATATCTGTAAGTATGCATTAGCACACAAATTACTTAGAAGATACATCTCTAGTACATAATTTAGAAATGTGTAAAGAAAAGGTTTCTGAGAATATTCTAGTCATTGGAATTTAAAAAGTTATTGGCACATTTGGTGGAAAAAAGTTCACTTTTATTCACTGAACTTGATATGCTATTGCTCACTAATCAAAAATCTTTGGCTTAACCATTAGTTAAAGACAAAGATTTATGGTAAAAATAAATATATAAGAATGACTTACAGTATATACAAAAAGTACAACCAATATTCAAGCTTTAAAAAAGACAAAACCTATGCATACATATCAATGCAGGCTTTCATAGCCAGCGTTAATCCAGCGTTAATCCAGCGTTAATTAGCTGTGGGGCTAATACAGTAGAACAGGGTCTAATTCTTTGGTATCCTGATATTTTGCCAGCAATTGTGGCTGCCGTCTTCAGAGGTGAAAGTGACCTGCTCTCTAGTACACAATTGTTGACAAAATGAATTAGACCATAATCTATTAATCCGTACACACATCATCATTGGAAAAATCTGTATATATTTGGTGTAAGCAACATTCAGTAATGCTAATTTTTAAAACATTACTAAAGCATGACCTATTGCACATTAAAGGTTGTTTTTAAGCCTGGTGCTCACACACTAGTCTTAGAACACAGTATTAGCAGATTTAGAGACTGCAAATTTACCTGAAAAACACATGTCCATATCACTGTGTGCAATGGCGAGATTTTCTGCACACTGTATTAGTACAATAATCAGAGAAAATAGTGCCTTTAAAACAGATGCAGAATGCCAAGGTCTCCCTACTCAGAAACATAAATTATTCTTTCTAGACAAGGCGGCTTTTGTGGGAACATGATTATAAGATAACTGAGCTTTCCTTTAGAAATTCAGCCATACATCATTGCATCAATTCGTGAATATAAAGAGTTGGATCCAGATGAAATTAGTTGCAGTTAGGTCCCATTGTTTCAAACAGGATCAAAATTCAACTAAGTCTAGATCCAGAAGCATTCACTAGCAGGTATCTACTGTAACAACAACAAAAAGACCCCAAAGTTACAAATATCAGCAAATGTTTGCTTCCCATAATATGCACTTTTTCCAGCAATTTACCCCTTAAAAGCAAAAAACAAAAACAAAAAACCAAAGAGTGCATTTCCTAAAACTGAACAGAGTTACATACTACAAGCTAATCTTCCTGATGTTAGAACCAGTTTTTAATGTCATGGTTTAGCCTATTAATGTAACTTATTAACTTCTGTCCATATGTCCATATCTCACTTCTGAATAATCAGTCAACCATGAAATTAGCGGGATTAAAGTAAACATATTCTGGGCTTGGAGATAGGAAAAAAATCTTAGTATCTTGATGGGCAGACAAGTTTGAAGCCCCCATTTTCATTTTAAATATTCAGCGATGAAAAGAAAATCAAGGTCAAGTAACTCTCCACAAATGAGAAAGAATGATAGGTTACATTACTTTCTATCTCGCTTGGAATTCCATAGAATTTTCCTGACAAAATATTAGTATTCTCTTCTGATATTTAAATAGTGTAGACAAATATACCGAAATACATGTCCATTCGTTGTTAGGAAAAATTATCTTGCTATCTTGCTTTTGATGAGAGAAGTTTCAGCAATGCAGGAAAGGTGAGATCAAAGAAACAACTTTAAGGCTTGACTTAACACGTAATTCAGACTCTGGAAATAACAATTGTGCAGTTCAGTCAAATTTTGCCAAGAGCATTCTAACAAACCACACAACTCAGGGTGCTTCCCTTTTCTTTTAGACCATGGCCAGATGTCTTTGCCCAGACAACCAGTTTCATTGTGTTAATTTTTTTTTCTTCTCAAAAGCAGCCAAGTCCTCTCAAGATTAAGCTGGAAGCTAAAAAATATATCCCCAACTGGGAAAAATTCATACAGCTCCATTTCATCAAAAGAAGAGTAAATCTATCCCTTTCTGGGTTAATAATTTGGATTTTAACGGGTTTTTTTTCTTTCCAAAAGACTAGAGATTATTTAATGCATAGAAGCTGGTTTAGGGAGTCTTAAAATTTAGAGCTGTAACACCAAACAACTTTGATATGAAAATAATATTTATAAACCAAACAGGTCTTCCACTTGCATTCATCATGTTGCTCAAAGACATCTTAAAATCCATTCAACCTTTTAAAGTTCAGCTGGGATCCCTAGGAATAACTTTAATTTCCATTCCATTTTGTGATCCATTGTTTTTTTGTGTGATTCTCTTTAACTTTTCCATCTTTAATCTGCCTTTCCTCCTTCCGAATTCTTACAGCATGGTAGCGGGGGATGCTGTCATCGTACCTGGAACGCTGGAAGAACCCGCACTATAAGAAGGAAGAGAAAATGTCACAATGATCACTGTTTATAACACGTCTGGTCTTACTCAACCTGGAGGCCCCCAGATATGTTGCGCTACAAACTCCTTATCTCTATTTGAAGAAATATATTGTCACAGAGCATACATTTAAAGAGAGGGACAAATACAATATCAGATGTCTCACCCAAGATTGCAATCTAAGCTTGCTAGGAAAAAGTCTCACCCAAGATTGCAATCTAAACTTGCTAGGAAAACATCTCAAATTTATTTTACAAAAGTAAAATCTCTTGGTAATACTGGGTAATATTTCTGTGAGATCCAATGTCAAAATTAAAGGCCACCCCAAATATATCAAACCTTGCTTAGACCACAGTATAGAACCATACCTAATTGTCCTGGCTCAGTAAAAGTATAAAAAATTGATCGTTCACTTTCTGATTTATACCCAATAACACATACCTTTGGGGATCTATTCCTATGAACCTATGGATGATGGAAACTAGAGATCAAAATTAACACAGGCCTTGCATCAGAATGCACCATGGCCAAATGCCAAAATCCAGATCCCAGACAACCTGCCAGAACTTAAGTTCAAAGTTAATTTTAAGGCAGGTACACATAAAAGTATCGTTCAGGTAGCTCTCATCTCCTCTTATCCCAAAACACAGGGATGTAACACAGAGACACTGGAGAAAGATGGGGAATGTAACAGCCATCCAATTTGTGCTGCTTATAGTGTTGTTCTAGGCATGAATGAACATAAATATCAGTCCAACTCTGGATCTAGGCTTTCTTTTTCCCCTTATCATGCAAAAAAAAAAAAAATGGGCTGAGAGAAATGCAGTTCAGGAATGTTGCAGTATTTTCTTCGCACTGAGTTACACCTTCCTGACATCATGCAAATTTTCACAGGCATGGGGATTGTTATGGAGCTTGCTTTGGGAAATTATACCTAATTGCATGAAGGCTTGGATAGGGAAGAGGATATTGCCAAGGGGCTCAGTTCTGAGAGAAAAAGAGGCAGCACTGCCTTGCTACATCAGAGAGAACCTCAAGCAGGTCTCCATCTATCTAGCTGAGCGCCTTTGTTTGCTCACATATTTTCCAATATTTGTAATCAAATTCCAGTTTTCACCTTCCCTGTGATTCTTCTGCACATTATTATTATTAAAATTACAATGAATCATGTTCCTTTCTACTAACAAGGCCCACGGGTTCTTTCACCCTATGTACAAGAAATGTCAGCCAACAAGACTACTAGATCTCCAGAGGATAGGTCATATAGTAACCGCCCCTTCTCTTTGTTTTTCAAATGGCCTGGATCAATAACTAGTCAAAAGGATGCTCATTATTTGGACTATCACCAGGGATGTCATAAGATTTTTTTTGTCATGTTAATTATTTAAAATTCCCAGTGTTTCTCCTGCCCTTCAACCCATTTGGTCAACATACAACCTATATTTCTAACCCATACATGGCACTTTACTGTATAACTGTTGTAGCGAAGACTTGGTCACAGAAATAAATGTTGATCAATTTGTGGAATCTTCCTAACTGGAACATTTTGGCTTCTTTAGACATAAAGCAGCAAAAGAAAGTGGCCATTTCAGCAATCCAAGTGCACTGCACATTTATATCTATGCGTTCAAAGGTATACACAACATTAGCCAGCATGCAATAGGCAGTCTTTAGAGAAAGAAATGCAGATCAAAGTACAGATAAAATAAAAATTCTGTAATAAAGTTTCGTAAAAACTGAGAATTGACAATTGCCTTATATTGGAAAGAGCAACCACAGCAGTAAAGGCTTTCAGCATGCATTTGTGTTAATAAAGCTATTACCTGTTCTCTAAAAAAGTAAAAATCTGTCTTGCATTTCAAAACACAGTCCATATCTTACTGAAGCTTATCATTGATTCACAATTATGGACAACAATGGTTAAAGCTTTAAATATAGATGCTTAAATCTGGAGGTAGACATAGTTATAACAGTTCTCTATATAATATCTGAGAAAAGCTCTATTAAATTCAATAGAGCTTTAGCACAGAAACTTATTAACTATTGGATTGGATTGTGGTTCCTGCACAAGTCAAAATAGAAAATGTCAAATAGTTAAATGGCGATATATTTATTTCCTAATATTATTACTATATGGTCTCCTTTTCGTATGCATTTATCTAAACGTTGGAAAGACTATCCAGATAGGTTTGAATTCATTCCATTGATTTGTTTCATTAACTCCTTGTATGAAAACTAGAGTTGTGGTTTCTCAGCCTTCACATTCAGACACTTCCGTGTTGCTTTGTCTTTTAAGAGGTGAGTGTTCACACACATAGTTTTAAGGACACTCAAAGACTATTTCAGCCCTAAGTATGAACATGCTGTTATTAGATAAGACAGATGGGTGTCTGGTTGTTTGCTAGGAAATGATAATTTAGCTCAGCACTTTCATTCTGGGAAAGTGTTTTCCTCATTTCACTGCTAGGGAAGAGGTCCCCAACCCCTGGGCCATGGACCGGTCCATGGCCTGTTTAGGAACCAGGCTGCACAGCGAAGCCTACCATAAACTATGACTGGTCTAGGTTGCATGCTCCTCTCCCCCCACCCCAGTCTTCGATGAAACCGGTCCTTGGTGCCAAAAAGCTTGGTGAGTGCTGCACTAGTGAGTCCCAGTGTGCTATAGGAGATTTAGGACCATCCTCTAAGAAGGACCAACAGTTTACTCGAGTCACAGACCAGTCTTCAAAAATTTGCTTGGACATTAGCTGCTGGCAAGTTGTTTTTCTGGAAAAGCTTGTTCAAGTTTCCCGACTTCTCGAGGAACTGAGCCAACATTCTTTGGAACACAGTTTGAAAGCCACCAGTTTGGCTTAACACAGGACTTTCCTCCTCATTTCACAGAAAAATCAGAAGAGGGTTCCAGAGATCTGTTTAGTCTCCTGGACCATGGCCCAGCGTATTTAGGACTGGGATATCAACCCTAAGTAGAAAATCCCAGAGCGGAAGGGAAAATGCATAAGTCAACAGTGCGATAGTTAAAAAAAAAACAACTGACAGAAAGATTGGCATATTCGTGCACAGAGAAAAGTTATTCTAAAGAATGTAAGCAAGCATTAAAAAGAATTGATATTTTGAAACGAGGCAATCAGCAGAACAAATGCAGCAAGCTTTGAGTCGTTAGCCACGGCAACCAACCTGCAGCTAATAAATTCAAAAAGCAATTACCAATTACAGAAGTGGATCAATACTATGCATCAGAAGTAAGCCTCTCTTTATCAGATGGCTGAGCATGGATCTCAGCCTTGTGATATGTGGCATCAAAATGATCTTTCTTATTTCTCTTGAAGAAACCACACTATAAGGAAGCAAGGCACTTGGTTAATATTAGGGACTAATGTGGAAAAAGAAAAAAAAAGGAGAGAAGATTGAAATAACTTGACTGCTCTCTACCTGAATGTTAAAAATCTGTCTTGTAAAATAGACTTGGGGTTATAATTTTCCCCTTACAGCTAACTCCTTTGTTGCATGCTCTAATGTTTCTGTTATGAACCCTGAACAGTAGCTCTCAACAGATGGGCAAGCCTTTTTAATCATTATTTTGAGAATGTGAAATAAATATATAATGCTTGTCAGAGCAACCGGGACATGTTTGCTCCCCTAGAGGCAACAGCTACTTTTCTGCAAAAAGTCAGATCTTGATCTTAAGAGACAAGCATTATGTGAAATGTAAATAAATGTAGTTTTGATTCAATATTCAAAATAGAATAGAATTTTTTATTGGCCAAGTGTGATTGGACACACAAGGAAATCGTCTTTGGTGCATATGCTCTCAGCGTACATAAGAAAAAATAAAATACATTCATCAAGAATCCTAAGATACAATATTTAGTGATAGTCATATATTACTATAAATTACTTTATTAATTTATAAATTAACTTATAATTTATAAATTATTTGACAAAAAGCTTTTTGACTGTGCCCATGCATAAAAGATGCCCAAGGAACTTAGTATCGTATTTCTTAGTATCCTATTTTAAAACCTAGACTTCACTCATTTGAACAGCATTAACACAGCAATCCTATTCATCTCTAGACAAAATAAACTTCAGCTAAATTTATTGGGACTTCAAGTTAAATTCATATTGAATTGAAGATTAAGAGTTCTCTGCACATTTCAAGTAATTAAATATGAGCAAGCCTGTTGATGAAATATAACTCACCTTCCACAATAAGAATACCAACAAAGCAAGCATTAATAACCCAGCGAGAATAGCAACCAAGATGATCCACCAAGGAACTTCTTTATATAAAGCTACCGTTTTTGTAGGAAAGACATTAACTCGTACCTACAAAAGAAGCAGAAAAAGATGTCATTGCACAGGGAAAAGTTAGCCAATGTGCTACAATATTGATTCTATACTGAAGCACTCAATGTTTTTTGTCCGCTTTGTTATTTTTATATGTGTTAATTAGATTCTTCATTCCAGGAAGTTGGGCTCTTGTCCCTGCTAAGAATTAGTCCAAACATTTGGAGGCTCCGTTTGAATTATAAAACATTTCAGTGCAAAACTATTTTCAAATTATTTATCAATCACATTGTAAACTAGAAGAATTATCTTCTTTTGCTACATTTACTTTTTTATTAAGTAAATGCACACTCTTATTAGAATCTGTGGGAGCTCAGATTTTCCACTAGCGTTCCTCCTGAAAAATGAGGAAAAGTGCTGATCTTGGCAATTGGAGTCACTCTGAAGGAGGCTTTAAGGTCACTTTTTTTTTCTAGATTGCTCACTATTGATCTAAAACATATTACTAATTCACAAGAACAATGCACAATCATTTGCCTCCCCTAAACAGTACCACAGAGTTTCTTTGGGCATCAGCTCTGAAAATGATGGGTTTCTAAATGCTATTTGAGGAAAAGGCGTAATTAACATTTAGAAATTATTGACCAAAGAGTTTTCTAAGTTTGAATATGCTGTACTATCCCACTGAAAAGGTAGGTAGGTAGGTAGGGAGGAAGGATTTACAGTCAATGATTCATACTTATAACAGCCATAAGTAGAGAAATATTGCAGACTCACGTCCGTAGCTTCATTTGCCAGCTTGACATTATCCGCAGCAGAAATGCCAATTCTAGCTCTGACAAAAATGTCTAGATAGCTCATTTTATAGAATTCCTATAGGGTAGTAAAAGAAGCTTTGTTTAGAACAAATACAAGAACTCAGTTCAAATCTGTGCAAGACAAGTTTATGAAACCTACCTCTAGGAAGGTGCTGTTCCACAACCTTGAGCGCAATACTACTACAGCTTTACTATCTAAGCCTTTCAAGGAACATGTTATGTTGACGCAGTTTGCCTCTTCATTGCAATCCTGCAAGTAATAGACAGAAAGCTTTAAAAAAAAACCTCTTTTACTCAAAAGCAGATATACAATCTTTTTTTTGGCAAGGTTCATGTAGTCCTATGACACAACAAGCTTTTATTTTTCCAAAACAAATGGAAAGACATTGATAGAGTAATCCTAAAATGAGAGGAAGGAGGACATATATATGAAGAAAAAAACATAAGTTTTTTATCTTATTTTCCTTGTTGAGTTTCTTATGGCCCACGTCATGTTATGGGTTCCAGTGAATGCGAAATTCACTTCAGGTATTCATGGATGACATAATTTTGTTGCTTGCTCAGGAATTTACAGAGCAGGAATACTTCCAAGTTCTTTGCATTCTGTTGTTGCACATCCCATTTTATCCAACCATGAAGACCACCAACATCAAAGAGGCAAGAATGGCAGGACTTTCCATGCTCACAAGGAGGCCTAGGAAAATCACTCAGTTTCTTGGAATGTTCTCATTAGAACCAAGGGATTGCAGCCATAGAGGTCACAAGTTTATTTTAGTGCTACTGCTCTAATTACCTGGTTGGATAAAGCCCAACTTTCATTAATTTCACTAAAGAATAAATTCAATAAATGTGTTTGCACATGTACATGAAGAAGGCTGGGGGGTTATTTTCATAAAACACTGTCATTGTCTGTCTATCTTTCTGCCTTTTGTTTTTTTTTCAAATTTACCAATGGCTTATTTATTTATTTTGTCTCTTCGAGTCAATCTTGACCCCTGGCAATTGCTTAGACAGGTCTCTGCAGTTTTCTTAGCAAGATTTTTGGAAGTGGTCTGCCCTTGATGCTTTCTTAAGAGCTGAGCAAAAGTGACTGGCGCAAGGTCACCCAGTTGACTTCACACTAAGGCAAAACTAGAACTCGCCATCACCTGGCTTCTAACCCAGCAACTTTTAACCATTACATCAAACTGGCTCACTCCAAATGGCTATAGGGAGCCTTTACACGCTTTCTTATGTTTCAAGTTGACACCGACTAGAATTTAGTTTTCAATCAATCTTTAATCTTTAACACTTTATGGACTAATCTGAGAAAAAATATGCCACCATGAAACTATGCACCTTTAAGATGCCTGCAAACTCTTTGGGGTGTTTGCAAATTTTAAATATGGGTGTTTTAAATATGCTAAGTATAGTTTAATATGTGTACTTGACAATAGACTGCATTTAGTAGACTCTGAATTCCAAAGAAACAAAGCAAGTGAGGTGTTCCTGTTATTTTAGAACATATGTCTTATTTCTGGTTCCAAAAATAAATACTGAGGGGGAAGTTGACAAGGCAATTTGTCACTGATTAAATAAGTGCTTACCAATGTCTTATACTTTCTTTCTCTAAACAAAGAAAAGCTTTGGCTACCCTCTGTCTGCTTCTCTGCAACTTCACGTTTTATCCGTGCATTTTGAGATCGCTAGAAATATGAACAGACATACAAAAATAGTTAACATAAAAGCATGCTGCAGATAATTAAAAAATAAAGAGAAACAACTGTTTAAGGCAACTTTTACTATTGAATTCTGTAGCCAAGTTCACAAGCTTTTATTAAGTTTCCATCTCAATATAGTTTTCAAAAGACTGTGAGTGCTAAGGCAGGGTAAATAACAAAAAAAAGTACCATGCCATTGTGACATAAGCTATATTCATTTCAGACATGGGACACGTTCTTTCAGATAGCTCAATCCTGGGTTATGAAGAGCTTAGCAAATTCTGCCTTAGGTCTACTAGGACCAAAGAAATAACTCTACTGGTAGCATATAAATATGTTGTTGTGTGTTTACTTGCCACAAGCAGGAAGATGGAACTTGTTGGGATGGAGGCTGCTTAATGGAATGCATACAGAATTTATAAAGCAAGGAATATGAAAATTCCACAGGTTATTGGTATGGTTTTCCTCAAGAAAAAGGAAGGAAAACTTTTCTATTCATTTCTCCATTTCTAATTCTAACAGATACTGTATGGTATCCTTTCCCGCATTCCAGAAATTTGTTTTTATTTTATTTGTATTGTATCTTTATTTTACAAATAGCTCGAGGTGGCAACATACATCCTCCTAATTTTCCCTACAAGAACAACCCTGTGAGGTGGGTTGGGCTGAGAGAGAGTGACTGGCCCAAGGTCACCCAGCTGGCTTTCTTGGCTAAGGAAGGACTAGAACTCACAGTCTCCCGCTTTCTAAACTGGTGCCTTAACTACTAAACCAAACTAGCTCATTCTTGCCATTGAGATACAAAGGCAAGACTATGTGTGTGAAATTTCAAGCTTATTTGTTACCCCCTCCCCCCAAAAAAGGAAATAATCTTTTTTCATACATTTCAATTTTGTGAAATATCAGCAGGACTTGCCAAAATAGCGTGCCAAGGAAACAAACACACATCCTCAGGTGTTTCATTCTTTATTCAAGAAGCCAAGATCAAGCTAACCCAATCACCAATCCCTTATAAACACCACAGAACAGCCATTTCAATTGAAAAATATGCAGTCACACTCATTTACCTGAACATTCAAAAGGTTTATTTCATTTTGAGGAGTACACTGTAATTCTCCTAATTCCTTTGAATGAATGGAAACCAAATAGAGCAACCACTTGCCTCCTCTCAGTTCTTTCGGCCACATAATTTCCAAGAAAGCTGTACCAAATGTTTTCAGTGGTTTACCTAAGTTCGTGATCTGTCAGAAACAAAATACATGCATTTGGTCATATTAATTAGTAGATGACACCCTTAAAAAACTACCATGCAAATATTAAATTTACCGTGAATGTGTTTCCTTTTTACTTATTATGGCAAGATAGTATAAAACTCTCATTTCAGCCTTCTTCAGTACAGTCTTTTCCAAATGTCTAGGTCAGGTTGAAGTTAAGTTGCTCAACTTCCAATACAATCACGTACAGTGTGAGTTCTGATACATAAGCCATTTATTTTGCTTGCATCTTTGATTTTGAGAAAAATCTAACAGAACCAAAATCACTTGAAGGTATGATTTTTAAAACAATTCTGTTTTATATAAGCAGCTTGAGGGCAAGTGTGTCCTGGGGACTAGGAACAACTGAAATTAGTATTTCTAGTGATTCCTATGGCTGATAAACACTGTTAGTTTGGTAGTGCTCCTTCTGTTTATGGAACAGGACTCTGACACATCAAAGATTCCTGCTGATGGAAGGAAGTTCCTATAACTCTTTGCGTCACTCCCCATTCCTTTTTCTTAAGTCCAACAATTGTCTGGAGCAGGTTTATTATAAGGTACCATCAGTGGTGGGATTCAAATAATTTAACAACCAGTTCTCTGCCCTAATAATTTCTTCCAACAACCAATTCACCAAACTTCTCAGAAAGTTAACAACCGGTTCTCGATGTGAACTGGTTGAATCCCACCACTGGGTACCATGGATCAAAATGGGAAAAAATGTATCTCCTGTTTCATTACCATTGTGAGAATCCTGTGGTGATTGTTCCTATCATGGGAATTTAAAATCTAAGTCAATACATTCCCACAATTTTTACTATGGAATGAGCTCTCATCTCATTCAGATTCTTTCTTTTCTTCTCTCTTTTTTCTCTTTAACAGAAGGTGTAAACTACCAATTAAATAGACTCAATGCAGTGTTGATGCACTCCCTAAAGATGGAAATTTTAAAGATGGAAAAATCACTCTGCTAAACAAATAATTCCCTCAACACTGTCAAACTATTTACTAAGTCTGCATTACTATTACTATTAATCCTCCCATCCTTTCTTTCATCCATCTCCTCCTACTTATGACTGTATGACTTAAGTTTGTTGCTTGTATCCTAACAATTTTTATTGACTGTTTCCTAGTATGATTTGATTGCTTATTGTACCCTATGACTATCATTAAGTGTCGTACCTTATGATTCTTGACAAATGTATCTTTTCTTTTATGTACACTGAGAGCATATGCACCAAGACAAATTCCTTGTGTATCCAATCACACTTGGCCAATAAAGAATTATATCTATCTATGTATTCTATTTGCATTATTTACAAATGTTTGGGTAAATGCAATTAATTAGAAGACCTAAGAACATATCAAAAACCACCCACCTATCAAGAGATGATTATTAATTAAAATAAACATAGCTTTTTAATGCTTGAAGGTATTATTTCTCAATCACTAAACAGTCTGGGGTATTTCCTCATCCCTACCCCTTCAAATATTTCTCAGGAATATGCAGTTAATGGTACATCTAAAAGATGTGAAATAGTTTGAATATAAAATGCAGTGGTACAAAGTCAATTTTTTTATCTGTTTTTACGCATCCAACTTTACTGGTTGATTTCAAGCAGTGATATAGCTATATGCACTGTTGAACATCTGTGCATTGCATTTTGCCAGAAAAGCAAAGGCTAACTTCTCCCTAGTGAGGATCTTTTAAAAAATGCAAGACTATGTATAAAATTTCAAGTTTATTTGATCACCAAAAAAAGGAAATAACCTTTTTTTCATGTATGCCAACTTACCCTGAATTCATATTCAATTAAACTACCGATCTCATGTTCAGATTTCATTGCACTTTCCCCAATAATATTACCTCCAAAATACACCTGGGAAGGTTTAGCAACCCTGTTGTAAAAAAAAAAAATACAAATATATGAAAATGACCTTTAAAAGGGACAGTTTCTGGCACTGATTTCTAAAGGACACTTACCCTGTAAGTGATAAAAGCAGTTCAATAACAACTTTAGCTTTCGCAGTAATTGGTTTCAAATTAGTCTGATTGCTTGTCCTGCAACAAAAATGAAAGAAAAGGATACTGTCAAGGAATAATTAATTATTTTCATGTTATAAATGCAGATGTGTTCACAACCTATTTCATAGCCAAATCAAAGTATTAGAAACAGAGTAGGGAACTTGATGAATCCAGTTTTAAAAAAAGATCTTACGTTTCCAGTTTCAAATTGATATCCAGCTCTTTCGTATCGACATTAACCTTGGTTGTACTTAAAATCACATAAAATGTAACCTAAGAAAAGGAATAAAAAGAGTGATTACACTATATTGCAGGCATAAATCTTATATGCCATAAGTGGTTTATTTGCTGGGATTGATTACAATCAGAGAGACATAACTGATGTACTGGCGACAGTGTCTTATTTGTTACTGAAATTTACTAAAGCCAATGTTTTAGCGAGAAGTTTTACAGCAAGCATTGTATAATTTCTAGCTTTTTACATTATGTATGCTCCCCCCCCCTTCTCACTTTTTGCTAAAAGATGCCCCTTTTATGACTTCTACCATAAATAGGAAATAAGGAGTGGCTGCTTTGCTTAATTTTTGATACGTTTGATTATACAGATAAATATGGTTCCACTTTAATTTTTAAACTCAGTCATTTAATGAGGGGATAGTATGCAGGTAATCCTGGACTTACAGCCATTCATTTACAGAGCAGTCAAAGTTACAATGGACTTGAAAAAAGTGAATAATGCCCAGTTCTCACATTTATGACCATTAGCGGATCCCCACAGTCATGTCATCAAATTACAAGTGCTTGGCAACCAGCATGTATTTACAATGGTTGCAGCATCACAGGGTTCTGGGGATGTCATTTGCAACTTCTAACAAGCAACATCAATAAGGGAAGTGAGATTCAGTTAACGAACACATGATCATTAAGCTATGGTTATTCACATGGCAAAAGGGTTGTAAAATGAAGCATGACTCACTTAACAACTGCTTTGCTTAGCAATGGAAATCTTGGGCTTAATTATGGTCGTAAGTCAAGGACTACCTGTACTTCACCTATCAGAAATGTAGAGCACCCTGATTTTCAGTCATCCCATTATCTGAGAAGCAATAGCACTTAGACTTACACACTGCTTCACAGTGCTTTTACAGCCCTCTCTAAGCGGTTTACAGAGTCAGCCTATGGCCCTCGGCTATCTAGGTCCTCATTTTACCGACCTCGGAAGGATGGAAGGCTGAGTCGACCTTGAGCCGTTCAGAATCGAACTGCCAAATTGCAGGCAGTCGGCAGGCAGCAGAAGTAGCCCCCAGTACTGCATTCTAACCACCGCGCCACCCCGTCTCATAAAAGAAACCACGCTTACGGTAGAATTTCTTTTGAAAGGATTTCCAAGTTCACAGTCCACTTGAGAACCATTTGGATTAGCACCACAGGAGACAAGTTTTTCCTGAATTAATTAAAAAAAAAAAAACTGCATCAAGCCAAAATTTAAGTGAAACCACAGTATCTTTGAACATCCTCATCATTTGGTGGAATGATTTACCGGAAAGCTCTTCCACTCCCTGTAAGTAGAATAAGTCAAGCTGTCTGGAAAGGTTGCTATAAGTTTTGCTTCATGAGCATCTTCGCCATCTTTCAGGGGGTGCATGGCACTGGAAGGATTATTGGTCACTGTGATTTCAAGGGCGATCTCTTTCTGGTCTTTGAGAACAAGCACCGGAACATTGTTTTCCCTGGAGAAATAGAACAGAGTCACATCACTGAGAACTGGAGAGTAAAAGTGTGAGTACCACGTTCTTACTAATTCCTTCTGTAGACTTACATGGGGAAATAGGCAAATTTGTCCTCGTTTCCCTCTTTGGTGCAAAATCTGTAATGCATCTTCAAATTGCTGTGGCATATGTTGTCTGATCCACAGCCTTCTTTCAGAAACTGCACCTAAGAAAGAATACAAGTTCAACGGTTTGATATCAAATGCCATAGGTGATATGATAAAAATCAAGAGGAAGGAGGCTGTTCTAATTTATTGTATACACACCACATGTTAACATGAGCAGCAATCAGCTGTCTCATTATATGCAACCATAAATAGGAAAAGAAATAGGAAAATAATTCAGACTCAATATCAAATCTATCACTCCTGTCACATTGTGTTGCATCTACAGAAAGCTACCTTCAGTTCTTCCTGTCCTATTTTTTTTCATTTCCACAAACAAGTATCTTTGCTACTCTACCAGGATGGGATAAGACCCACTTCCCTCTTTGTGCTTTATTTCATCAATGTTTAGATCCAGGAATAAGACAGGTGAACTGTATTGTCTCGACCAGGGGTCACCAAACTTGGCAATTTTGCTCCTGATTTGAGGGCTTCAACTCTCAGAATTCCCCTACCAGCATGGCTGGCTGAGGAATTCTGGGAGTTGAAGTCCACAAGTCTTACCAAGTTTACAAACCTCTGCTGTAGCCCATCAACAATTCTCATTACTAAGAAGTCAACGTTCCATTCATCAGGAGCAAAGGGGCTGCCTTGTATTTGAACCAGCATTTAAAGCTCAGGAACAGGTATTTCACAACTCTTAGCAGTACAACATTATTGGAAGAAAGGTACAGAGCCCTCTGTCTATGGTGGGGGTCAGCAACATGCGATTCCAGAGCTGCAGGTGGCTCTTTGGTCCCTTGCCTGCAGCTCCCTGTCAGATGATACCACCACTAGTTTGGCCCCGCCCCTTGCCCTCCCCTCACAGTCACTCCTTGCCTGCCCTGACAGCAGCAGATGGCAACTCGTTCTGTATTCCAGAGCAGGAGCAAAGCACCCCTCTACTTGCCTCTTTTTCCAGACTTTCTTGGTGCCGTGCACACCTCAGACACTGGGGGAGATGCGCAACTTTCTCCACTCTGAGACACTGGCTGGGCCAGCTGCAGCCAATGCTCCATGTCGTAATGGGCTCCAAGAGGAGGAGCGGATGCCGTTTCCCCCGTTGTGAAGCGTGCTGAATATAAGTGTGCTGCGCAAGGCGCTGCAAGAGCAGCAAGCAGGCCATGGAGGCAGCAAGAGCAGTAGCGTCAGTGTCTCGGGGCGAAGAGAAAGACATGCATCTCCCCATATTCCTCTTGCTGCCTCCATGGCCTGCCTGCTGCTCTTGCAGCGCCTTGCACAGCACACTTAAATTTAGCGTGCTTCTCAATGGGGGAGATGGCATCACCTCCTCTTCCTGGAGCCCATTACGACATGGAGCATTGGCTGCAGCTGGCCCAGCCAGTGTCTTGGGGCAGAGTGAAAGTCACACGTCTCCCCAATGTATGTAGCATCAAGAAGGACTGGAAGAAGGGGCAAGTAGAGGGATGCTTTGTTCCCGCTCTGGAATAGGGAACGAGTCTCCATCTGCCGCCTTCTCAGGTGAGGAGTGAGTAAGTGGGAGGGGAAGGTGAGGGGCGGGGCCAGCCACTGGAGGATTCAGTGACAGGAAGCCACAGCAGGGGGATTTATCTGGGAACCTGAAATGACTCTTGATTTAAACCATATAGTAAAAAGCACCCAAAGAAGAACAACATCAGAAAAAAAAAACCAACAACTCCAACCCTCACTTGTTTTTGGAAATGGTTCAAGAGAAAACACACACAAGAGAGGGAGCTATGAGAGAGAGTGGGAGAGAGAGGAGAGAGGAGAGGAGAGACACACACACACACAGAGAGAGATACCTGTTTCCCAGAGAAAATAAATTACTGGGAGCCACACAACCTGGGTAGGCGTGGCGGGAGGTCATGTGATTGGGTGGGAGGGAGTGACATCGAGTTGGCCACGTCCACCCAGGTTTTGTGGCTCCTGGTGTTTTCTTTTCTGTGGGAAACGGGTCCTTTGGGCTCTTTGAATGTTTAAGGTTGCAGACCCCTGGTCTATGGGAAGAGGAACATAATTTAATGTGCCATTTTATCATCTCCAACAAGGGAAGGAAGATCTACTTTTCATTCCCAATGCTTGTAACCTTCTTTTCTTGACAAATAACTTACAGTATATTGGCACTGACTGACATTATTGAGGTAATATTTCCTTTTTTTAATAGATTTTCTAATGATGATATAGCATAATAAGACTCTTATAGATGTCTAGCATAAAGATTCAAGTAAATAACTTACCTCTGAATGCATGGTGTCGGGCTCATCAGCATCCAGAATTGGAGTAAGATCTGGCAGTGACCTTCCTTGTCTTCTTCTGGGTTTTATTGAGCTCTCAGGGGTATGAAGTGCAATTTTAAGAGATACAGGAATTGGACGTAATTTATCTTTGATTTTTTCCTAAGAAATAAGAGAGGGGTTTCTGATTAATATATGGAATTCACTCCAACTGGGTCCAAACCTACTAACACATACAAGGACGCGGTGGCTCATGGGACGCGGTGGCTCAGTGGCTAAGACGCTGAGCTTGTCGATCAGAAAGGTCGGCAGATCGAATCCTTAGCACCTCGTAGCAGAGCGAGCTCCCGTTACTTGCCCCAGCTTCTGCCAACCTAGCAGTTCAAAAGCATGTAAAAATGCAAGTAGAAAAATAGGGACCACTTTGGCGGAAAGGTAACATTGCTCCACGCGCCTTTAGCGTTTCGTCATGACAACCACATGACCACGGAGACGTCTTCGGACAGCACTGGCACTTTGGTTTTGTAACGGAGATGAGCACTACCCCCTGGAGCCAGAAAATGACTAGCACGTATGTGTGAGGGGAACCTTTACTTTTACCTAACACATACTACCACAAAACTGGAATATAATGCTATTTGTTTATTCATTCATGCAAACAAGTAAGCAATTTATAGGCCACACAACTTCCAAGGATTCTGGGTGTCCTTCAATTAAAAAGTTTTTAAAATTAAAATACAAAAATACAAACGATGGCTTGTCCAACAACAGCATATAACTCAAATCCTTGTCAAGTCTGAGTTCCATCTTCACTTGGGAGCTTGGGAGAATCGCCCAGTTCTTTTAAAATTCCTGAACATCATCATTTAGATCAATCAGATGTTTTCAATGCCCCCAATTCAAGTGTCATTTTAAAGTAAAGACATCCTCACCCCAATTTTAAAGAGCTGGTACACAGTGTAAGATATAATGAATTGCATGTCTCCTAAAATTATATAAAGGCTCACATGCTAAACTGAAGTTAAACACAGAAACCAACATTATTTTATTTAGCTTCCTCTCCCTTTTCATCCTTAATGCAAAGAGGGACCATACCCTCCAGAACTTTTCCAGCACCCCATAATAGTGGAAGCTTCTTCCAGGAGCTTCCATTATGTGCAGGACCAAATGCTACTAAACATTATGGTGGAGTATACGACAGGTGTTAGAGTTCTATGGCAAATGCAACAAAAAATTCAAGACTGGAATATTCTGATCCTGAAATATCTCATCCATCTTTACCAGAATGACTTCATTTCAGTCAGAAAAGGCCATTTTGAGGGATAACCAACTTTGGTAGTATAAGTAGTCCTCGACTTACAACCACAATTGAGCCCAACATTTATGTTGTTAAGTGAGACATTTGTTGGGTGGTTTTGCCCCGTTTTACAATCTTTCTTGCCACATTTGTTAAGTGAATCACTGGAGTTGATAAGTTAGTAACATGGTTGTTAAGTGAAACTGGCTTCCCCATGGACTTCGCTTGTCAGAAGGTCGAAAAAAGAGATCACGTGACCCCAGGACACTGCGGCCATCATAAATATGAACCAGTTGCCCAAGTATCCAAATTTTGATGATGTTACCATGGGGATGCCGCAAATGGCCATAAGTGTGAAAAATGGTCATAACTCCCTTTTTTCAGTGCCATTGTAACTTTGAACAGTCACTAAATGAACTGCTGTAAGTTGAGGACTACTGTACTGGAACAATCTTGTAGGCATTCTGGTGAGGTTAGACCATTCTGACCTTGACCTCTACTGAAATCTTTAATGCAAGAAGTGGGCAAGCCTTCCAGATTTTTGTGACAATAATACCAATAATCCAGGTAAGTTTCCTGGGAGGGATGGGAGTTGGGGTCCAAGATAGCTGGAGAAATTCAAGCTGTTTCCCCCTGCAGCAGTTACTATGGCTTTCATTTGTGGCCTGTGATCGGCAAGCTGGCCGTCTGTGATGTCTCCTTTGGACGACTGACTCTTCCTTAGATGATGAGCTCATTCCTGACACGTCAGAAACTGGGTTAATTAATGACTCTGGAACTGAAAGAGATTTACAGGGGCTTTGGCTGGGGACAATTTGTAGGCCAATGAAGAAGAGGAGCTGCCTTCCGTGTTGGATCCGAGAGCACCCAGGGCGATAAAAGACAAGAGCAAAGGAGATCTGCCAGATTACTTGGGAGAAGGCCCCACCCGTCTTGATGGGCTGCACCAGAAAGCTATTTATCACAGCAGGCAGAGGGAGGCATTGGAACATGTTTGGTTTATGGCTGTGTGTTTGTTCATGCTTCCTGCTTGACTTTGCGCTTTGGAGATGCGGAACTTCTCTTGCCAAGTGAGCCCTCATGGATGTGCTTTCAGTTTGTTTGGTGGACTTAGTTGTTAGAGCAACTTTCTATTGTTTTATGGACTATTTGGCCATTGCCTTGTGGACTAATCTTGGCCTGCTTGTGGCTGGATCTATTTGGGATAGTTCTCAGGCTGGGTGAAGGGAACTGCTGGGAGTATTAATGAACACTTTAGAACAACACATGTATGTGTGGTGGGGCAGTACACCATCCCTATACTCATGTTGGGTTTGATCCAACTGTAACCTGAAAATGAGAGCCCTACAACAATTGTAGCTCTTTTTTTTTTTAAATCATCATACCTCTAATTCGAGCCTGCTATTCACACACTCTTCCATCTTCTGTCTTTTCAGAATTACACTTCCGCTAAATGGAACAGAGGGAGGCTTAGTAAAATGCACTCTTGGTAGCAAGCCTGATTTCTTCCTCTCATGATCTGCTTCAAACGTATAGTCCAAAACTGGAGAAAGGAGAAGCGTGGGGGAAAAAAAAAAAAACACTTGGCAATAGTAAGGCTAAGAGATACAGCACAATAAAAGTTGCACTCCCTCCAAGCTAGGTCGGGGAAGAAAACCACTCCACATGGTTAGCCAACTATCCAAATACTTTTGTTTTGAAAAGTGTCCCTGGAAATTATACTATAGTTTGTTTTATGATATAGTCTTGTGCTCATCCCAATTGCTATATTTGAACGCATTGGCACAATGAGTTAATTCAGCCACATGATGGTTGACAATCTCAAGAATTATGGTAGTGATGTGATGTGACTTTTGTTTTCAAAGGAAACAAACAGAAAAGCAAAAAGAGTGCCAGTGCTCTGCAGCCTTAACTGTTTTAACCCAACTTTGGCACAGGGTGGGGTGGGTGGGCATTAAAAATAAATAAATAAATGAATGAAACAGAACATATTTTTCTTTAAGTAGGCATTCAGTTCAATCCATTTTGAAGACTGTTCCTAAATTTCAGATCTTTCAGACTCAAGAGGCCAAATTCTGGCAACTGTGAGCCGAGACACATCCAGAATATCCAGACCGGACAATCTAGATTGGCTTCTTTTTCTTTCTTCAAATTCAACTGAAAGACTCAAGATTGATCTACAAAGAAAAAGAAAGTCACCATGGAGAAAACTCCTGCTAGGCTGATATTTCTCTGCAGTGACCTTGCAGTGTATTCACATACACAAAGAAGACAGGATGAGAAAGCTAAATTTCTGAAATCATCCACAAAAGTAATAAGGATGCTTTAAAAAAATTCAAGACTCTCAACTGGAGCTTGACTTTTTGATACTGTATTATTTGTGTTGGTGATTTGTTTGCTTGACAACAATATGGAAGTGATTTGCCCTGCCTTCTTCTGTGTTTTACTTCCCATTGTAAGTTACAGCCTTGGGATTTCCTGGTGGTCGTTTATCTAAGTACTAACAAGGCCAGAAACTACTTAGTTTTTTTCCCCCAAGATCAACAAAGTACTATCTTCTAGGACAATAATGATAGACAATTATTATTATAAAAACTTACTTATTTCTTGATTGAATTTACTCTCACTGGCTGTATATTCGAAACATGATCTAATGTTCAGGCTGCAAAAGTTCAAGAGGATAAAAGTGATTTTAAAAAGCGAGTTCTATATAACTCTTAAAAGTTGTAGGAAACTCAAGAAGGAAGGACCTCTTTTTGAGAGTCCTTCCTCTTATACTGGACTCTCAGACACATTTTAGATAGCTCAGTATTGTCAGTTGTCCTAAACAGCACAGTTTTGCACAAGGCCTGAGTTCTTTAGAAGCTAATTAAATAATGTACAAAGTCTCCTCTCTCTTGGAAAGCTTCCACATTGCGACTTTATCCTTGCCAGCCTCAGGAAACTGAAATAAAATTAGCATGGAGTTGCCAGCTCCATCAGGGAGAGAAAATGTTGGCTATGTGTCTAGATCTGCACCCGAGCACAGAATTCCAATTAAGCATTGAAACTTCCTGACTCTGCTGCACCACACATTTCTTATTCTAACTCTACCAACAAGTCATCACTGAGGAGAATAAGGAAACAGAACAGTCCTTTGTTTGCCTTGCTCTCTCCTTCTGGACTAAGGCTGGATTTTGTTCAGCTCTTTCTAGAGATGCTAGCGCAGGAATCTGATACGAAGCACATGTTCTACAACAGAGGTAGGACCATCCTTAATGAAGGGGTGATGCATTTATTCTGTGCAACCAACTTCTGAAAGAAACATCCTAAAAATATTAATGGGCTAATTGAATACCCCTATGACGATACGTTACACCAAGATATGACTAAAGTTCCACATAAACCACTTAAATGTAAATTCTTTTTTGCTAAAAATGGAAACAAAAACAAAAGGGTCAGTGGCTTACCAAAGTTTACTGGACACTTCACAGTTCTCCATATTCAGATCAATTTTGTCTGGTGAGATCATAAGGGATTTCTTAATGCTTATTACAGGCCTTGATCTTGTGAGACGTGAAGCAAGGAGAGAAAAGATCATTAAAATAAAAGTAGTAAGAGAAAAGAAGAATGGCATTGCACTAATAAATAGTAAGAATAGCTTGAAGCTTCCGTCTTAAGATTAGGATGTCACGCAAGGAGAATGAAAGCTACCCTGCTTTATTTTGTATAATAGTATATTAAAATCATACCTATCTACGAAACTGGACCTAGGCAAATAGTAATAAGGCTATTTCAAAGTTTAGCATAGCTTCACATTGGAAATAATTTAGAAACAGTTTCTTAGTCTTGGTGACTTTAAGATGGGTGGACTTCAACTTCCAGAATTCCACTTTGCTGGCTGGAGAATCCTGGTAGTTGAAATCCACCCATCTTAAAGTCACCAAGGTTGAAAAACATCCATCTAAAATGATAGGAACAAGAAGCAACTGATTTGCATAAAAATCAACACATCAGAGCCAAGATAGTTTGAATTCAAAATATTCTTCACACCCCTTAGTAACCTAAGAGTTGTTATGGAATCAATCGGTCTTACAAATTTGATAACTACTGTAGCTGAATAAACTTACTTTAAAAACCTCTTTTATTTATGGGGACAGTTAAACTATAGTAAGGAGAGCACATACCTGTAAACTGAAACAGTATCTGAAAGAGATCCAACAGCAATGTCAGGGTAAGAGTTTCCATCAAGATCCATATTTCCAGTGATAGAGTACCCAAAGAATGGGACATTTTTTTCACCTTCAAGAATCTAGAAATGCAAAACGAAAGCATACAAATGCAGCACAGTGTTAAACTATCCCTTTAACGTTCAACGTGTAGGAACCTATGCTGAGATATCCACAAGATCAGGTGTCTATGGAGATTTTCAGTCACCCAGGTCATGGATGTTCCAAAGGTGCTTTTTCAAAAGGCAACTGGACTTTCTTATTTTTCTTTGAAGACGCTTAGAAAAATCCTCAAGAAGCTTCTTGGATGAGAAGCAAAATGTCTTCAAAGAAAAAGAAACTCCAGTTCCCTCTTGAAAAAACACCTTTGAATTACGCCGTCTTCGGTCTGACTTAAGCATGGTATACAAAATCATACATTGCAATGTCCTACCTGTCAATGAATACTTCAGCTTCAACCATAACAACACAAGAGCACACAATAGATACAAACTCAAAGTAAACCGCACCAAACTTGACTGCAGGAAATACGACTTCAGCAATAGAGTGGTCAATGTCTGGAATACTCTACCCGACTCTGTAGTTTCTTCCCCAAACCCCAAAAACTTTAACCTTAGACTGTCTACTATTGACCTCACCCCTTTCCTAAGAGGTCTGTAGGGGGCGTGCATAAGCGCACCAACGTGCCTACCGTCCCTGTCCTATTGTTTCTCTTATTCTTTTATTTTTCTTATATGTAACCATTTCATGTATTCACAACTATGTATACATTTATACTTATTATCTTGTAAACAATTGGCAAATCAAATAAATAAATAAATAAATAAATAAATAAAAGATCAGATGCTTTCATCAACATAACCGAAACAGCATTGCACTGGAAGCTCCGTCCTGTTGTACATGGACATGACATCATAATGCCAGTAAAGAAGGGACATAATTTGCAGAACAACAATGCAACACTGCTTTCTTCATTTAGCTCCCACCCATTTCTAGACAAGTCTTGGGGTGTCCCTTTAAGTCAACCTTGACTCTTGGCAATTTCCCAAACATATCCACTGAATAAGTTGCTTGCCATTGCCTTCTTCTGAAATGCTTTTCAGCCTCCAAGTCTGTGGTTGAGAGAAAGTGACTGGCAATTCTATCACCTACAGTATTAAATAGATGGGGGAGGGAGGGAATCAAAAGTATGCTAGACAGAATGAAAGCTGCAAGATCACTGAACTGCAAGTGGCAATTTATTTCAAGCCTTAGACCCTGCATTTTCCTAAACAGGAAACAATATAAAAAGAATATTCTGGTCAAACTGAGCTTTGCTCAAATGACAAAACACTTCTGAATTGTGAAGAATTTTGCTGTTTGCTGTTCTTTTAATTTTGTTTGATTTGCCAGTTGTAACTTACTTTTTAATCCCCATGCTTAGTTTGTCCATTAGTTTCTAATTCATCCCAGTTTCTATCCACAACTAATGTCTACATGCATAAGAGTCTTGCATCTCTTCATCACTCTTGTCAAATTGTAAGCTTTTGTTAGAATTATTGACCTACAGACTTAAGAATTTATTGTTGACTGCTCAGAACAGGTAGTCAATTTTTTCTAGATTTCTTGAATGCATAATACTTATGAATAATGGAAGAATCAATGGCAATTAAGAGAAATTATATCCGTATTTATCTGAGGTCATTTCTTCACTTCATATATGAAGAAAACTTATGATTTGAAACAGAAAAGAAGAATCAAAAACCTGATTGAAAAAAAAATATTCACAAAGCTTGCAGGAAAGAAGGATCCAAGCCTAAATGTTGGTAGTTGATAGGCTCATTTAAACACCCTAAATTTAAAAAGCACATGTTGCTTTTGCAAGTAAGACAGCTCTTGAAAAAAACCCTAAACTATATCTAATATAAACATAAAGCTATATCTAAGAGCCGTGGTGGCACAGTGGTTAGAATGTACTACTGCAGGCTACTTCTGCTGACTGCTGGCATTTCAATTCTCATCGGCTCAAGGTTCACTCAGCTTTCCATCCTTCCAAAGTCGGTAAAATGAGGACCTAGATTGTTGAGGGCAATATGCTGACTCTGTAAAACCGCTTAGAGAGGGTTGTAAGGCCCTGTGAAGCAGTATATAAGTCTAAGTGCTACTGCTATTGCTAATGTCCTTATATCAAGGGAACAGTATCGATATACTGCATGTTTCTGTATTTCCTGCCCTTTTCTATCCTTCAAGTTCAGATATAAAAAGACGGAAAAACCGGAGCACTGAAAAGGAGAATAGGAAGAGGAATACCTATGGTTTTCCCGTCCCCAACATTTTGGTTCCTGAGCATTCTCTTTGGAGTTGTGGTCATTGGAAACAGTGGTGCACCATCAATAACATTTTTGCAAGTGCAACACAGTGCATTGCCTTCCCTATACCAATGCAATGACTTCTTCCCAATCCAGCATCATCCTCCCAAGTTCCCTACTGCCCTCCTTCCCTTCCTGCTAAGGAAAAATAGCAGTTTTGCTGTTGTTGGAGAGAGGCAAAACTCTTTTTATACCCATTAACTGTGCCTTCTTGTGAGTCCATGTCATGGTAGCATAAACAGAGACCTAGGTCCACTAGATTCCTCAAGACGTGTTTGAGACTAACAAAGGATTCCAACTCCCACAGGAATTCTACATAGAAAGTTCTTTTCAGACTATCATAAAGGAGTGTGGAAAGGTAATGCATGCATGGCAAACTGAATATGATACAACGCCCTCCTTACACATTAATTAAATGTGACCTGATCTGCACAGAGCTGAAAACAGGGAGGATTAAAAGGCAGAAAAGAAGTGGACCAGCACTTCTGGAAGAAAGGAAATAGGAAGGAAGCTCTGAAGCTTCCTTGGGGGTAATACAATATTAGATAAAATAAATATAGTGTAAAAAGTCAGTAAGTGATGGAAGCTGATGACTTGAATGACTTGGGCAGCTGTTCAGGATCAAGTGAGTAGATAAAAGAAATGAAATTCCACTATACCCAGAAGGCAAATGTTGCAAGTTAATACCTGTGCTGGTTTTGTGTTTATTCCATTCCTGGAGCCATGATAGAGATATACCTTGCCAAACTCTTTAGCATAAGGAGCCCCTACAGCAATATCTGTATTTTAAAAAGAAGATTAGAGAAAAGAAAACACAATACTCAGGATGATCTTTCTTATTTCTAAACATGGGTTGTTTACATGGGATAACAAAACAAGCATGCAAAATTTTAGCAAAAGAGAGAGAACTATAAAATGACAAATCTCTAAATTTCAAGTAACAAATTATAAATTAAGCCACAAAGAATACGTTTTTCAAGGTGCAAATTTCCTAAGGATAAATGAAAATTTCAAAATGTTTGAATTTTAGACAAAACGCTGCTCAGTATTCCATGGTATTCGTAGCTCTATGATGTCAGTTTTGTTGACTAATTTTAAAACAAAACATGGGATGTAAAAATGATAAATAAACTACACAAAAATAAATGAATAAAGAAAAAAATTATTGGCTCCGAAGAAGTATGGATTAAGCATTATGTTGCATTCAGGTTTCTGGATACTTTGGGCCAACTGCTGAATGTTAACAAAAAATCCATGCAAATCCAAATCCATACAATACATACAAGTTTCTTTCCTGCTTACCTGGAAAGCCGTCTTTATTAACATCACCAATGTTTTCAACTGCAATCCCAAACATGGAGTCTTTAGTTCCATTGAGGCGAATTGGGTTTACTGTGTCCCATTTGCCTTCCTGATTAATATACACATATGCAGCACCACCAATTTCTCCATCTCTTTCAAAATACTGTGGGGCTCCAACAACAATATCTTGCCAACTGAAAAAGTAGAGCAAAAATTGGTTTTAAGTTCTCTCTCTCTCAAAAAAAAAAAAAAAAAAAAAAATCCCCCCAAGCAACTTTGAAGAGATCCGATCAGTTAAACAACTCTTGCTCAATGCATGGTGCAAAAAATGGGAGCGATTTGCTTGAATCAAGCTGGATTTCTAGCTCCTTTGTGAACACCAACGTCTTTCTTAGAAAAGAATGCTAGTAAATACTCAGAATTTTCTTAAAATACTTACGAAAGCAACGATTATCCTTGCTTTTAATTTTTTTTTCATTTTTTCTCTTCTACCTATTTTGATAATTTCCAAACACTAACCAGTTTTAATCCTGCTTTTTTCCTCCCTTGCAATCAGCCAAGACCAGCTAAGTGCTAACCACCATATAATCATCCGTGAAGAAAAAATTCTTAACTGCGGCTTTAAAAGTTTCAACAATGAAGAGCCATTGCTGGATATGAATGATGGAAAATGCAGTTAGACACATCAGGAGTTAAGAGAAGTCCTCTTATATTGCTTTATAATAGTCTTTAGTGGTTGATTATCACAAAGGTCCTGCAATGCTGGTTGTAACGCTTCCAACAGGTTGGTCATCTCATGGCATTTATGAGTTTCCTCATTTGGACCTAGATTTGCTTCTTAGGAAATATCACTCTACAAAGCTAAGCATGATTCAATCAAAATTCATGGCTAAGATATAACTTACATTCTAGAATCTTAGTTCTTCATCGTCATCATCATCATCTTTTTAGCCTTCCTGAACTTGATACCTGCTGCGTGTATTTGGAGTAAAGGATTTTCTGTTTAAAGTATAAAAGATCTGGCTGGTGGCTTTTCTGAAAGGGATACAGGGGTTGTTTCTTATGCTGTGGTTGCCCACTGCTATTTCTGCAGAGAAAGAACCCAATTCCATTCCCACTTTGCCAAAAAGATTGGATCACGCACCACAGAAAAACAACTGGGAGATATGAAGGAGAGGAATCTTACCCATCACTGTTGAGGTCCACAACGGCCACATCATAGCCAAAGGAAGAGGCCAGCCCCTCGCCTTCAAATATGTGTACAGAGGACAAGGCCCGCTGGATGTCACTGTCTTTTTTCAAAAGGACCACAGCCCCACTATGGTTGGCTCTCGGGGCACCGGAAACAAAAGTGGTCTCCTCTTGAGAGATTATCCCTTTCCCAGAGTCCAAAGAAAATCCTAAAACAGAACACAAATATTCATATAAACAACTGACACTGTGATCTGTAATAGTGCCTGGCAACTATTGTTATGTTAAAGGAGGGTTAGGAAAGTGTGACAGTATGCCTGTATACACTTTGGATCACAACAATTATTTTTTCCTTTTAAACAGGAGGTCCAGGTTAAGGGGAAACACATTCCCCGACTTTTAGGCACATCAAAGCAAAAACTGTCAGCTAATGTTGTAAGGCCAAAACTGCATGCATCTCAGGACAGATGATTTCTATAGAGGCCACATTTCCTTAGAGGTATCTCGGGAAGCTATGGGCCAGCGGTAAGTAAGAGGGAAGTTCAGATGAGTACCACTTTTATCTGCCTCACACCTTTCTCGTGGGGTCCTTGGTGCTCAAAGGAGAGCAAACCCCAATCCTTACTTGCACTGATGATGTTACTTAGTTTGATAATGAAATGTTTTCAGGAAAACAGCCAAGCTCAGAGAGCACCAAGGACCCCTCATTTCAACCTTCAGCTACAAATATTCTCTTCTCTAAGTATCTTTCTCTTTTTCCCCTTGTTTTTTTTTTTTGTTTGTTTGTTTGCAAGAGAAGGAACAACAGGGCTGAGAAGGACCTTTTCATCTTCTCAAACATCTGTATGCATTGGATTGAAATTATTTTCCACTGTCTCCCAACCCACTTGTTTGACTAAAGCTGATTAAAACAAAAAAAGGACAACTTTTTCTCCCTCCCTCACACATGTAGAGACACAAATATCACATCCCATGTACAACTTTTATGTATCCATTCTTCAGTCTATAAGTGCACACTTCATACATCCGTTCATTTATTTTGATATACACATCCACCATTTTCATATATAACACCCACACACATCACAAAACCAAAATGCAAAATGAGGAAGAGGATGAAGAAGACAGAGATGCAATAGATGGCAATTTCCTACCCTCAAACAGAAAGATAGTTACACAGGCACATATATACAGTGTGTACACATACAAACCCAACTTCAATATATTGACTAATTAAACATACAATCTATTTCAGTGATGAGTGAACATTAACCCCCCCCCCAAAAAAAAAACCCTGCATGCACTTTAAGATGACTGTGCCCCTTACCTACAGCACCCCTATGATGTTCAATGCATATTCACACTATCATGGAAAATGGCTCATACTCTCACACCTCAAAAAAGGGCATGCTTTGCCAAGAATGTTGAATTAGAATTAATTTGCCAAATACTCTATGTTAGTTTTTATAGGACTCACATAGTGCCAGCCAAATGTACTCCCAGTTTTGATAGCACCAGTGGTGTAATTACTAGAGGCACCTGGATAAAGTCCTTCAAGAATGTGAAAAGAACAATAACAAAAACTGGAAAAGTCATATGCTTAAATTCTATGTTATGAACAGAACTACATGTTATACACAGTGATCGTTCTTAGCCGTTTACAGGATTTGTAGTTTATCATTCCTTCAATCAACTGGGAGGAAGAGCAGTTGTAAATCAGGTGCATCACTCTATTTACCTTTCCTTTTCTTATTTCTTTCTTTCCTGTCAGAACTTTAAATATGGTGGGCAAATATCACCTTTAATTTCTGGCCCACAATGATAATGGTGAGAGTTGGGTGGTGCTTACAGAAGTGGGATGTTGGGTGTGGGTGGGCCAAGAACTGTTTTAATAGCAGTCAAAGGGATAGTTTTGGTTGTCTCAAGACCCAGGCAGAGAGGCTGAGTTGGTAGATCCTCAATTGTGACATTTTGTAGGGCTCAATCCTCTTCCTATTACTGTTTAATGTTTTATATGGCACCACTGGGAGATGTCACCCATCAGAAATACCATCAGAATAGCAGTGATGCACAGCTGTACTTCTCAATTCTGAGCCAAGCTGAAGATGCCATAGATACCTTGAACTAGTGTTGGGAGGCTGTTTGGATATAGAATCGAACCCAAGTAAGACAAAGTCATTGAAGGGGCCTCTACTGGTTCAATTTCTGAAGGAGTGACTCCCTTTCCTTTCACCTTTCAGTAGGAATAATAGCTTTAATTGTGTTCGAGGTGCTTTTCATTTTTCCATTGAGAAGCCCTGATTATTCTCTTTCAGGCATGGTTTCAGGCTATTCACCTTCTGAATATAATAATTACCCCCAGCACCTGTTATTTATACATTTAGAAATAAGGCTGTCTATGAATTCATGCATTGTATTCAGGGAACAAAAAGACCCATTACCCAAATCTGAAAAAAACATATTGTTAAGTGTAATTAAGTGTAAACAACACTTGCTTCTCTTATATAATTTTTTTTGAAAAAGAAATAAAACCTATTGCCTCTCTTTCAAAAAAAACCCAAACCTTAAAGGTCAGTTAGACAGGAAGAGGAAGACTTTAATTTGAACCAAAGAGATGTAGCTGGTTTGGTGGTCCAGTTCATAGAAACTGGTGTTACAATTCTGTCTAAGGTGAGGGGGGCGTTTGATCATCAGAAAAATCAGTAATAATAGCAGGAAGATGGTAGTTAAGATGAGAGGCTCAGTTACAAAATGTTGACAAGATTGAGGGTAAATGGAGAACCTGGTGGAAAAGTGCTGGAAAAATGAGGGGGCCAGCCACACATCATTGCAAACAAGATATGTCCAGCTCTGTGAGTCTTCTACCAAGTAAGCCAGTCTTTGAAAAATTGTGAATAAGGTGCCAATCTCTAGAGAGCTGAAACTTCCTGTCATGCCTGTAGGACAGTAAATGAATGATTTGCTGAAGAAACTTAAACTTTGGTTTTTAAGCAAATAGGCCAGAGGTGAGGAACTATGGCCCCTTTATGACTTAGGGACTTCAACTCCCAGAATTCCTGAGACAGCATGACTGGCTCAGGAATCCTGGAAGATGAAGTCCACAAATCATAAAAGGTTCATAGTTCCCCACTTCTAATATAGGCAATTAAAAACTAAAAGGCAGTAGGACAAAGCACAAGGCTACTGCAAACCATAGATTCCCCTATTGAATTAAGTTCCCTTTTCCACTAAAATGTATTATTCTTAACTATTTAGTTTGATAACAGTTCCATATAACCATTCATGCGATATAATTATCAAAGATATGGAAGAGGTGTTGGGGATGTGTACTATCATAAAATATTATTTAAAAGATAAGATAATAGCACATTTTATGGGGAATGGGGCAGGGATTTTGGCCCAGAGATGTTGGGTTTAATCACACATCCCCATTATGTATAATATGTAGTTCTACCCCATTTCACCTGCATCAAATTCTGATAGCGGTATATATACATTAAAGTGAGTATGTACCACAAATTATATATATATAATTCCTAGCTTTAAAAAAAAAATCTCATACAAGATAAAAAGTGGGATGCATGTGATAGAAAAGAAAATCTAGATTGCTTCACTGCTGCCTTTCCAATTCTCAATTTGAGAACAACATTGTGAGGTAAGAGATTTAGATAAGATGGTGATGATGATACATTTTACTGACTAAATATTCCAATACCATTTCTTTGGCACTACTATATTCACCCAATTATTTCCTTTATCTGTTTGGTAAGGGAGTCACCCAAAGGATGACCATAGTCCATATGTCTAATAGGTCTTCTGATTCCATTATCATCTCTTTGACTAAGCATGCATTTGATAGTTCCCAGATTTTGTTTACTCAAACCACCATCTCCTGTAAGTCTCTTATCTCATCTACGCTTTTCCTCAGACATGCTTTGACTTGAAATGGAAGTCAAACGATGATCTCTGAAGTGTCATGAATGAAAGCAGATGGGTTGGTGCTTTGGAAGTCACAAACCTAAGTAGCTATTCATCATCAAATCAGCAGGTTTGTCTACTCTGACACTGGGCGGCAGTGTTTTGTACACAAACTGATCAGGGTTGGCATAAGACACGCTTGTCATAAAAAGAAGACCTGCAATGATGAGTAGAAAGAAAAAGCAGGGAAGAAGAAAAAGTTAAGCAGAGAGCAGGAAAAAAAAATAGATAGTTCCATGCAATCCAGCTGAAGTGCTTGCTACTACAAATAAAGGACAGCAAAGAAACACATTGTGATAGTATACAGCAGGGGTTGGCAAGCTATTTCTGTAACAGGTGGGATCCTGTTCCTCCTTTGACCCTGTGAGAATGATTGGCAAGTCGACAGGCCAAGGAACATGATATGATAGCCAATATAGATGGTAGAGCTAGCAATAGGCTGCCACTACCTAGGAAAATCTGCCTCTGGCCCTCAGCCCCACCCCTCTCCCCAGGAGCTCAGTTGAGGCTCACACCTGGCAATCTGCTACCTGCCTGCCTGTCCATTCTTTACATGTAGACCATAAAAACACAACATAGCCGTCTGGATTTGTCTCATGGCCATAGTTTGCCAACCCCTGGTATAGAACATTAATCAAAAAACAGGATAGCCAATAACAGGTTTCTCCAACTTGGCATTCTCTACATGTCATGGAACTACAATTCCCAGAATTCCAATGGTCATGGTAGCAGAAAGGTTTGTGAATTGTAATCCTAATATATGTCCATGTTAGAAAGCTAAGTCTAGAGATAACACTTTCTGGAATGTAAATAAAGCTGATGTGTTGTTGTTTTTCATTAGCAAACACTACTAAATGAAATTGCCATACTTATTTTTGTTATCCCATTTGTGGAGAGCTATTTTATGCTGTTTTCTTCCCAGCTTTCACCTTTGTGTTCCATCCTAGCTGTGAAAAACTGTGGATGCCCCCTGTACCAGCAATAGGCAAACCAATGGCACATACAATGCTTACAGAAGATCCAATTCATTCCCCGGTATCTCCAGCGAAAAGAATGAAGCACCATGAATAAAGATCTTTCCTCACTGACAGTCACAGTAAGTTCTATGTTTTACTTACGGATTCAGGATCCAATGTAGTGTAGCCACCAAAGCTATACAAAGCTGTGGTTATTTTTCACTGAACCCAGGTTCAATGCGTCCCATCCCCTCAGCATTTAAAAGCAGGTTAGTAATTCCCATGCAATGCAGAATTCTATCAACATTACAAAGAAGCCCCAGGGGTTAAACTGATGGTTCTGGAATGTTGCTTCAATGCTTTTGCTACAGATATATGTTTGCATCCTGTTCAGCAACCAGCAACTTATAGCCTCCTGAGGCTTTGTGTTTGAAATAGAGCTACTGATCCTCAAACCATACTCTTGCATGAGAGAGAGAGAGAATTGTTAAATCACAGAGTAAGAATTTCCAAGTTGACAATTGCGCCTCTGATATTTTTCTTCATGTTAGTGGCTCTTAAGGATTCTACAACCAGGATTCTATCTGTACTTTGGAGGAGACCTAAAAATGGCAGCATGAATGGCCAAAGCTTTGATCAAAATTCAAGCTTTCCGTCATCTCCAAACTTGGCAACTTTAAGACTTGTGGACTTCAACTCCCAGAATGCTCTATTGCCTTCTGGGATGATTTGAATTTGGCCATTCGGATGGCCATTTTTCCTTTCAGTTCTCTCAAGAGCTTAATCCTACCTAAATAACTGTTAGCAGGAACAGGAACCAGGGACTCCTTTCGCAGGCTTTCACCCCCAACTTCATAAGGCCCATCATCAAAGATGCCCATTTCATCAAGGGTGTGATTCTTTTGCTCTGCACGTACCACGCCTAGAAAAATGAAATGGCAAAACAGAACAAAAACAAAAGATGGGATGAATGTTAAAGGATGGGGAACATTAAATAAAATAGTTTTAAAATGGAAGGAGCAAAGAAACACTTATGAAAGGGAGTGACCACAACTGAGCCCAATTCTATCCTTGGTTTGAATACAATGACATAATGAATGGTACAAATAAAGATTCTGGAAAATAGGGTCAGGGAAATATGAACAAACACCCTCCCCCCAAAAAAATCTGCATATTGTATTGGTAGTAGACATGTGGCATGTACACACCTCAAAATGTACTCTGCTTGAGAGAATGGGGTGGGTTGCAGAGTCTGGATTATTTTGGCAAAATCAAGTTTGCTCAAGAGATAGGAAGGAACAGAAACTGTAAAAGAACAGGAAGAGAAATCAGAGCTTTTCAAGAGTACAGAAAGATGAGAAAAGGTACAGAGATGCCAAGGGAATTTGAAAATAAAATGCAGATTGGAAATGAACATGAGTTACTTTAAGCTTTGTGGGATACATTTCCAAAATAAATCAGTTTCATAACTAGAATACTGAGTGGCTAACTCTTGTGCCAATCAGAAAGTCATTTCTTTCCCCTTAAATTTAAAAGGAGAAAAGGCAGCCTAACACACATTAAGCAAACTGACAAAAGCAAAACTTCCTTGTGGCCTGAATCACTCTTCCAGAACCCTGCTGAGAGGAAGGCCTCCAAGACATAGGAGAAGCATGAGCATCAGCTGAGCAACAGTTTTAGAACAAAAGGAATTGGCTTCTGTGCTGTCAAATCGTTCCTCCAGCATGGTGGAAAAAGTTTTCCATTGCTATGTGGAGATGCAGGAATTAGGTAGGTGGCTTAGCAACACAAATCAGATGCTCTACCACAAAACGATACTCTGCCCTATTGGTTTTGAATGTTTCCCCTCCCATGACCATTATCATCTATTTCCTATCCCATCTTACATTGTTTAGGCGGCTGCAAATGGAATGGAAGGGATAGAAAAATGTTCCTTTTATGAATTCGCTATACAGTAGATAAATCATCTTAGGAACCAAATTGGGGGAGGTAAGTATAAGAGCTGTGACATAAACATTAAAATCAACAGGAATTCAAGTACTAGGAGGAAAAGTCTCTAGAGCTGGTATGCAACAATAATGTCAACTGGGCCTGAGGTGTATCGATAATGGAATGATAATCGAGAATTGGAAAAGCTGAAGCAATTCCAGAATGGAAATTAATTTAGTCATTAATAAGAAGTTAAAGTCATAAAAATCACATGATCTTACTCTCTTTTATGCCTTAAGTAAGCCTTTTTGAACTTAAAAGCGCAAAGTTCAAAGTATAAAGATATTCAAAATACAAGCAGCCCTTAATCTTGTGTCTAGACACCTCAGGAATCATAACCCTTTCCTGCCATGCCTAATATTGTTGTTGCATGTTGTTTTTTTCTAATTCTCTGAGAGACACTGGAGAGTTTTGATTGGCGTGGCGTGGCAAAACTCTTCTAAGAGCTTTGCATTCTCAATGGCCCAAGCGCTGATGCCAAAGCAGATCTACCTGTGGGATTTATAGGGATGTTCCACAAGCCACAGAGAGGAGCTGTAGCTCCATGTCATTAAATAATGCTTCACAAAGAGAAGGTGATAGCGTGTCAAGTGAAAAGGATCATATCACAGGTGACAGCAAATGAAGAAGCAGAACAGAAAAGACCTGCTGAAACTCTGTAGAATTCGGGAAGTCAGAGCCAACAATAGAAAGAGAGATGGACTGATACTTTCCTTCAGCCTAAAGCATCTTTTCATGGTTCCCTACATTCTCCTTCTATGACCAAGAAGGCAGGGAATGAAGTTGGGGCATATGGTGAGTCAGTCACCAGTGTGTGCTGATTTCTGGTTACAGGAAGTCCTTCACTAAAACAAGCTGTTAACGACCATTCAAAGTCAGCCTCAGAAAGAGTGTTTATGGCCTATGAAGTACTTCCCATAGCACTTCTGGCTGATGTAAAATGTAACTCTTCCTTCTTGCAGTTACATGACTGCATTTTGGATACTTAGAGATCAGCTTACATTTACAACCGGTTGCTAAGCACCCCGCAATCATGCAATTGCCATGGGGAAGCCAGCAAGACATGATGCAAGCATTGGTAAAATATACATCGTTCAAATGTTCTGTCAAATAAAACTGTCCACTAAGCATAACTACTTCCATTCACTTTTTTTTAGAAACTTAAAAACCACTGAATAGACTGCACAATATTCTCTCACAAAATATTCTCTCCCTGACCAGGTAAAAGCCTTAAAACTAAGCATGGTGGCAGCAACTACTTACAATTGAAGTACAGCAACAGCTAAATCTGATACCTTATCTCAGAAAAGTCCAATTTTCTTTGACAAAAACCCAGTATGTGGACAGGTAAGCTTTCACATGGAAACACCTTGTGCCAAGGCACAAAGATTGTACAAGGCTTATGTGTCAGGCACAGGTGTACACTGCAAGGATTTATCACAAGAAGAAAAAGGCAAGGCAGAGGAGAATTCCACAGCTGTTGGTATAACAAAGAGCACAAGAAAACTGCTTGGACAGAGAAAAAAGGGAAATGGTGGAGAAGAAGGGCGGGAGGGAGCTGTGTTTTACGGCTTCTCTGCATAACTAAGATGGGACAAAGCCATGGGCTCTCCGGCTTAATCACTAAATGAAACTTCAGCCGGTTTTTCTCTCTCTCCTGATTACTTTGGCTTTCAAACCCATTTTCTGCTCAATGAGGTTAATGGAGTTTCAGTTGATAGAGAGAGAAAAAACAGCAATAATCTAGGCGACTTAATGTAAATGCCTACTGGTCTGCATGCGTGAATGTGTGTGTTATGTGTGCATATGCAGGCATAACATAGATATTCCCTTTGCATAAACCTCAATGCTGTATATTATTTATTTATTAAATTTGTTTGTCGGCCGTCTTGCCACAAGGCGACTCCAAAAAGATGCTTTGCAGGAGAGAAGGTAATCCTTGTTTTACCTGTTGGTGCTTCACTTGTGAAGCTGCATCTTTTCCTGGGCTCAGAGGGTACCTGCATAATCCCCAGAAAAAACATCTTTAAGCTAAATTTTACTGCTGTCTGTCCTGAAACACCTTGTCACCGTCTTCCTTAATTCAATCTCTGTGAGTACAGGTAATCCTCGACTTATGACCACAATTGAGTGTAACATTTCTGCTGTTAAGTGAGACATTTCTGCTGTTAAGTGAGTTTTGCCACAGGTGTTAAGGGAATCACTGCAGTAGTTACGTTAGTAACCCGGTTCTTAAGTGAATCCTGGTTTCCCCCATTGACTTTGCTTATCAGGAGGGGCACCAAAGGGGGGATCCCATCACACCAGGACACAGCAACCGTCATAAAGAAGAACCACTTGTCAAGCATCCGAATTTTGATCATAAGACTATGGGTGGTCATAAGTGTGAAAAATGATCGTAAGCCACTTTTCTCAGCGCTGTGGTAACTTTGAACGGTCACTAAATGAACCGCTGTAAGTCGAGGATTACCTGTAATACACCAGAAACTGTTCTTCAATTTTGGGGTGAGTAGCATAAAGAGTAGAGCATCATGGTTTTCAGCAGTGGTTATTATTCTGTAGGACAGGGGTCTCCAACCTTGGCCTCTTTAAAGACTTGTGGACTTCAACTCCCAGAGTTCCCTCTGGGAATTGAAGTCCACAAGTCTTAAAGTGGCCAAGGTTGGAGACCCCTGCTGTAGGAGACAGGATATATAATCTGGAAATGGACAATGGGAATGATAGGAACATAAAGAGGTTATACCTTTCCAGTTATAGGTCCCTGGTGCACCAAATACAATGTAATGATCATCTCTGGTAAATGTGGCTGCAACACCTTGCTGGCAGGAGCCAAACTTCTCATGGCCTCTCAATCGGCCGTCACAGAAACTCCATTCCCCGCCATCCATATACTCATTGCCAGAAATGGAAAGATCCTGACTCAGCACATAGCACCTCCCAATGATGTCTCGGGTTTCCTGATCCGTGTTGACATAATACCTTTTCTCATAGCGGTGTGCACAGGTCTGTAAAGCATCAAAAGCAAATTCGATCAGTCAACAGATCTGTCTCCTCTGTACGAATGAACAGGGCTGGTTTTCCAAACAATTAACTCTGAGCAGAAGGTCTGAAGATAAGCAAGCATGTCTTTGCTTTAACCAGACGGAACCGTTATCTTAAATGCGGCTTTCGCTGTAAAATGCAACAGTGCACTTCCAATCTTACATACACTGCTTTGTTAACTGCACCTTTTGGAATCGTTTGTTTTGCTTTGTTTATTTTAGTCATCTATATATCAATGTGCCTTGTGTGTCAGGTCCATAAATAAGATGTAAGAGAGCACCCAAGACCGGTTCCCATCTTAACTGATCACAACTCTGCAAATCCTTTTGAAAGACAGCCTACACAATGCACAGGAGGGCACATAAAATGCCACTTTCCAAATCACTCAAGCAGGCACATCTTTTTCCAAGTTTGTGTGACTGCTCTGGAACCTGTCCCTGGCTGTCTTGGGACATGCGCGCATATACTGTTGCTTTGCTTCATTCCACAATTCTAAAAGAAAAGATACATACAGCCCTAAAAATTAAAAAAGAAAATCAAATGGCACAATAGCACAATTACAACCTTAGAGGTAACAATGATTAAACAATAGCCTGGAAAATAAAACTATATATTTTTTTCTTTTGTTTTTGAATGCTGTGGTGGGGTAGGATTTTATTGTGGAAATTGGGATTCAAGACTCTAGGGGATTACAGATTTTTGATGGGCTGGACCGTCAAACACCTATTTTTATTTTCACCTATTTGAAAACTTGGGGAAAGCATTCCTAGGTTGCTTTATAGCAGAGGTCTCCAAACTTAGCAACTTTAAGACTTGTAGACTTCAACTCCTAGAATTCTCCAGCCAGCACTGGATGTTTTCGCTTCCGCAGAAGCAGCCTTCGGAAGAAGAGTTTTGCAACGGGTCCATGCGTAACAAGGAGGGACTCCAAACCAGACAGAGACTCTCTCCCATAGGACACGCCAAGCTTTGGTATTTCCCATGTCTGGATGCTCTGAACAGCTCATCTGGAGAAGGGGCGTTGGTGCTTACCTGATATGCCCATTCTCTGTGAGCTGTGAAGAGCATCCAGCCCCACCCAAAGTCCATCTGGCGTGGGTCCAATTCCGGCCAAGTCTACAGAGCAAAGGTGAAGAAGAGTGATGAGGAACTTATCACTTCGACTTCGCCAAAACCGGGAACACTAAGGAGGAGCCTCAAGAAGGAGGAGTGTCCTCAGAATTCAGTTCAGCCTATCGGATGAGAGACAGAAGCACTTCAAGTCTTAAAAGTTGCCAGGCTTGGGGATCCCTGCTTTATAGCTTGACACCAGCATGGTATTTCTCAACCTTAATAACTTTAAGATGTGTGAATGACTCTTAGAATTCTGGTCCGGGAATTCTGGAGCAGAGGCCCATACATCTCAGTTTCCCAGGATGAGAAATACCAATTTAGCAGATCCATTTTTTGTGAGCTTTAAAAAAAAGTGGTTTGCAGTATATGTCTCCTTGTGATCTATAGGTTGTCCACCTCTGGCTCTAAAATAGTACAGGTAAGTTCTCATTTAGCAATGACAATTGGGATCAGCAATCTGGTGGTTAAATGAAGTGAAGTAAAACCATGACTAGGCTTTTTTTTGCTTTACAAAGTTATTTTTTCATCACTGTCAATAATTGTGAATGGTTGCTGGACAAGGTAGACGCTAAATGAGGATATGGGAAGTCCTCAATTAATGACCACTCATTTAGCAACTGTTTGAACTTACAACTGTGCTGGAAAAAAGTTACTTATAACGAGTCCTCACACTTCTGGCCATTGCGGCGTCTTGCGTGATCACAGTTTGAGACCTTTCCAACTAACTTCTAATAAGCACAGGTCAGTGGAGATGCTGGCAGGTCCCAAAGTCACAATCATGTGATGTCTCACTTAACAGCCACAACTGGAACTGCAGTTGTAAGTCAGCACGATTGTGTGATGTTTTGCTCAACAACTGCTTTGCTTAGTGCTGGAATTGTCAGTGACAATTAGGGTTGTTAAGTGAGGAGTATCTATACAATCAAAATAATCCTAAAGATTTTTCAGTGTCCAAAAAACCAACAATGTTGAGGCTCAGAGAACATTCTGAAAACTTACCACAATTTTTCCACCAGGCCCCTGACTTCGCACAGTTACACCCATCCATTGGTCTTCTTTGCTTTCTTTTGCTGGGTCAGCTAAAAAAAATCAATGCAAAAAAAAGTTTCTTCTATTTCTACTGTTCCTTTTTAATTAGTATCTGTACAATTATGTGCAAATTATTATTCTCACTACAGATTCACTGAATATTATTTATACCTGCAATAGTCTTTAGGTGGCGCTGTTTATCTACAATATCAATACAAAGTTTTCTCTGATCAACACTGCATTTAGTACGGAGATATCATTATAGTATAAAATGTGTAAGGAGTCATATAATAAAATAGTAAAGAATGAAGTTGTTCTTTGCTCGTATTCACCTTCTTCATACAATTCCTCTTTCCTATTTGTTAGGTACTTCCCCCATTCTATCACAACAACGAATCAAGACTCCATGTTCATTGAACATCCTCATTTCTCATTCTGTTCTTGGGAATCTGTGCCTAGAAAACTCAGAAATTCTTTGACTTCTGTTTTTGACACATAACAACTGGTGGTCAGGGAATTGACATCACACTAATATATCTGCAAGACACTTTTTTTCCCCCAGGACTATATATACTTTTTGTAGCATCTACGAAACTGACCTAGAGGTGGTATTCAGCAGGTTCTGACCAGTTCTGGAGAACCGGTAGGGGAAATTTTGAGTAGTTCAGAGAACCGGCAAATACCACCTCTGACTGGAGATTTTACAGTATCCTTCCCCTGCCACGCCCACCAAGCCACGCCCACAGAACCGGTAGTAAAAAAAAATCGAATCCCACCACTGAACTGACGCCTCTATTATACTTGAATTACATACATGTATTTTTGAAAGAGCAAAACCTGCTCAAATTGCCTACACGCAAAAACCAATAACAATGAAAACGGAAACTGGAAAAACTAGAGAGGGGACTGTATCCACATTTAAAAGTTATAATTAAAAATAAATAAATTAGAACTGCCAAATTGGATTCTTCCAATAGGTTCCTAAATAAATATTTCCATTCTGCCTAGGAAAAAAAAATCAAAGGTCCAGCTAGCTCACCTGTCTCATCAAATTTGATACGTGTGCAGGGTACCTCTGGAGTTTCGATGTCACAGCTGAACAACCCACCGGTTCTATTGGCTTGTTGCAATGGGAAAGCCTTTTGCCGAGGTGCACCAACCAGCAAGCTGTGGAAAGAAGACCAGAAGAACGTAATGGGGAACTGATAGATGAAGATGCAAATAAACACCAGGTATCACCTCATACACTTTTTTTCTGTTTTGAAAAATAAAATAATACAGGTTATTCCTCAACTGACGACCAAAACTGAGCCCAAAATTTCTGTTGTTAAGTGAAACAAACATCTGGTTGAGTGAATTTTGCCCCATTTTACAACCTTTCTTGCCAGTTATTAAGTGAACACGGTTGTTAAGGGAATCTGGCTTCCCCATTGACTTTGCTTGTCAGAAGGTTAACGGAAGCAGGTCACATGACCGTGAGACACAGCAACTGTCATAAATAGGAGTCGGTTACCAAGCACCTGACATTTTGATCACATGACCATGGAATGCAGCGACGGTCGGAAATGTGAAAAATGGCCATAAGTCACTTTTTTCAGTGCTGTTGTAACTTCGAATGGTCACTAAATGAACAGTTGTAAGTCCCGAGGACTACTTGTATTAGCATTCTTTTGCTTGCTTTAAGTTTCTTCTTTAGATATGGTTTTGCACCAGCTGTGTGCATAAATTTTATAGAGAAGACCAAATCTACTCTTTGCCTCAAGGGTTTCAAGCTTTTTTCTGTACCTGACTTATAGAGCCACATATTTCACATAAGGGCGGCTTACAAGATTAGACAACAAACAAACTAACCAAATATAAACACGCAGTCAACACCGTTCCCCACCTGTATGCTCATCTATCTGCCTAACCAATACACCTGTGAAAACAATCGATGCCTTCTAAAAGGCTAATAAGAGTTAGAAATGGGGCAAAATAACCAGTGTCATTCAAATCTTCCTAGGGCAGGTGTTGCCATCAAGAAAACATGACCCTTATATTCCAAGATCTGTAGATCCTATCAGAAGAAATGTTCATTCCCCCTCCCTATAAATTTCACTGCCCTCAGTTTGCCAAATACATGCTGCCATGCTAACCCAGCTCCTTTGGTGCTTAGGAAATTCCTTCAGGAATTCTGGAACTTCAGGTCACATATCACCTGAAGTACAAATAGCCCTTGACTTATAACCATTTGTTTAGCAAATGTTTGAAGTTACGACAGTGCTCAAAAACATGATTTACGACTTATCCTAAAGTTATGACCATTAAACCACTCCCGCAGTCATTAGTCATAATTTGAGGGCAGGCAATGGATTCACATTTTTAACGGTTACAGCATATTGTGGTCACAAGATCACGTTTTTTGACCTTACCAGTTGGTTTCTGACAAGGAAAATCAATGGGTGGATTTGCTTAAGAGTAGTGTGATTCACTTAATGACTACCTGATTTGCTTAACAACTGTGGTAAAAACTTGATGATTATGGTCCATTTAACAAACCATAGCTAATATTTCTAAGGTGACAGCCAGGCCTAAAATACATCTTAATGTGAGCATTAGTGCAAATAGGCAACTACAGATATAAATGTATCTCCTGATTAAAATCAGTGAAGTAAATCCACAGGACAGGAGAAAAACAATAGAAATAATACCTGCAACTATTAATGGCTGAATACATGATACATTTCATCAGCTGTCATGTTGTTTTGGTTCATTTCATCCTACTTAGACACTTCAAAAATACTCCCAAATGATAACTCCAGTGACTCCAAGTAAAGCCAGGATCATCTCTTGAAACCTGTGCTTTAAAATCATTGGCTTTTTCATCAGATGAGAAAACTACACATTAAAGTGAAATGAATCATTGTGCTGTGTTTTTTTTCAGATGTAGTGAATGGCCTGCCCCATCTCCACATATCATTAAGGAACTCTGGGCTTTTATTTTATTGTGAGAATCTGTTGCTCTACAAATTGGTAAATTACTGCATGCTAGACATACTGGTGGTTTCCAATAAGGCATTATTTTTTCCCTACTGTGTTATTTTTCCTTCTTATTTATCTCTTATATATTTAACTTAAAGAGGGGGGGAAATTCACAAAAACAATGTTTATGTGATATGTGTATGGTCAGGCTACTAAATAAGAAGCAATTTTCATAACAGATGGCACAATGAGCATAAACTGTATATTCACATTTAAAAAAAAACCCTTTTGCATGTTTTAAGAATTAGAAACAATTGTCTCTTTAATGCTTTTTCTCCCTTTAAAAAAACTCCAGCACAATGACACACAAGCAGGACAGAAGGGTGAACATTTCCCAGAATCTCTAAATGGACATGGTTTTTGTTGGCCTTGTCAGCACCAAGGGGAAGCAAAGAAGAACAAACATTAGTGGAACTGACAAGAAACTATGAGTTTTGCCAGACAAAAAGAACAGAGCAAGAAATTCATATGTATAAAACTGAAGTTCATCACACACACATGTTCTCACACAAGGGTGGAAGGGTTACGGTCTGAATGAAAACCATCCCTTCATGTTAGAATCTGCTGGAAAGAAGCATGATGGCTTAGGGGCTAAAAATGTACATTATTTAAAACAGAAAATAATGGACAGTATTTCATATACACTGTGTATGCACATATATACTACAGTGGAATCAAGAAAACAATCATAAATCCACTTTGGCATAAAACTGTCACTAATGGGACCTTATCAGTATATGTAACATTTTTACATGCACACACCCCAAATCATCTCAAAAGTGCTTTAGGAAAGAATGAATGAGATCCATCTCAGATGTAGTACTCTAGCTCCTCTTTGGGATCTTCAATACCTTGAAAATGTAGTCTCAGGTAAGAAGAGACTCTCAACTTGTCAGAAAAGTGTATAAGCATTTCATGCTAAATCTTACAAAACCTGTCTGCAATCATCGAGTTAATAGTTAAAGGGCTAATGATCAGAGTTGGAAGTTCTGCTCCCTACAGCAGCTTCACATATTCCAGTTCTACTGGTGATTTTTCTGACTTCCGGGGAAAAATGGCTGAAGATAGCTCTGCTAAGACCGCAGTCAACTAATGTGGCAGAATGAAGAGCTCTTCCTAACTTCTCTCTGGACAGGGACTTGAGATCACCCACAAATGCTCCAGACAGTTGTTGCCCCTTGTGAGGAGATTGCAAGAACAGAAGTCTTTGGTGGACTTAGAGCTCTGAGAGATAAGGGAACACCATCTTAGCTAAAATTGCAGTTGGTGTCTTTCCAAGGGACATTGTGTTTGCATATTTCTTTTCCTAAACACTTTCGGAAATTGCTTGTTAACTGCTTTTCAGCTGTTAGGAACATTTGGAGCAAAAGCCTGAAAACATCATATGAATCTTCTTCAGTCCTTAGCTAAAAAAAAGTTTAAATACAAGTTTAAGGACTTAAATAAATTACTTTTGTGGGGAATAAAAAGGGTGACTAGAACAAGATTTTGAATTAATTATAAGAATCCTTCCCATTGGAAAGTGAATATTCATCAAGAATTTGAATTCTTAATAAAAAAATTATAGGATGGGACTATGAAGATTGACACGAGGAAACCAGAAGGAACTAAAGATTACAATTAAAGGAGAAAAACTCTTAAATTTTTCTTATGAAGCAAAAAGTTTAACATTGGATATGTTTAAGGATATTTGTGAACATCAGACTCAGAAGAATTTTAGGAGTTTCTCCCATTATAGATTGTCTTAAAACATGGTGAGTCTATGAGGGAGATCATGGTCACTAAGTATGATATGTAACAATGTTATGGAAGAAGAACAAAGTAGAAAGTCTACTTTCAGATCAATAATATTTTCAATGATCTGAAAGTGGATTTTAAAAAGACAGGCTCCAAGAATTATATGGAAAAATTGATCTGGATTTTTCTTATAGTGGATTTACAAAAGAGATTTATTAAAGTCCTGATGAGTTTTGTGAGACAAAGAAAAAAAATGAAAAGAAATCAAGACTTAGGACATTATCTGAAGATCAGATTAGAGATTTGAAGGAATTTGAGAGAAGTGATAAATTGCTAAAATTGTTTATACTCACGATGAAGGGGGATTATATATGTGTGTGTGTGTGTGTGTGTGTGTGTGTGTGTGTGTATACAAATTACTCCGAGTAGCACAAAGCCGAAGACACAAGCCTGAAGATGATGAGACTTCAATTACTCCGAGAAGCACAAAGCCGAAGACACGAGCCTGAAGATGATGAATGAGACTTCATCGAAACGTCACCTAGATACTTCCAATTTTACGTGGGAGAAAACCCGAATAACCAAAGATCCACATACAAATACCCGCGAAAACCTCAGAAAACAT